TTGTTCAGGATGCACAGAGCTGTAGTTAGGCACAAGCCTGCGGTGGTGACACACTGCAGTGAAATGAGAGCAGTTCGACAAGAATGTTTAGCATGTCCTTGTTTAGTGTCCTAGAGCTTCACGTATTATATGTTTTTGATTTCCCTCCTGCCGGGACGAGGATTAGCATGGCATGGTTTAAATTGCAGCGACCTTTTGACTCGGTGCTCTTTCTGCTTGGTCTAATTTGGCCTCTGAAATGGTCAATGAGGTGATTCTGTGTACGGATGGATATCATGTAATAAAAACCAATGTCAATAGTTCCTTGCTCTCAAAACCGTTAGGTACTAGCAACATGGTGTTTTCAAATCCATATTTTTGCAGTTAGTTACATCTTTGGTTCAACCTTCTCAGAAAGAAAAGGGAAAAAAGACTACCTTCACTCAGCCAATCAGCTCTCAGCCCAAAGCATCAAATGGTGGCTCTTACTCTCTTTCTGTTGCACTTTGTGTTTTTTATGCAAATAAAACAAAACAAAAAACAAGGTGGGGTACTTTGTTTTCTTTAAAAAAAGAATGTTTAGATTTGAAATGGGTTAACTTTATTTATGTAAGCCTTTTATTAGCATAACTTCTCTTTAAAATGGATAAAGAATAAACTAAATAAGCTAAATAAACCAGGCTTTCCTCACAATATTTTGATTGAATAATGCTTGTTTGATGACTTGTGCATCATGAGACTTGCTGCGCAGAAAATATCAGGTTTCACCTCCCCCCTATCGCAGACCACACCCCTGTACTCTGCCAAATCTGTTGCTAACCCCTTTCTTTGTATTAGAAATCTTGGATTAATATTGTTATCTTCAATATTTGAGGTAAAAAAAAAAAAAAAAAAATGCAATCATTGATGATCTCCGTGTGTGATAGTTATACATAGTCTTAAGGGTGTTCATAAAGATACTAAAACTAGACTATACTGATCATGAATTGGTCCTTTTCAATGATCTTTGTAAGATGTAAGGTTTATATTGAATACAATGATATACAGTTTTTAGTGTTGTGGCAGGTATGTGTCATGACAACATCAGAAGTCACTATGCGGAGGTGACATAGATTCGGTTGCCGTTGCTGTGCTACATAGTTTGGGGTTGGAGCTATTTTTAGGCGCGCACATGTGCTTTGCTCAAGTTCTCAAATAAGGGGCTTAGGAGCTGCCGGTCTGTTTGACGACCAGCACAAACTCCCACTTAACACCCATGCTGTATACCTCACACACAGGACTCAGCCCAGCCAGTGCTCTGACATCAGGGATGTGCAATTATCACCTTTTATTTATTCAGATCAATCACAAAATGGTTTCTAACAAATATAAAGTAAAAATCACATATTCATCTTGTGTAAACATACTTTTTATGTTTCTGTGCTTATTTTTTACTCTTGCACGATGTGCTCCAGACACATATGAGACAGAGCAGAGCTGTCATTCTGGTTTTTCTGAACATTTACTAAACTCACATGATGTTTACTGATCTCTGACATCTTTAATTAACAAAAAAGATAGAACTAACTCTCCTATTTCTGACGAATGCTGCAAAGACTAATGTTAAAACTAAGATAACCGGAGACATGTGGGAAACAGTTAATTTTCTTTCCTCAAGAGGGAGCCATAATAAGCATTATTTGTTTGCAGATTTTATGTGAATGTTCCTGTCATGATATATTCCTTTACATTTTCACTCATAATGGAAATGCAAGTTGCATAATAGGCTTTAAGAGGCCGCAGCTTGGCACAGGATCAAATAAATGTTTTGTGAGATATTGATTGATACATTAATAGTAATGGGCTTCCTGTGGACGTAAATGTGTGCCACGGACTCAGATCCATAAGACTGAGACTGAGATGTGATTCAGCAAAACCAAGAAGAGAAACCTCTGCAATCAGGTGAAGATATAGACATTGTGCAAATATAAAAGCCAATTTATGCATGTGTTCACAAGCCTAACTTCTCCTGTTTCAGTCATAATCTAATGGATATTTAAATTTCTACAATAATAATAGTAAACTCCATTTAAGGATAAACAATCAACTGATGAAAGCTCAAAATGTATTAACAGTAAGTGATTGCTGATATTTTATTTATAGATTAACTTATATATGATATGATATAGTTATACACAGTCATTAGAGAAAAATAAGACCTAACGAATTTTCTCAAAAATAAGATGTTCAACAGGACAAAGTCAAACCAGCCCACTTAACTCTCTCTTTTGCCTTGCCACTATTTTTAGATTAACTAATGTATCAGTCTAAAGAGAATACACAGGCGCCTCAAGTCTTGTCCTTATTAAATTAGTTTCAACCGAATAAAAGTAGGTGTATCTGTATTATCGTTTTATCATAGATCACCGTTAAAATAAACAATAACGTATTTGTGGTATTTGTGTGGAATGCTCTCAAATGTGGGTGACCATCATAAATTATTACTCATTTTTATCCAGGATGAAATATAAAATTAAATCATTATTAGCTTCACAAACAATGTATCTATGGGGTCTATGGGGTTTTTCTGTTCGAACTATCAAAACAAATCTAAGAGACTTTACATTATCCTCAGGGCAGAACTTTCTCTATGTATATTTTGTGTTTCTGTGGTTTTGGAGGCTGGATGAACGGAGAACTGTGGAGAAACTCTAAATAGACAGTAACCATGGAAAACCTGACAGGACTCGCTCCTGGTGAGAAAGAGAGTAAGAGCTGCCCTCAGAGGCTGCCAGTCATACGGCGCTACGGGACAAATTTACTCTCCAGTTGCTCACATCTGGATCTGGATCTATTAACCGGACACGTTACATTGGACAATGCGGGATTTGCTGCTGGTGGAGGGGGTCTTCAGAGCCCACCTGGTGACCCTTATGTGCTGCTTAGGTCTGTATAGATTTGGATGGATATAAGGCTACTGTGCTATCGACATGCTGTCAAAGGCGGTTTTGTACCAGATTTATTTGTAAATCTGCTAGATATAGAAAAGGATCAAGTTGATGCTGTGAAATTGTATGGATTGCTGAGTAGAGTTTGTTGAATTCTTTTGTATTTTGATTATTTTGATTATAGCTGATGGAGAGTACCAGAGATGTGTGTGAAGGGAAAGCAAATAAATATTTCATGTCATTGTTATTATTGTAGAAGCTGTAGCTCAATGGATGGAACATGCAGAATGATTTTAATGGAGGGAAATGATCCATAATCAATAAATGTGGTCTGCTCTGCTAAAATAACTACTTTACATATCCAGGCTGTTCAAATGATCAATCTTCTGGTCACCATGGATAAGCCATGTTCCAGTTCTTCCCTGTGGGAGAAGATGACATTTCTTGAGATGCTGGAAATCTCACTAGTAGTTTCTTCCCACAGGCTGTTTTAGTCTGACAAGAGAGAGAACTTCGACGGTTGATCTAGCGCTTTATTGCTTTTAGTATGTGCTTGTTTTGATATCTCCTTGTTTCACACTGTTTTGTTTTCCCATCTATTCTAATATGTTTTTTGATATTATTGCTGTCTCTGGTTCACACAGGGTATTTTGGCACATACAGTTTTCCACTGGTTTTAAATGGCAAATGGTAAAACATGAACTGAATCTGAATCTGACAGTTACTGATAGTTATGTAAAATAAAAAGACACTGTTTACTTCATCTCACAGGGCGGCATGGTGGCTGAGTGGATAGCACTCTCGCCTCTCATCAAGAAGGTTCTGGGTTTGAATCCTGGTCGGAGTTTGCATGTTCTCCCAGTGTCTGCGTAGGTTTCTTCTGGGTACTTCGGTTTACCCTATCACTAAAAACATGTACACTAGGTCTGGCATGCGCCTCCTGTACTGGCGACCCCGCTCCCATCTCTGTGTGGATTGAGAAGCATAAGCTTCCATCATCCCCCTTTCCTGCATGTATACATCTGCAGGTTTGAAATAAATAAATGAAATGAGAGGACAAATACCCAAAATAATAACAATTGTAAACCGCTTTGTGACTCTGGTCTGTGAATTACTTACTTCACTCCCTTTTCGAGCTATGTACTGTATAACGTCTTTGGCATATGTTATGTATTATTACTCACATGAATTTCTGTTCAATGTAAATGCATATAACAATGTATGCGCATGTTTAAAAGACATTGTAATTGTGTAAGCTCGAATAAAGTCAGAAGACTATTCCAGCAGTGGAAGAAAAAGCAGGTGATGCCTTGTCTGCTACCACTGCCCCTTCTACATTGTGACTATAGAGAACTTTTGAGGGGGAGGTCTGCAACCTTCTTATCTTTATGAAGCTATTATTGCTTTCCTGGAATAGCATACCATAGCATAGTGTAGAATTTAAAACATGTATCTCTCTCTTGCCCAAACTAAGGCCTGCGGATCAATTGCTTTCCCTGCTGTGCCATTTTATGTGGCTCTACCCTACTAACACAAATTGTCATTGTGGTACTCTCAGTGTCATCCAGCCAACTTCAGCTCCACCAATATGGTCATGCTATACTTCATTGTAACGCTCAGAACCTTGCTGTATATACCAGCAAAGATTGTTGATTGGCGTTGATTATATATGTGGCGTTAACAGTAGTGGTGTGAATCAAAACCATAAACTCTTATTGGAGTATGACAATACATGTTGTTGGCCCTTGAGAAGATCTGGTGAACTAAAGTAGACCTGTTGTAAATGTAAAGTAGACCTGTTGTAAAGTGTAGTGGTGGGGGAACCCACAAAGACACAGGGAGAAGATGAAAACTCCACACAGAATGGTCTGGTGTTGGAATCGAATTCTCATAGGAATGGAAGCACCCAAACAGCAGTCTCCCCATAAAAAGTTACATGTAAATTTTTAAAATATAATAAAGAATGTTGCACTCCTAACAAAAAATATTTTCCTTTTGTATGGCAGTGTGATTAACAAGATAAAACAAGCCACCCAGAGTATTTGTAATGGCATGTTATGTTTGTTATAACACATCATTTCTCTTTCCCAACAGATGAAAGAGACAGAGTACAGAAGAAAACCTTCACAAAATGGATAAATCAACATCTGATGAAGGTATGATAATTATTGTTTTCACTCAAGGTTAAGGAAACGATGTGTTGGTTTTGTTTTCTTTCTGTTTGTTTATTCTGTCTATGCCTAACCCTCAGCAGGTTGTAGAGTTGAAATATTGCAGTACTTCATAAACATAAGTAGGCATGGAGTATTTGCTTTAAAAACACTTAATTTTCCATGTTGGGTTGAGACTTGCTCAAATTGCTCGCAGATATTATTAAAGCTGATTAAGAGTGATGCGGCGTGACATGTGGTCACACACACTACAGATCCATTTGTGTTCAAGTGTGAGTGTTATATCAACTTTCATCTTGGAAGCAATTTTCTGCAACATTTCATCAGAAAGACACGATTCAGCTTGTACATTCAATAATACCTCTGTAAAATTATGTTATGAGGTTATTAAAAGCATTACATGGACATTCACAAACACACACACCCACATACATAAAGTATTTTCATATTTGTCATGAACACTATTTAACAAACTAAAGTGCATGCAGTAAATCAGTAATATGTAGTGATCAGTCACTATAACATGGATTGTTATAAACTTTAGTCAAATCACATTATGTAACATCAAGGAGAGCCAAAGACCGTAATTCATAAGTAATTCAGGGAATCCGGAAATATTTTCCAATTGAATTTGAAGGTGCTGAGTAATGGTTGGTGTCTGTCCGGTTGACCCAATAAGACGAGGGCACAGGTTTATTTTGGGCCCACAGCTGTGGCCACTCTCAGGATTAGAGTGAGTCTTGTGTGAAAGCGGGTCACAGAGAGCAGGACTGTGATTTTAGAGGTGCTATAGGACAGGAGGCAGGAGAGGCCTCAGACACAATGGCTTATGTGAGACACATATGTATGTGATCAACTCACCCGTCATTGATCCACAAAATACACATCTCCAATTCAGGAGTAATTTATGACATGTCAGATTAAAAGTGTATTTTCACTTTTTAATAGTCGATAAACATTATTTACGTAGTGACTCTCATAGACATGTTGTCACAACTGCATTACAATTTTGTTATTTAGTCTCTCCACATATTGGTGGTAAGATGCTGCTGTGGCCACAGCTGTCCTGGGTCAGACAGATAGAAGCAATATTGCGCCTCGAATCACCACACATTTGATGGGTTTTGACTATAATGTCTGTTTTTTGTAGGTCCGAAAACACATAAATGACCTGTATGAAGACCTGCGAGATGGACATAACCTGATCTCACTGTTGGAGGTCCTGTCTGGAGACACACTGGTGAGTAACGGATGAATCCTTTTGTATCTCATCAACCATTTGTTTTATTACAATACATTCAACACCACATCTGTGGCAATGGGTGTTGGCGGATTTGTTGTGCACCTTAATAATACATTCTTTCAAGTTCAAGCTTAAAAACCAAACTTTCTCATAAATGAACTGCAACGATGACTGCTCTGGATAAGTTGCCTGAGTGGCATTAGAAGTAAGGGTCAAAGAGAAATGTTCAGGGTTTTAGGTAATTAAGTATACCTTAACTTTAGGAACTATCTATAGGTATATATGGCTTGGTAGTAAAAGTGATATAACATGCTAAGGCTCTGAATCCATAGTACTAACTACATGTTTTTTTGTTGATTCTAAAAATACGTAGTTGATTGCTGTATACCTTTTTTGGACTAAAAAGGTTCACATTATAGTCCCTGTTGGCAAATTTGTCTTTTACATTTGACCCAACCTTCAACGCCGCAAGGGCAACTCTCAGGAGCAGTGCTCTTCGTAGTACAGCGCCTGAGGACCCATCTCCAGATAAGGTTGAGGTCCCAACAAGCTTAGACTTGACCTTTTAATAATGTTGTCTTTTTAAAATATATTTGCACAATCCCATACAATAGCTCAGTCAACTGGATCATTTTCTGTTTTGTATTACATAAAGCTACATATAGTGGCACACAACTGCATGCACTCCTCTGGTCCAGTCCCTGCTGTGCCCTCCCCAGTGTAACTAACCTCCATCGTTTTCATCGCTGTCTCTTCCTGTCTCTATCACTACTCTCCTCCTCCTCCTTCTTCATCACGTTGTTTTTTGTTCTCTCCATTGTCTGACTTCCTTTGATTTGCCCATTGTCTATCCATATCTCCCCTCTTCCCCATGTTTCCTTGTGGTGATAAAAGCCAAGGGAGCGTGATTTTCTGAAGACGTTGCGGTTGGTGAGTGGGACAGACGCATGTGCGGTTGAGCAGCATGGAGACACAGTGGATGATGATAAGGGGGTACGTGTGGCCCCCTCCACCCCCTACAACAACTAATACACGTCTCACACAACACGGTCCACAGTATAGTCCTGCTAGTCTTGACATATTTAATACGAGTTACTGATCCTGTTTATTTCTGTTCTGTGGAGTTTCAGCTGTACATTTTAGTCCAGGGACAACAAGCAAAACAACCTTTTAAGAAATGAAAGGACACGTTTCTACAGGCTCATGACTGCTCGCTGAGTCATTTCAGATTGCTTCAAATCTTTGTTTCACATCTGATCATTTGAAAAGTTCTTTGTTTCTTTTTTTTCTCATCAAATACAAATAGAATCAGATGCTTTGAATGAAGATGTTTAAGTTGCTTTGCTAATAATTATAGATGATGGCTGATGCAGCTGCAGCAGCTTGGCCTGGCTAGTTTAGAAAATAAACCACTCATTGCACTTTACATTACATCACACATGTTTTTTATTCACATTAACTAGCTTGACATAGATTAGAAGTTAAAGTTGAAATAATGATTACTAAAACCTGATTTAATCAATAGTTTGCAGAAGTTTCACGCCTACTCACATGTGTTAACTGAACATGTTTGAATCTAACTTCACAGGTCACTGGGTAAGACTCAAAGAGCATGTCCAAAATGTTAACCCTAAAAGTTTACTGAAAGACTTGAAAGACCCAGGATTCATGAATTTGCCTTTGTCCACAGCCTCGAGAACGAGGGCGGATGCGCTTCCACAAACTCCAGAATGTACAAATTGCACTGGATTATTTAAAGAGGCGACAGGTGAGCCTTTTCACACTAAAATAAACCTCAAACATCCTCAGTTCTAGCCTTTCTTCTGTATGTGAGGCTTCCTTAACCTAGATCCCAGTTGTACTGGTTTTGGAGGCGCTCTCCCCTCCCCCACCACTGGGAGGCTAGATGAGGACCACGGGTGGCACTGTTTCCAGATGTGACGTAACAGGCCAAGACAAAGGGCTCTCAATGACACAAATTAACTGCTTTTAGATTAAGATGTGGAGATTATTTTTATACTAATAAACCACAGTATCAGTATATAGTTGATAACCGTTTTCAAATTTCATTGTGTCACAAGAATGTATTTAATGTGATGTCAGACATCTTAACTGATTTCTGTAGCGCATTAGTTATAATTGTAGCACTTTATACATTTTAGTATATATTTAAACAATTGGACTATAATACAATTGACAACATTTGTCCCTCATTGTTCTTATTGCTATGGTGTTTAGTGCTCCATCTTGTGGTTGGCATGAGAAGGGATTCATATTTTATTGAATTTGGAAATATCATGTTCAAAACAATAAATTACACACAACATGAAAATAAATGTTGCATCATCCGTGCAGTGCTACCAGAATGAATAATATGAATAACTCTTTACTGTTTTATAATATAACTAATGTAATCTTTCCCTTTTCCAGGTGAAACTTGTAAATATAAGAAATGATGACATTACAGACGGTAACCCCAAACTGACGCTGGGGTTGATATGGACCATAATTCTGCACTTTCAGGTGAGAACCTCTTATGTTTTCATTCTGGTTTGGAAATATATAGTACAACTGTATTTCTCACTCACACTTACTTCATTTATATATTTTAAACAATACTCTGGCTGAACTTGACTGTGCAAACTACTGGTTTGTCTGTTCTTTGAAGTTATATTTAGGTCAATGTCACATGTTTCAGCTGCAGCTTTCTAATGGAGTTTCTACTTTTAGCCACAAGGGGTCAAAGCTGCACAACATAAAAGTGCATGGATGATGTAAGCAGTCTGAGAGATTTTGCATAAAACAAGAATTGGAAGATACAGGGCGTATCATAAAGCAGCTTTTGGCTTGTTTGAATTTACATAATATTGTAAGCTTTGGACAAAATATGCATTACCACTGGATGGGTATCTTTTGCAGGATAATAGAAAGGACCTGTCATTTCTTTTTGTGGTGTCTCTTGTTACCTGTCAGCGTCACTGTCCAGGCAAAATGATATTGCCTGCATCTGACGTGCATTATTATATCACAGTAAGCAGTGATCCAAATATTTTTCTGTACTTTATGCAGACATACCTAAAGAGCTCTCTTACATTGCAACCAAACAGCAAACTAATCGGATATTCAATAATTCTATCAGAACAGTGTAACAGCCAATGGTGTCATGCTTTGGTTGCAATGTAAGAGAGATCTTTAGGTATGTCTGCATAAAGTATTTGGATCACTGCTTACTGTGATACAATAATGAATGTCAGATGCAGGCAATATAATTTTGCTTGGACTGGGACGCTGACAGGTAGCGTTGGCGCACACCTGCCGCTGTCTGTCTCACGCAAACCCTTGGGCAGCACTGGGCCTGTCCGATCATGACATGAGGAGAGGCAGCAGAAATATGTTGGCCTGTCCATGTTGGCTTTTTTATATAATCAGATCTGCCCTGACACAAGAAAGACAACTCATTATGTTTTTACTTTTAAGAAGCGCTGTGCCTCAGGTGGGAGTACGACTCAGTTCAATCAGAGGACACATGCAGTGTGTTAGTTATAGCTTTAGGCCCCTTTTCTCACTAACAGAAGCCCAGTGATTAAATGGCCAGCCACGGATTGAGAAAACATGCAGATTGTCAAAACTGCATTCGTAACCTGTCAAACATTTGTTTACTCAATAACCTGGACATCCTAAGTTGTTGGCTGAGGAATTCTTTGTGTTTTATTTGTAAATTTCTGGATTTTATTATCCTTTGGATCCTGTTTGACCTTGATATTATCTGTGACCCTGGCAGTATCAGTCCAAAGTCAAGCTGCAGTGTCATTTGTTGTTTTCTGTCAACAGGATGATTAGAAAACAACAATCAGACACATTTCTTATAAAACTACTCCTTCACATTATGTCACATGTTCTTTCATTCTTGAATGTTCTGCTTCTTAAAGACAACATTTGAGTAACAATATAGTTTAAAAATACTAAACAAACCAGTATCTTCTAATACTGTGAAATAATGTTGCTTTTGTGAAGTTTTGTAGTGTACATACCTCACTTAATAAAACACACACACAGAGACAAACTTAGTGAAATGAAACCCCAGAACTAAATCAGGATGAGACTAGGACGAGAACCGGGGCAACCCAGTAGAACATGTCCTTGTATATAGTAAGCCTCAACTTTAGTATTTAGCTACAAAGTGATCAAGGTGAAAGCATGTCCCTGTCATGCACAGATTCATTACAGCTGTTGACCTAAGCGTTTGTGGCTGGTGGCCCTCTGTCTGGTCTGTATTTGGTAGTTCCAAATCTGCTGAGCCATTTCTTCCCCAGTATAATAGAATTGATCAGCTTGAACCCCACTGTTTACACTTGTCCTCCTCTCTCCCTTTTGAGTGTATGAGCATGATGTGTTGGCAGACTTCTGGTGTGGCTGCCCATATTTACACTGTCGACGAGCCAGTTCTAAACTGGTTAGTGCACATACCTTTGTCATTCTTTCTCAGCTGTGAACAGTGTGCACGTGGGCTGTGTCGGCATGTGTGTTTATGGTGTTTTAGCTGGATTAGTGATGTGGAGAAATGTTCCAAAGGTCAGAAAGGATTCCGGTGTCAGGAGAGACCTGAGTGAGCGAGCGGAGAGCGTGTGAATAAGAGTAAGCTGCAACTCTGAAGGAAAAGTCAACTCTTCTCTGCTGAGGTTTTTGCTGACGACTGTGTCAAAGCCTTTTGTCACAGTGCCAGCTGACTGAGGACATGGTGGCCTATCTTTAGGATAAAGGTTCTTCTGATAAACCATTGCTCACTGGATATTAGCCTGAATGCACCGGTTACCACATGTTCAACAAGAAGGTAGAGCGCTTTGACAGCTATGGGGAATGTTTGTGGTTGTGTGCGTGTACCAAAGGAAGAGTCTTATGTTGATCCCAATAAGGCACCACTCAGACGTGAATCCAAAGACTTGAAAGGACGCCGTTACTTTCAGAGGAAAAAGAAAAAATCGGAAGACTTTGCTCCGGTGGACTCTCCCAGCAGGGATGTAAGAGACACTAGCACCAATGGACAAATCAGTGAAAATTTCAGGCCTCAAAGTGTTCCCAAGGGCACTGAGGTGGACACGCCATCAGAGGTCAATAAAGCTGTATCCCACCAGGACAGCATCAGCAGAGACACTTGGATCGGAGAAGTACCAGAAGCAATCTCTGGGAAGCCACCTGTAATCCAGACACTGAGATCCAACTATAGAAAGGCTCCTCTTGCTAAACCTGAAGATGATGAAAGTGAAGATGATTGTTCCAAATCGAGTGTTAAAGAAAAGCTCCATCATGTTGACCGGAGTTCCAGTCTTCGTTCAGCCAAAGATGGTTTGCTGGTCAAGAAACTGCTCCAGCGACAACTCCGGAGGGCAGTGAGCTTTGGCGCTGTGGAGCACATGTTGCAGACGCCGGGGGGGCAGGACAGGGTGGCCAGCGAGGAGACGTTTGCCAAGATTATATGTGGCTCTCAAGTGCACCGCAGGAGGAGGCGCAGGGCCTCCACCTGCTCTGGCATCACAGAACCCACCCCTTCAGCTGCCAAGAGTATCAGTGCTCAGGCCCAGGTAAACTATGACACGGGTGTATTTTAAGCATCATTTTGAAGGCTGTCTGTGGAAATGCTGTCATGGTTGAATCTGTATCAGAAAAGAAAATAGTTGCTGTTGGTGTTGAGGCTTATGGGCTGTTATCATCACTGGATTGATGTTCTTATCTTGTATTTAGACTAAAGTTATTTTCTTTAACTGTTAGGAGATACTTGTCTTTGGCAAATAAGGTTTCAAAAACATTCAAGGCAAACAGTTGATTCTATAAGTGGTCAAGCTTCAATATTGTATCATTGATTATATTGTCTTCATTGAATTGTTGTCAAAAATCTATTACTATTAAGTTTTAATTTTTCTCATAAAACTGTGTATGATCAGTATAAACTGTGCTCCATGTTCACAAAAAAAAGATAAATAGTACAGTGTGATAGATTGGTCTATAACGTGCAGAGCCATATCACAGATGAAAGGGATCAGTAAACACAGGTAGCAAAATAACTATAGTTTAAATATGTTTAAAAGTTACTTTGCCAAATAAACGCTCTGGTAAAAAGTCAAATAACTAACGTGCCCCTGTACATGAGTAATAATAAAAAATCAACAAAAATAATAACACATATTCTTTAGGCTTCCACAGAATGCACTGCATCTGTAGCGCTGCAGCTATGGATCATTTTCTAATTGATCAATTAACCATACATTTTAAATAGCAGATAATTAGTTTCTAACTTTGAAATATGTCATAAAATTAATGTAACATGTGTGTTTCTCTTAGGACTGGTTATGTCACTAGTTTTCACACGCACATATTTTTTGCCTCTGTCACAGCTTTAGATCAGGTTTTTAGAGGGGAATAGAGAGGACCTCTCACAGCCAATCAATTCTCAGCGTGTAACAGATCAATTGTTTTCTTATCAGAAAAAAACAGCATGTTAAAGTTCTGTTGGGACAAACAACATTTATTTATGAAAAAACAAAAAGTTAGGTATCCCAGTTTTAAATCACATTTTGCATGTTGTTTTTATTATGTAAAAAAACAGCACCATGTAATACATAAGATGTTCTCCACTGTGAATCCCCTGTGACCCCTGCCCCTTTGAATAAATATGAAAACTAGTCTTTCGTTATAATACATGTTCATAGATGTGTACTGTCCCAGACAAATAAACAAAGACATAAAAATACATTTTCCTTCAGTTAGAAAGTACATTACACATAGTATTGAGCACAGAGCATTGAAGCAGAGAGCACAGACTTGAACACACTAAACTATGGCCTAAACACAAGCACACGCTGCTGCAAGAGTCACAATCAGTCTCCCTTCTGTAGCTTTGTTGTTGGTATTGTCAACTGTGAGTTTTAAAATGTATGCAGTGGATAATACAAATATGTGTATATAAAAGTAAGGAGTAAAGTAAAAGTCACCAGAAATATAAACATAAAAATGTAACAGTCTACATTGTTTTATGTACTGCAGTATTAGTTAACTTAACTGTAAGAACTGTGACCCATTATTTTTTTTAAATGTATTCAGATACATACGTATATGTATGTGTCTGATACATATGTATCATGTTATGATGATATTATGATTATCTTTCTGAATCACATCCTTCTTAAAGATCTCGGAGATCCATGTTACCGGGGAGTCCGAGGACATGACGGCCAAGGAGCGTCTTCTGTTCTGGTCCAAACAGATGACAGAAGGCTACGTGGGCGTACGATGTGATAACTTCACAACCTCCTGGAGGGACGGGAAACTATTTAATGCCATTATCCATAAATACAGGTATTGTAAAATCTGAACCTAGATCTAAATAGATTTAAAATAAGAATTGTTGATTGATGCTTTATCATTTTATTTCAGGCCAGACCTTGTTGATATGAGCCATATCTCAGCACAGACCAACCGATCAAATTTGGAGCAAGCGTTTTGTGTAGCGGAGCAGCTTGGAGTGGCCAGACTGTTAGACCCTGAAGGTAACAGAGAGTAATGGGGTTTTTCAGCTACAATTTTCTTGTTTTGTGGAATCCATCTAACAATTTGTCCACTCGACATAGATGTGGACGTGCAGTCTCCCGATGAGAAGTCAGTCATCACCTATGTGTCCACTTTGTACGACGCCTTCCCTAAAGTCCCTGACGGTGTTGACGGCATTAGCCCCAATGTAAGTGAACAATAGTTTCATATAAATGTAGTTCATGTCGTAGAACAGTGTAAATCACAAATCTTGCAAACAACAATAACAGTAACCAAACACATATCTTTATCAACATCAAATCAAACCCAAAGATTTTATTCTTAATTGATGCTTCTTCATTACGATTCATCCTTTTTACACTATAGCTAGAGATTTATACTTGCTTCATTATTATGCTAAAGTTAGAGATTTTATTTTATTTTATTCTTATATAGAGTTATTGTTCGTTTATTTTGTGTTGTGTGCTTCTCATTCATACTGTGCTGTAACCGGTGATGCAACACTGATATTTCCCCACTGGAGGACAAACAAAGGATCTCTTCATCTTAATCTTAATCTGCATTTCCAAATTAACTTCATATAAGTAATGTATGCATTGTCTTTCTTATACAGGATGTGGATATAAAATGGGTTGAATACCAGAACATGATTAAATACCTCAGCCAGTGGATTAAACACAACGTGGCAATAATGAACGATCGAGCATTCCCCAACAGTCCTGCTGAACTTAAAGTAAGTAATCTGATACTAATATTTCTGAAGTTGCCAGAAAATAGTTGCCTTTATAAAAAAAATGTCTGTTTTTTTTTCACAGGCACTTTATTCACAATATCTTCAGTTTAAGGACTATGAAATCCCCATAAAGGAGATAGAAAAGACAAAGATCCAAAATCTGTATCAAATGCTTGAGGTGAAGCCACTGTTTTAGATGATTGCCAGTTTACTTTTGGTGGCTCACGGTGTCTAAAGGAATTTCCTGTACATTTTTGGGGACAGGTGTGGATAGAGTTCGGACGAATCCAGTTACCTCCAGGACATCACCCCAACGACATGGAAAAGGAATGGGGAAAGTTAATCGTTGCCATGCTGGAGAGAGAGAAGAGCCTGCGGCCAGAGCTGGAGAGGTGTGTGTTTGAGTTCTCCCCCAGTGGGACGATTAAAAACTATTGCAGTAGGTCCACAAAGCTAGAATATGAATGTAATCTGGACACCTGGTATCTGACAGCTATGTGGAATCCTGGGGTATCTAACTTTCAAATCACAGAAAAAATAACAATGTATTAAAATCCATCGAACCAAACAGTTTGGTTTTATCACTAGTTTTCACATGCTTGCATTTTTCAGATTCAGATTCAGACAACAGTCAAAAAGACAGGACCATGCTCACACAGGCAGCTCTGCAAAATTAAACTTTAAACAATGTACAAAATAAAAACAATAAAACAAGACACAATAAAACAGAAATAAACAGTTTTGAAAAATACGCTGGACAAAGCAGATGCTTATTCTGCTCCAATCCCTCTCACTCAATCAGCACAACAACACATGACACACACACACGTACACACATACACGTTTTTGTTACCTGGTGGGTCCCTTTGACAGGGCCGTTCAGAATGGGACCCATAGACATAATCTTTTTTTACTGGGACTACTTTAAGTAATACAAAACAGTCAATAGAAACCAAACAACTATTTTAAAGGAATTTTATTTTAGATTTTTTTTTCGAATTGCAGTGATTCTATTTTTGACATAGAATTTAATGCCACTCCATGTCCGATGTCTAAGGTCATCTGGTGAGGCATTAATGCAGGCCAGGCAGTGAGACTTCCCAGGGACCTTTCCAGTCTGTATGAAAGGTGTCATGGTCTTCTCCACAGCCTTCACCTCAGATGCAGACCATGGCTTTCTTACACGTTCTAGGGAGAGAAATAAAAATATATTAGCAATATACACTCCCAGGGTTAGGACCAAGCAGCCTGGCTGTAATCCCCCACCTGGTACACTTACCAGAAGGGGCACTGCCACTACCATGGGGTGCATCTGGATGAATGGTTGAAGGTTCTCCGCTTGAAGTTTCTTTTAGCCCGTCCGTTTGTGAGAGGATCTCTACTGCTCTCCCTGTCGCACAGAAAATAAAAATACAAGTGGCCTTTAGGGGAAAAAAATCATACATATTTTAATAATATCAAGAATTACCTTCAGGCTCAATTTGTATCTGGTCGAGGCTCTTTCCTTCGAATTCCGTCACTCTTCCCTGCTCCATGGCCATCAACACTTTGCTGATTTTGGCCAGCTCCAGTGTCCCCTCTGGTAGTCTGTAATATTGTCTGTGGATGCGAATGTCATGGCCGAGGAAGTTGGCTAGTATGTCCATTTCATTCTCTTTCATATTGAGAACTGTAGACATAGTAGCTATGTGCTTTCTAAGTTTGGTTGAGGATAGCATCTCTGGATGCACCGCACCACATTCTTTGGCTACCTGGCGTAGGGAGTCTGATCCCCTGATGTGGGTGTCTGCGCCCGGGCGGGAAAAGAAGTATGGGTTATGGTCAGAGATGGAACAGGCCCTTCTGTTCTCCACCAGCACCTCCATCGAAGCAATCATTTCAGGAGTCAAAAGAACCGGCACTTTCCGACTTCTTTTCCCTTTAATTTCAATGCGTTGAAAATGCTGACACAGCTTTTTCTCAAGTTGGGACAGTCCCAGAGCAATGTCAGAATGGATCCCAGTCTTACTTCTTAAGGTAAACGCTGTCAGTGGCATCTTTGAAACCTCACCTTCCCTTCTTCGATTGAAAATAATGACCTCACAAAGAGTCAAAACTGCCAGTTTAGACCAATGCTTAGACGTTGGCTCACTTATTAGGGTTTGCACATATTCAGGTCGACATACCTCAATATGTGCATGCATGGCTCTAACGTCCTCAGTCAGAGGGAGCAGGTCCGGAGTGTTCCACTTGGCTTGCCGGAGGGTCTGTAGGGCAGCAGAAGAAACACAGACGTCCCACCTCTTCTCAAAAAGCAGCCGGCTTCGTTGGAGGTTTTTAATAAATAGTTCATCAACACAATGCTCCATTTTTGAGTCACATTCAAGAATATCTGCTAGCTTTCTGAGGCTATGGCCGAGTTTGAGGGCCAAGGATGGAGTCTTGTATTGATTTGTTTCCTCATCATATCCAGCCACAGACCTGACTGCATCAATCACATGGTTAAAGTTGGAAGGAATAAAGAAATCCTTAATTGTTTTCAGTTTCCCTGCGGTTTTTGATTCGTTAATTAACCTACCGACTTTTCTCATTTTCTGCCTAATGTAATCATGCTTAGTCTTATCATGCCCGTGTTTTAAGTACAGGTGCTCTCCGAGTCTCAGAATCCCCTTTTCTGCTTTGACAACACCCGTGACCTCATCCTGATGCATTGCCCAAATTAAAGACCACAGCTTTTTGCTGATGCCCTCCGGTACAGGCTGGGCTAGGGAGCAGAGGGACTGGACCCTACTTCTACCTGGTTTAGCCTGGTTTAGCCTGGGCATCTTTCTGTGAAAGCCGGCACCTGGCCACATGCCTCCACAGCGACTTTCGCTTAAGCAATGCCCCACAGTCTATACAGTGCAAAAACTCACTGGATTTAACTGGGCAATTTGGCTGTTTAGCTGGGACTAAAGTTCCAATGCCGGCCTTTAAAACCTCAAAATTGTGTTCACGGTTTCCACTATTCCTGATCAAATCAAAGTTTACGTGCTTTAGATTTCACAGGTAGAGCCAATGCTCTGGCTACGTCACTTTCATTTCCATGTTTTCTAGTCAAATGACGGGACATTTTGTGGCAGGACATTGAACAGTAGAGGCAGAAGTGTCTCTTGCTATAAACTCGCCCCCCATTTTTCTTCTTTTGCAGCTGCATGATAACAATCTTATTTGCCTTTGGTTCGTCACTTTCCGAGTCTTGAAGAAAAGTGTTTTTGATTTTTCTTTTTCCATACTTTTTTACAGGTTTCTTCTTGACAGTTAAATCGTCAGAATCTGAGTCGACTTCATCAATTAGGGACTCTTGACTAAGCTGCACAAACAACAAATAATTTGTAATCATTCTATATAACAATTTGAAGTAATGACTTGTAGTCAGCACTTACCAGTGGTTTGTAAGCGTGCGCTTCAGTGTGCTCCTCCATGATTTCTTGCAGCCTAATGAACCACACACTTGCACCTTTTTCTAGCCTGACACCTGATTTCCTCTGTTGTGCTGCTCCATGATTGGCTCCAGCCTGCTGGACTGAAATTGCCCCAGTGTGCCCCTCCTTGATATCCCGCAACCCACCACCAGGGTTCCGACACATAACACACTTTTTTCAGGAAAGTAAACCTCCAGGGGTCCTTCCCATATTTTTACAGAGACTGCATAAGGACCGTTAGAAAAGCATTACCCATTGATTATTAAGCTTGGACCAGTGGGGTCCGGTGTTCGGGCCCCACCACGTAAAACCAGTCCCCATGACGTGAGTGGAATCTCAGGTTATGGAACCCACCAGGAGTTGAAAACAAGTGCACACACACACACACGCACACACACACACACACACACACACACACACACACACGTACACACACACGCGCAACAAGACACAGGCCCAAATAGTGACTCACAGGGCTGTGAAGCACTTGAGAAGGTCCTAGGTTTGATTGTGGAGTTTGCATGTTCTTCCCTTGTCCCCTTCAACTAAAAACGATAGGAATTTAATATAATGAGAGAGAGAAGGGAGTGTGATGGTCGTCTTGTGTCAACATCGTGTGTGTAGTGAAAATTACTGGTAAATTGGTACATCAAATTATTAAAGCGTTGGACCTTAGTCTGTGAAATGCGCTGTATAAATAAAGATGACTTACTTACTTTGGCATTTTACTTATACAAGACTCTTTCTGCTGGGACAAGTAACATGGATTATTTATGAAAAAGAATAGTAAATGTTGATCTTATGAAACCATGAATACATGGTGATTCCTAAAAGTGAAAAGTGATATTCTGAATGTGTTTAATGGAGCGTATCGCTGCATGAATCAGCAAGTATAGCTTCAAGTAGACTGTGTACCCAGGAATCATATTGCAGTCTAGCTAATGTGTCCATTGAGACACAAAACAAACTCGATTTAGATATCACTTTCATTCAACCCTTTCCAAACCTCCAGTGTCATTTTTAAAGTCGAAATAATTGTGGTACTTTCCATGATCTGCCCTAAAACTTATGAGCGCTTATCAACTACAAATTAGTAGTTATGTGTTTTTTGTCTTCTTTGTGTTGGACATGGGTTACAGTATTTACATACCTGTACAATGAACCACAGGTTAGTGTGCAGCAAATTGCATTTCAGCTTATTCAGCTATTTATTTTTTCTCTTGAGAAGAGAAAACATTCTCAATTGAATTTTTGTTATGCAACAATGTGTAATAATTTGGCAAAATTGACTGGGAGTGGACTGTAACTCGTAGTCTCATTCCTGATAATGGTGTACTGTCGAAGCCTGCCATTTCTTATACCCCAAGGGTCACATATTTTCAAGGTGGGATTCAGCTCCTCCTGACAGGCGCTTAACCTGCTGCTGACACTATAAAGTCAGGCGGGGCTCAGGGACAACCTCAGTCAGAGAGAGCGGCTGTAGATGAAGCATGTGCATATGTTGGAGTAGCAGCCACAATGGAGAACATGGCATTTTTGAGCAGTCTTTCTTCTGTAAGCAACAGTAGTTTTAACAGCATTTGTTCCAATGATGCACTCCACACTCTGTCCGAACCTTTGCAAATGAACAGCTCGGGCTTTCTCAACAACAATCTTACATATGGATCTTAAGGTCTTACGCGCTGTGTATGACAAGAGCCGCAATTATCCATTTAACTGTTTTTTTTTTCCTTTAGGCTTGAGATGTTGCAGCAAATCGCCAACAGGATCCAGCGAGACTGTGTCAATGGCGAGGAGAGGCTGTCTTTGGCTAAGGCTTCGCTACAGTCAGTAAGTTGGTTGCAGAATCCATTATAATATTTTTGTATTTTAATAAGGTTTTAAAGCGAATGTATGTAAGAATTGTAAAAAAAATTACGTACCCATTTTTATTGGTTGCTCTGAACACAAGCTAAAATCATATTTGGTCTTTTCTGACTCACATAAGTCTTTTGGGTTGCCAACATGACAGGACAATGGCAACTAAGCTTTAGATATAGACATTTTTACTGACACTTTCGTGATTTATGATGTATTTTGAATGTCTCTTAGATTATTAAACAACCCCCCGACTGCTCCACAAGGAGACATGTATCTCTAAGTAACAGCATTTTTCTATCAGGATACAAAACGTCTGGAGTCTGGTATCCAGGTCCTAAATGAAGCAGAGGTGGCCAGCAATCTTTTGGAGTGTGAAAACATCCTTCGACAACAAGTGGTGGACATTCAAATCCTGCTGGATGGAAAGTTTCCCTTCGCTGATCAGCTTGTTCAAAGAATTTCAAAGCTCCGTGACGACCTGCTGGTCCTCAGGGCCGAGTGTTTGTCTGTCTACAGCAGGGGCCACACCTTAACCAGCGAACAGGCCAAGATGATGATTTCAGGCATCACACAAAGTCTCAACTCTGGCTTTTCTCCGAATATGTCCTCTTCTTCACTATCGGCTGGACTCTCTGCAGGGGGAATGGTCACTCCTGGATCTGCGTACACCTCGAGCTTGAGCCCATGTCTTTCCCCGGCCCATCCACCGGTCATGAGCCCTGGGCTGCAGTCCTCTATGCAGACCTTTATGTCTGGTGGAGGTGGCAGTTTGGATGCCGATGGCTTCAGACATGTGAAACAGATGCAGATACGAAAGCCTTTAATGAAATCATCACTGGCTGATCCCACTATGTCTGAAGACGAGGTCAACATGAAGTATGTCCAAGATCTGTTGACGTGGGTGGAAGAGATGCAGGTCAGACCAAGTTTGAATTACAGTTTCAGTCGTATGGAAAATAATTTCCCCACAATAAAAAAATTGCACTTTTTGCACAACAGCTGCAGTTGGATCGAGCAGAGTGGGGATCTGACTTGCCCAGTGTCGAGACGTCCTTAGATAACCATAGGAGTATACACAGAGCCATAGAGGATTTTCAAACTAGTCTTAAAGAAGCCAAACTTGGTGAAGTAAGTAACAAAAACATTATTTTTATCTATGTAAACTTCTGATTTCTACTTAATAGTGGTAAGCAATATTTGAAACTATTTTTCCCATATAGATACAGATGACCTCACAGACAAAACTAAACTATTCAGAAAAGCTAAACAGGCTAGACAAACAGTATGACAGACTATTGGTGAGTTAAGACAAGAATCATAAAAGTTTGACATTATGGTTGCCATGTTGTTTGTAACCATTTTCACAACACTTTTTAGAGTTCCTCTAGAGACAGACAAAGCCACCTGGAAAACCTACATGACTTTGTCTCAAAGGCGACCCAAGAGCTCATCTGGTTAAATGAGAAAGAAGAAGAGGAGGTGGCCTTTGACTGGAGTGACCGTAACAGCAATATCTCAAAGAAAAGGGACTACCATGCTGTGAGTAGCTTTTTCAATCTGTAGTTGAGTATTTCACACTGGCGGTGGAAATATAATCTTTTGGAATTCGAACAGGATCTGATGAGAGAGCTGGATGACAAGGACGATGCGATCAAGTCTGTGCAAGACAAGGCAGATCGGCTTTTACTCAAGAACCATCCTGCCAGGCTGACAATAGAGGTAACACCAGGACAATATATATTCACTAGTATCTTTATTTATGTCAATCAGTACTTTCATTAGAATGCTTAGAGTACATTCAATAAGACCTCTTTTCCTTTCAGGCATATAGAGCTGCTATGCAAACGCAGTGGAGCTGGATATTGCAGCTATGTGCCTGTGTAGAGCAGCATTTAAAGGAGAATGCTGTTTACTTTGAGGCAAGTATTTAATTTGTAAATAATGATAAACAACTATAAAAAAGAAAATAATATTGATCCTAACAAAGCTTGTATGTATAGTTTTTCAGTGATGCCAAGGAGTCCATGGATTACCTCAAGAGTTTGCAGGACACCATACATCGGAAATACAGCTGTGACCGAACAAGCAGCTTACACAGACTGGACGATCTCATTCAAGAATCTATGGTAAGATCAAAAAATGAACAATACGAGAAGATTTATAGCAAAGAATGATATTTCTTAATGTTTTGCTGTGTGAAGGATGAGAAAGAACAGCTGCTTCAGTACCGCAGTACAGTAGCAGGACTGGTGGGCAGAGCTAAGAGTATTGTTCAACTGCGACCCAGAAATCCAGACAATCCAGTCAGGTCTTCCATCCCTGTCAAAGCCATCTGTGATTACCGACAAATAGAGGTACCTGCTCTACTCTTGAACAACTAGTACTGAAGTAAACTTTAATATAATCACAATGTTTTTTAAAATTTCAGATAACCATCTATAAAGAAGATGAATGTGTACTGGCCAGTAATTCTCATAGGGCCAAGTGGAAAGTCATCAACCCAGCAGGGAATGAGGCCATGGTCCCCTCCGTCTGCTTCACTGTGCCTCCCCCAAACAAAGAGGCCGTCGACATGGCCACAAAGTGAGATATGCTTCCCTGAGTTTTTGACTCGCGAATTGAAATGAAAGACAGAATGTAAAATGTTTGTGCTATCCCTTTAGGACAGAACAATTATACCAAAATGTCTTGTCATTGTGGCACCACTCTCACATCAACATGAGTAGTGTTGTTGCGTGGCATCGTCTAATGGCTGATATCAGGGCTATCCACAACTGGAATGTTTCCTCGGTACATGTTCATTCAGTTATATTTTCTTCACATTTGTTAGAACAATACAATATGATGCAAATATTTCTCTTTGCTATTTCAGATCAAGACAATGTTACCAGGAGAGCACCAGCAAGTCATCCACAACCTGCAAGTTCACTTTGATGAGTTCCTGAAAGACAGTAAAGAGTCCGAGGTCTTCACTGTGGCTGACTGCGCTCAGCTCGACAGAGACGTGGCTGTCTGCAAAGAGTACTACGAGGAACTGCTACGCTCGGCAGAAAGAGGCAAGGCTTAGTTTAATTTTCCTCTGAAAAAACACATGCCTGTTTAAGCCCCTAAGCCCAGAGTTAATGCCTTTTGGAATTATCGTATTTTGTCTGACTAAGAACCTTTCAAAAGTCTTTTCTGGCGTGGATGCTTGTAGTGTTATGTAATAATGGGCGTTGTAGGTAATGGATCATAATTGCACGGATCAACTTGTAGAAAGAGACACGTGTTAATTTAGATATGAATCAATAGAAGTCCCAATAGAAATAAACAGTTTGAAAAGGGTTCAGATGAAACAGAAGCGTATTTGACTCCATACGCATGCAGACAGGACACAGGCCCAAAACTCTCTGACCCTACATTTATCTCCTATCGCTATGAGTTCGTTTTTTTCCTTGATTTCCTTAATTTACTAATCACCTTACAAAATCACGTCACTGTCCAAAAGTAATTCATGTACATTTACATTACTAGTTCTCACACATTTTTCATTGTATCTGTATTTCAACAGAGGAGCACCAGGAGTCCGCGTACAACCATTATATCTCAGACATCCGCAACTTCCGGATGCATTTGGAATCTCATGAAGAACACCTCATCAGACAGATCCGGACGCCTCTGGAGAGAGACGACCTGGACCAGAGTCTGTTGAGGATCACAGAGCACGAGGTGGGACTTAAACATTTACTAACTTTGGTCACTATGAAATGGACCTAGTTTAGTATATGACAAACATACTGTAGGTATACATTACATATAGATATAGAGTATAATTATCTCCAGGGTAATCTTGGAGTCTCAGTATCTCAGTACCTACAAGGACTGGTTGATTACTAAATAAGAAGAAAATCCAATTTAGCTGTTGCAATGACTTGGTTAACTTATCTCAAAATGTATTTGTTAGTGTTAAATGCTAACAATAAAGGGCCGTGCTTATTTTGATTATCTTTATTGAGTTTGTGATGTTTTGTGAATGTAATTTAATTGACTGCAGAAAAAGATTGTCGAGCTGTCCAAACTAAAGGAGGACTTTGATGTGATGAAAGACAAGTGCGAGGTGTTCATCAGACAGGCTGTGGGTTCAACCTCAGCCTCCACTCTGTCGTCTGAGCTCACAGCTCTGGGGCACAGCATGAACCAAGTCCACTCCATGGCATTCATTTATCTGGACAAGTAAGAATTATTTGTTTAGTTGTTTCTCAATTGCCATTATTTTGAATTGTAAAACTATGCTCATGACTTGATCTCAAATCTACAGGCTGAAAACTGTGAGCTTGGTGGTGAAGCACAGCCAAAGTGCCGAAATGTTAATAAAGTCCTATGAATCTAAACTGTATGAGGAGGATGCCATGAACTCAGATCTCAAATCTATTGAGGCTGTTGTAACTACTCTAAAGGTAAAACAGAACACTAATCATATTCTTGCTCTTTTTATAACACATGTTTAATTGTTCTTCCTCTTGATTTCAGCAATGGCGGACAGAGATAGATGAACAACAAGAGGTGTTCCACGACATGGAAGATGAGCTTCAGAAAGCCAGAGTTATTGGTGACCGCATGTTTAAGGCCCACAATGAACGAGACTTTGACCTGGACTGGCACAAAGAGAAGGCCGATCAACTCAGTGAGAGATGGCAGAGTGTCCACTCCCAGATAGACAGCAGGTTAGTGCTCTCACAACATAGTATACATAACTGAACTGTGCTCGTCAAACCAAAATCAATCTATCTATACCTATCTATATAAATCAATACACAATCAATCTATCTATACCTATCTATAGGGGTGGGAACCTAAGGATACCTCACGATACGATACGATACAAAGCTCACGATAACGATAATATCACGATAACAATATTACGATTTTATCACGATATGACGATTATTGATATATTGGTCAGAAATATACAATATGCCAATTTATGGCATAAATAAAATAAAAAATACTCTTTATTTCACAATAAATAGAATGGAGATGTGTAATGTAGCCATATATTAAGTATTGATACCAATTAAAAAAAAAAAAAAAAATCAAAAAAAAAAAAATCTTTTTTTTTTTTTTTCTTTTTTTCAAAATCGATATCGATACTTGGCAAATGCATATCGATAATCGAATCGCGGGAGAAAGTATCGCGATATATCGATTTTTTGATATATCATCACACCCCTACCTATCTATATATAAAAATAAAAAAAATCTGTAAATCTAAAATATCAACTCTTTGGTTCTACAATGCAAAGGATTGTACAAATACTCATGTTGTTGTTGTTGTTTTGGTGCTACACAATATATTTCAAGATTAGGTTAAGCAAACACTTTATATTTCATTGAATCTTTCAGTACCACACTACCAATTTTTTTCACCTTGTAAATGTAACCATAGGCTGAGAGACCTGGACGGCATCAACAAGTCACTCAAACACTACAAAGAATCTTATGGCAGTCTGGATGAGTGGATCCAAGAAATGGAAGCCACCCAGTTAAAAGCCCAGGAAAACAAACCCGAGGACAGCAAGGCCCTGGCTGAATTATTAAACAAACAAAAGGTTGGTTATTTTTTATTTTAGTTTTATTTTGTTCTGATATATGTATAGGAAATGAATAAAGCTTATGGTGATGCTTTAGGTTCTAGTTGGTGAAATTGAACAGATACAGGGGCGCATTGATGAGTGTCAAAAATACTCAGAACAGTACTCCACATCTGTCAAGGTGAGAGATTTGACATTTAGTTATTATTCAATTAGCAAACATCAGAAAAATTACTGATCTTGAAATCAATTATAGGATTACGAGCTGCAGTTGATGACGTTCAGAGCCGTGGTTGATTCTCAGCACAAATCTCCACTGAAGAAGAGGAGGATGCAGAGCTCAGCAGATGCAATTCAACAGGAGGTAAATAAACAAGAACATTTGAAATAAATATATATTCATTGTGATGTATAAATATTATGAACAAACATGTTTTTAGTTTATGGATCTCCGAACTCGCTACACTGCACTTGTGACGCTCATGACGCAGTATGTGAAGTTTGCCAGTGAGACGTTGAAAAGAACAGAAGAGGAAGAGGTAAGAAAGACAGTCTGCTTACTACCCTCTTTGGGTCATCTGCTTTCAGAGTTTTTAGTAAATTGCTACATGAAAGTTTGTGAATGTGGTTCTTATACTGTACGCATGGCTGTTCCTTGCTGTTATTGGTGATCGGGTCACTGTCTTTTGAGAAACTCTTGAAAGCTTGTGTATATTTCAAAGCATTACAGGTTAACTGGAAGTTGTCTTTTTGGTGAGTTCATGAACTTGAACTTCTGTTAAATTCAATTCAATTTAACAGTGAGTCGCATGCCCAGGGAGTGGCTCAGCAGTGGTGCAGCACATCTCATATTTATGATCTGTTGTGAACCTGAAGCAATGGATGACTTTTGTCTTTGCGTTATAGACCAGAAAGAATATTGAAAAAGCAGAAAGTGCCAAATGGACAGAAAGCTTGGAACTGCAAAAAGTAGCAGGTGAAACGGAAGTGAACCAACTCATGCAGCGAATACATGGACAGGAGGCACTGCTGGGCACAAAACAAGCAGAGCTGGAAGAGATGGAAGGAGAGATAGAAAAACTACAGCAGACCATTAGTGGGGTGAATCAAGACAAGTCCAAATTGGAGCATGAAGTCAACCAATATCGCACAAAACTCAAAATGGCTTTGAAAGAAAAGGATGCCATTCACCAAGAGTTGCAACACACACTGCAGCTGATAGAGCAGTTAGAAACTGAGAGAGCGAGAGCAGAGGAGGAAAGGAGACAGCAGGAGAGCAGACAACAGCAGAGCAGACAGCAGGAGGAGTCCGTACAGGAGGTAAAGGTGCAGACCACTGACAACAGTTTAGCTCCGGCAGAGGCAGTGTTGCTCCAAAGTGAGGTTCACACAGCAGCTATGAAAGACAACGAGGTCTTGCAGCAGAAACTTATCATGTCTCAGAGTAAAGCCGAAGTGGCGGAGAAAAAAGCAGAGGCCTTTAAAAAACTACTGGACGACAGTAATGAAGCTCTACAAAAACTTCAAATGGAAATAGAAACAGAAAGGATTAGCATCAACAAGAAGTCTGAAGACCTGCATCTCCAAACAATAAACTTAAAGAAAGTCATCGGAGAACTGCAGGAGGAAATCAGATCTCTCCAACGGGCCAAGTCGTCCTTGGAACAGAATGTCTTCTTCCAACAAACCGAGATGGAGGGGCTTAAAGAGCAGCTGAAGATTACACAGGGAGAGCTTCAGAAGAAAACCTCTATGGATCAAGATAAGTCCATTAAAATGCAAGAGTTAGAAGAGGAGTTGGATTCAAAGCAGGCAGTAATCGATCAGCTTAAGGGGAAGTGCGATCAGCTAAGAAGGAAAAATGTGTCCACTGACAGTGACTTCAGACATTTACAAATTGAAGCAGAATCCCTAGAAAAAGAAAAGGCTACATTTGAACAGAAAATAGTGACGTTGAAAAATGAGATTGAAAATGGTAAACAACAGCTTCTAATAGTCAAAGAGGAGGTTTTAACAGTCAAAAGATCAGAACAGGCTTTACAGTTTAAATATAAAACACTGGAAAGCGAGTTGCAGAAAAGTGAACTGGTAGTCGCCCAGTTGCAGAAAGAAGTCGATGAACTGAAAAAGGCCAAATTAGAAGCGGAGAGCAATGCGAAGACTTTTAAGACGAAACTCGAACAGGTAGATATGGAAATTGACAACAGGGACCAGCAAATCAATATCTTAAAGTCTCAAGTAGAAAGTAGCAAATCGCAGGTTAAAATTATTGAAGATGAACTCAACAAAAAATCTCAAAATAACCATGAGCTGCAGATAAAACTGCAAAGTTTTAGCAATGAATCTAGGACAACTTCTGAACTGCTGCAAAAAATCCAGATGCTTAACACAACTATTGCCAATTACGAGAAAGATATAAGGGCTCTCAAATCGGATATTCAAACGTTATCTACGGAGAAGACTGCAGCTCAGCAAAAGATGAACCGACAAAATACTGAAGTGAATGATTTGAATGCAGAGTTGGGCAGAAAGACATCCGAGCTTCAGAGAGAGAGTGAGGAAACTCGAAAACACAGGGACAAAATTAGGGAATTGGAAAATGAGATTGCCCAGTTTGAACGTGGCTCTATCGGTGCAGAGAAAGCATGTGTGCAACTCAAACAAGAAATGGCTTCTCTTCAAAATGACAAGAAAGCAGCAGAATGCAAAGTTGAAAGCTTGAATTTAAAAATAGCCGAGTTGAATCTTTCTATTAAAAAAGCAAACGATGAGTTAGTGAGGGTGAACTCTGAGTTGCGAATGAAAGAATCAAAAATATTAAAGTTTGAGACTGAATTAAAGCAAACCAGGACAACGGTGAAGGAAGTCATGTCCAGTTCAGACAGCTCCAGGTCAAATTTACAACTCGAAAATGCAATGCTTCAGAGGGAGCGGGCAGAGCAGATGGAAAAAAACATGTCTCTGTCTGTGGAAGTCCGAACGTATAAAGACAATCATCAACGGAACCAAATGGAAATTGAACAAAAGCAAAGGGAAAATGCAGCCCTGAAATTGCAAGCCCAACACATGGAGGAGCAGCTGAGTAACTGTAAGAAAATGCTAGAGGAGCTCAAAAGCAAACTTCAACTTCAGAAAGAGGCGTATGAGCAGCAGTTGTTGTTAGTGCGGGCGGAGGTGGATCAGAAGATGATAGTATTGCAAAGTGGAGTCAATAAAGTCTCGCAGGGATCAGACAAAGCAGAAGCATTCAAAGGGAGTTTTAATCAAGATATCCGACACATCCAAACGGTTCACCATACGACAGTGGAAACCAGACAAGGCCCAGACCAGCAGCACGTTCTCAAAATTGAACAAGAAAAGAATAAAGTCGTTCGAGATTTATCCGAAGCTAAGTTGCTAATATTGCAGCTTCAAGAGGATAATCGCAAACTCGGATCACAAATTAACGTCTTGCAAAATCAGTACAGTGAACAAGTTAAAGCTGGCCACCACAGTAATCAGGTTCAGGCAAGTGAGCAGGCAAGACAAAACCAACACAGCGCTCAGGTTAAGCAAACAAGCAAAGTGCCGGATGACATGAAGCGATCGCTGATAGAGCGTGAGGCCAGGTCGTACCGGGATCAGATTGAATCGTATGTCAAAGAAGTGCGAAGTCTGAAAGAGAAACTCATTACAACGGTAGATGTCAAAGCGACCGGTGAAAATACCTTGGAAAAACAGGCGAACAATCAAGCCAGCGCTTTGAAGACTGCTGTTATACAAGAGAATGTGACAGACTCAAACCAAGTCACCAAAGCCTCCGCAGCAGTCGACGCAATGATAAAGACCAAAGTGTCCGCAGAGGTATGCATGAAGAGCATATTATTTACAAATACAGATTTTTCAAATGGCAAAAACATGCTGTGTGGAACTTTGTAAGAGGCAGTGAAGTTTATCTTTTTTTATACAATTAAGTATTCATCTTTTTTATAGGGTTAAAAGGCAAACACACACACACACACACACAATAAGTGATGAAAAATCAAAAATCAAGTCATCAAATTCCTAGAATTTGGCGAAATCTCTCATAATTATGAGCACATTTTGACTGCCTTAAAGCAACATAGGCCAATGAGCATAATAAACAAGATACAGGAAAGGTCTCCATTGGAATAAGAGAATAAAATCAATAGTTCTGGAAACATGGCTTGTCCCATTGGCAAATCTTGTTGTAAGGGTTAGTCTTAGTCTTCTTAGTAGAATTAAAACTATGGGTTCTGCTATACCAGAAAAATTTACTCAAAAGAAGACACTTGAATCAAGCAATTAATACCTATTTTTTTTTAAACTATTTTTCGTAGTGTAGGTTCAGGACAACAAACTGCAATTTCTAAGAAGGCAAAATTATCTTGAAGTTTGAGACAAGCAAATCTTCCCATGACATCTGTTCTTGATGTAATTGGGATGTTGTTTTTCTATTGATTACAAACCAGTTATTACCTTTATATCTAGTCATTTTAATGCCATGCGTGAAACATTCCAAGCAAAATCAATATATTTTAAAAGTGCATAGTGCATATATAATTTAAAATAACACAGAATTGGATATTGTTAATACCTAATAAATGATCTGTATTAACTATCAATGTAAACTATGTTACAAAAAGGTATTTGACCCAACTAAAAGTATAGAAGTTTCATGCAGCATTTTTTGTCCCGGGAAATAAATTGTCTCATTAGAATAATAAATCTTTTTTATTTTAATTTCACATCTGCAGGTGGCAAACACAAAGTCCCGACAAACCCCAGAAGAACCTAAACACTTGACCAGTCAGACTGTTATCAGTAAAACCACACAATACGAAGAACCGGCACAGAACATGAACAACCAAGGGAACGCAACCACGAAGCGACAGTACATCACAAAAGTGTTCGAAATTACAGAGAACGTCACAACACACTCTGAATCTGGCCTCAGCACCAGAAAGGATGTGCAAACTACTTCAACTCATTTTGGTGGGAAATCGACAACTATTGCTGGAGTGTATGTGGAGTCTAGTAAGAAGAAGATGTCCTTTTTGGAGGCAGCTGAAAAGGGATTCCTTGCAAAAACTTATGCAGTAGAGTTTCTTGAGGCCCAAGCTGCTACCGGAAGTATCACTGATTTGACAACAGGTCAAACCATTTCAGTTCTGGAGGCTGCCGAGAAGGGAATTGTAGACCCAGCTTTGAAAAATAAACTTTTGGAAGTAGAGAAGGCGTTTTCAGGTTATGCGTATGCTGGGAAAAGGTTGTCTCTATTTCAGGCCATGCAACAAAGGCTAATAGACAGATACAGAGGCAGGATATACTTGGAAGTGCAGTTGTCTACTGGGGGGTTGATCGACCCAGAAACAGGTGCTAGAGTTCCTACTAATACAGCAGTTGACCAAGGATTAATTGACAAAGACACCCTACAAAGTTTGTATGAACCAGTTAGTAACAGCAAAGGATTTCATAGCTTAGACACTGGGCAGAAAGCATACTATTCTGAAGTACTTAAGACATGTGTTTTGGATATTGACGGTGGTGTGTTTCTTGTTCCATTTGGAGATAGACATATTGCCAATATTTCCTTAACAAGCTCCCATAGAGTATCTGTTGTGAGCAGCAGCCAGGGCAGTGAAATGTCAGCTTATGAGGCGTTAAAGAAAAAATACATTGATAACAGCACATATCTGGCTTTATCCAAACAAGAAACTCAGTGGGAGGAAAGGTCCGTAGTTGACACGAGTGGTAAATCATTGCGTATTATCAGTGATCCTAAAAGTGGACGGGAAATATGCCTTGAATATTCTTTGAAGCAGAATTTTCTTGAAAAGTCGGATTTTGAAAGTTATTGCAGTGGAATGCTCAGTATCTATGAGATAGCTGATGTTGTATTTTCAAGGATGGTGGTAGTAGAGGATGCAAACAGTCCAATAGCTGGTCTCTGGGATGTTGCTTCTAGAAAAAGGCTGTCTATTTTCCAGGCTTGTCAGCAAGGTTTTACAGATCGAGCCACCGCATTGAGGTTATTAGAGGCACAGGCTTGTACCGGGGGGATATGTGACCCTGCATCAGGGGAGAAAGCTAGGCTAGCCGAGGCTGTTAACAGAGGCCTTGTGGATGATTCCCTAGCACAGCAGCTACAACAGTTTGAGCAGGCTTATTATGGCATTGTCAATCCCAAAACAGGAAAAACATTATCTGTCTCCCAAGCAGTTCAAGAAAACCTGCTCCCAAAAGATGTTGGTTTTCGCTGTATTGAGTTCCAACTGTTGACTGGAGGACTGGTGAATCCTGAGACACATGGGAGAGTGTCTTTTGAGGAGGTGATGCAGAGCGGCCTAGTGGACAAGGTCACTGCTGCTGTGCTGAAAGACGAAAAGTTTCACACCAAAAGCCTGACGTGTCCGAAGACCAAGAGAAAGATTACCTTCAAGGAGGCTCTGGAGCGAAGTGTGTCTGACTGTCATACTGGCCTCAGGTTACTGGAGGCCACCAAACTCCACCCATTTGGAGCTAAAGCAATGTATCACTATATTTTGGCATTTAAATAGTGCCACAAGTGTTTGTTGTTGAAGTATGTAATGTAAATGTGTGTTTTTGAGACATCACATATTCATGTTTGACTTTGAGTTGAGTTTTATTTATGTCATCATTTTTTAAATTATGATTTTGGAATTTCTATGCCCTGCTTGATTAGTATTGTTATTGAAAAAGCAATATTCTTATTCTAGCGTTCTGTTGATGAGGAGAAGAGGGAGCATGGTGACAAAGTTAGCAAACTGTTGCACTGGATGTCCAATGTGAAACACAGCATCAACCAAGATGGCAGTGTAACAGATAGTAATGCCAACACAGGCTCTTCTAAAAGGCCCCAGGTGTGTATGTGTTTCTCAGCCGCTGTGTTCATGTGTGTGTGCTCTCTATGGTCAACATGAATTCACTTGTAATAAAACCAGTTTACCAACTCATGTAATACATTTATATATACTAATAAATGACAACTAAAAATCTTGCTATTTCAAATGTTCATCGACACTGAAATTATATTTTTACATTAATAGTTCCAAAATATAGATGTAAATAAAACATGTATCACTCACTTACCCCGATTAGGATCAAATCACTGCATAATCATCTTTGAAATTAATTACTTCTTATTCTGCCTTTTAAAACCTTGAATAATTTGATCTGAAGCCTACTATTTTTAAGATTACATTTGTAAATGTTAATACTGATATAAAAGCTGGGGTTGCTAACTTCTTTGTTTCATGAATACTGCATCCTGTTAGTCAAACAGAACAGTTTTGTGAACAATTCAATCAATCAATCAAGTTTATTTATTCATAAATCACAAATCGTGCTGCGCATGAAAATGTAACTGAGGACAATACATGCATACTTGTGAAACTATACTAGGCATAGAAGTATAGTTTTGAGAGTTTGGAACTAATGAGATGGATTTCAGTACAGTTATTCTTTTGTGGTTTGAAAGTTTGGCTCCCCAACTGTTAATCATAATGAGCCAAAGTGATAAATATACCTTTTCTGCTTCAAATGGCTTCACCTGTGTTTTAAACATAGCAGGACTCCAGCCAGGAGAATGTCCTGCATTTTACATATTTAACTTTTCATGGACTGGGCCATTAATTTTTTGCGAGTTCGTACAGGAATGGCAATAAATTATTTACTCGGAGACCATATTTTATGATAATTTCACTGAAGCCTCCAGTTAAACTTGTTATAACATTACACAAATCATCTGAAACTATTTGAGACCTTTTAGGCCTCTTCAGATTAGCATTCCACATCCGCACTTTACAGCTACAAGTTTGACAATTAGAATATTGTACAGGTGTATATATACTGTACCTATTCACGTGTATTTGTATGATTAACTTAAAATGTTACATGCAATGATTATGGCTTACAGGCAATTTCCAAAACATTATAACTTTCTGAGTGGTGTTCTTTGGGATTTTTACAAGCTGTGAGCCAATTATCAACAGTATAACACATAAAGGCTTGATATATATTGATATGTCACTTTGCCTGTATTGAGTCTGACATACATTAGTTTCCCATTGTAAGTTGATTTGCAGAAGTAAATGGACTTTTGAATAATATTCTAATTTTCAAATTTCATTTTTTCCTATTTCACCTGTATGTATATCACCTGTTTTTGAATTGATATCTCACTATACTATTGATTTAACATTTATATTTTTACCCACATAGGTTTCAATGGAAGACTTGGTCACTAAAAAAGAACAGATTGCCGAAGCGATGAGAATCACAGAAGCAAAGCTGAACAAACACAGTGAAAAGTAAGCACACATACTGTATTAATGTATATGTTTTTATCATTGATTTCAGTCTTAATTTGTAATCTTTTTTCTCAGAATGACAGATGAAGAAAGAGAAGAGGCCAAGGAGCAACTAAAAGAACTGAACCAGGCCTACAGTGATCTGTCTCAACATTGTGAATCAAATACAAGCTCAGCAGATGAGGTAAGGCCCCGGACCCCCCTCCTTCCAATGAGCGTGTCTCTAAGTGTGAAGCAACAGCGCCACCCTGTGTTCACTTGCATGACTAACTTCTTTTTCTTCCCCAATGAGAAGTGTGTTGCCTCCTTTTCACAAATGAACACAGCAAATTGACAATGACCAATGACTGGGTATGCTGTAAACATGCTTGCTTTTCTCAAAGTGTAGAGTGTAGTGTAGTCCCACCATTGTCATGTATGTATGTAAAGTAACTAACATTTATAGGCCAAATACTGGACTTTGTATTTCCATATGCATGACAGCTTTTAATGTTTGCCACCATCCTGCTGCAACCCTGAAATGTTTGTGTTTTGGTGAGTAAATATTTCATCTTTTTCTGTATAACTTCTATCTTATCAATTGTTGTCATACACCGTCACTAAATAAAGTATTGTTTATGTTGTATAGGTTTTCACATCTGGCTTGAATGGATTTCTGGTTAAGTCTGAGATTCTGAGCCAATCTCCGATTCAGGATAAGAATTGTACAGTGATGTGTAAATATATGGACCAACATCAAGATCCCAGATTTAAATCTACAGTGAACGACCCCAACAAATGCCTCCAGTCTGCAGACCTTTCCTCTGTCTATGTCTCTGAAGTAGCAGCTGCTTTAGGAGAATCCACACGGGAAAACGCCATCATTAAAATGGTGGAGCTCCAAAACAAGAATGAAGGATTACAGATGTGCTACACGGGACACTCTCAAAGTTTAGACGGGGCACTACATTCTGGTGTGATCCCGGCATCGCTCTTTATAAAGGCAATACAGCAGCAAAAGCAGTGTTCAGAAAATACTGTTCCTGACTCAGAGCCACACGAGGTTAACAGCATGATATTAAACTGCCTCAAAGGAAATAAATCAATAGTGCCCGAAAGGAACATTCTTTCTCTCAAGTCTTCAAGCCAAGGCCAACATTTTGAACAGGAACACAGCCAGCCACAGGATAACATAAAACCTCATGTAAGAGAATTGCAAGTGGACGCCTCTGTTCAGTGTGATCTCATGAGCTCGAGCAGCACACTCATCGTCCTTGGAAACCAGTTTGTCGGTGTGGTGCTGCCTCAAAACGTGTCCACATCGTTGCGTGTTGAAAAGGAAGCCATTTTTAGCAGCAGGCTGTTCGGAGATTACCAAAAGATAGTGGCTTTGTACATCCCTGAAATGTCAGAAGTTCTGGACATAGATTTAGCGGTTCATAAGGGTTACATTGATAGTTTTGCAGCAGACATTTTGAAAACAATTTCAATTCCGGACGAGTTACTGGATATTGATAAACTTAATAAAGAATATTCATCGTGGCTTACATATATAAGACTTAGATCAGAGGGTCAGTTAGCACCGCTACAACTGCATTTTAAGATTCCTTCGCCATATGAGGCAAAACGTCTGTTCATATCCTACCTGAAGATTAATTCATACATTGATCCAAAATCAGGACAGCGGATTTTAATAATGGATAAGCAGCTGACAAACATCATCAAAATATTTCTTGAAAATCCTGCAATTTATGACAATGTCAAGGAAGGTAATTACTCGGTTGGTCCAGCAGATTTGTCAAATGTGCCTTTAGAAATTAAGGAAGACGAAGAAGATGGTGAAGAGCCTATTTATACTGAAAGTGAATATTTTGTGTCGTCGGCAAATGGAAATATTAGCTTTAATGAAAATGAAAGAGAAAGCGATTTTATATCTGGGTGGGCAGATTTTAACAACCAAACAGTCAGCGATGAAGCCGAGATAGTGGACCTGGAATCATACCTAGAGTTTGAGAAAATCAACCTTTTGCCAAACCAATTTGTACAAAAAACAGAAATCCAAACAATAGAAACAGTAATATGCACTATGAGCTGCTCTCCTCAAATTGTAGCAAGCTCTGAATCGTACATAGATGCAGACTATACTTCACGTGTAGATCCACACCTTATTGAGAGTCATTTTGAAGAAAGGGAGATAGAAGAAACCATTTATCTCCAACAAGGAACCGATAGGGAAGAAAATACTTTGAATATGGTCACAGAGGAGACGTATGGATTGGACACTGCCACAACTAATAGTTTATTTTCCAAACCAGATTTTCAAGGCGATAGCAGTGTGGATAACATTCAGGGTAGCCATGAAAATACAACTTTAACATGGAATAATGACTTTGACCCACATAAACAGACTTCCTCATTGATCTCTAATCACATTCATAACATAAGTGACAGTCGCGGTTATGAGAAAGACACCTGTATAGCCCCCAAAGAGAGCATATACATCGAAGCCGGACACACTACTCCTTTTGATCCAAATTATCTTTCTACTAAAGAGCCTTGTAAGAAAACTGCAGCCATGACGCTTGAGATTACACACCAAAATGAATGTAGAGAAAGCCAAGGAAGTGCTGCACTAATGGAGCATGAGGCAAGGAAAAGCAAGGCTGAGATAAGTGGAAATCTATACTCGGCCACTCCCTGCATTAGCGATCCAGATTCTGCTTGCTCACCAGTGATGTCACCCCTTCCTGGAAATCATGTAACCGCCCAGAGTACATATCAGATTGATAAAACGCAAGTCGAAGGCAGTTTATTAGGAATTACAAGGCAATGTCAAGCCAATTTGGATCCAACTGTTCAAATGACTTCAATAAATGCACTTGCAGAACAAAATGGTAAACCTCTTTCCACCTCGCCAGATATTCACAGACATGTTTCTGTGGATCAGGCCACTATGGATAAAACTTCTTCAGGAAAAATGCTGTGTTTTGAGAATTTGACAATGGGCAATGAGGTAAACTCAGCCGAGTCACCATTTCATTTCGATCTCACACAAGATGACTCATCACTGGGGGGTTTGGTTCAGAATAACATTTCAGGGAAGAGCTTTGACAAAAACGATCCATCCCAGAACATAGTACATCAATACGCTAAACTATCTCCGTGCTCTGACTTTACTGAAAGTGAGGTGCAAACGAAACAGCTAAGAGTGTCCTCTGACGATTCTTCTGCTAATCTTAGTGAAACTTTTGAGAATGAAAACTCTGGAATTGTTTCTATGACTAGCTCTATAACAGACGAGGACACATTAGTAAAAGGAATTGTGGAGATGAATATTGTGGGTATTTCCCCAGATGAGCAAGAAATGCACATGTCAAAAAATGGTTCAATAAAACAGACTTTCTCGAATATCGAAAATGAGGCCGATTTGGTTAATATTGCTATTTCAGGCGATGTCTATGGCAATGAAAAGGCAGTTGAAAGCACGAGACATCACTTAGCAGTAACATATTCTAGAGAAACTGATATTGACAGTGATAGTGAGATGTTAAGGAATCCTACTCCTGATATTTCACGTCCAAATCCTAAAGAAACAAAGGAAAATGTTGAGAATCATACTTTTAATATCGACATAAGTAGTGTCTATGCTAAAGAGGAAAACACAAGCATAGATATTAAGAGACAGTCTGGAAATGATCAGGTGCTTTTATCAGTGAAAGATGGAAAAATGGATTCAGCTCAACAACCTCTATCAAAGTGCCAAGTAGGGGCAGAATTAAAATTTGAAAACGCCGTATTTGAACAACTTTTGGACACTCTTCAGCCTACAGGCCTTACCCAGAAAGTTCCCATTTTGGAATCAGAGAGCAATTTGAACAACAGTAAACAACATGAAGAGGCCGATGCCCCAAATATCCAGTTACTACTTTTGGACACAGATCCTGCTTCAGAAAATGCTGAGGTGCCTATATCAATGCTTTCAGTTAGGGAGCAAGAGCAAGACATTTTAAACCTAAACGTGGATTCAGCCCAACAACCTTTATCAAACTGCAAGGGAGAGATGGATTTAAAGATACTAAAAATAGACAGCGGTAAAGACACTGCAAGTCCACAGGAGCAAGTACAATTCATTCAAGATCACAATGTTGACTTTGATGGAGAGGAGGTGGTGAAGGAGGGATCTATGCAAAGCAGCTTAGAGACTCCACATTGTGAAATTGAGAGGCCTAAGACCAAAGAATTACTTCAAGAACATTTGGAGACACAACAGCCTAGAGGCCTTGCCCAGAAAGTCCCCATTTTGGAACCAGAATGCAACTCGAACGACCATGAGCACAGTGAGGAGGCCAATGCCCCAAATATCCAGTTACAGCTTTTGCAAATTCTGAAGACTGTCTCTGGGAGCGGAGACCTGTCTGTGCTGCAGGAGGTGATGGACACTTTAAACAGCGCTCTGGGAGGAGAGACTGCACCGGTCACACGACACAGACTGGACAGCATCAAAGAGGAAGAGGAGGCTGAAGGTGACCTCGATCTGCCTGTAGAAGATTCCACTGTGTCGGGGAAGGACAAGGACACCAGTAAAATCAAAGAAGTGCAAAATATGGTAGGACTAATACCCACAATACAAAATTCTTTCTTTATTTTTGTGATACTAATACAATTGTTGTACGTGTAGTTATTTTCAATTCAGGATTATTTGGAGTGTGTTGGGAAGCTGCAGGATCATGCTGATGTCTTGGAAGATATTCAAAAAGATCTCTGCTGTCCCACGCCTGGAAACATGGAGGAACTGCAAAGTCAAATGGTAGAATGTCAGGTCAGTATTTCTCAAATCAGTATCTCAGTATTTGTGATTATTTTACAAGAATGGACAGTTAAGTGTTTGTTTACAGACTTTGAAGACACAGCTTTCAGAGTTGGCTGAAGTTTTGACTGTGGACATGAAGAAAGCCAAACAACTTTTGAACTCCGCTGCTGTAGAAATACCGAAACAAATTCACCAGGACCTCGCTTCAACATATCTGGACTTAGAACCACAATTTATTGCAGTTTGCAAAATGTGTGCAGAGAGAAGTAATTCACTGAATGATGCAATACAAGCTGGAAAGGTAATGGATGTTTTATAGTGTGAACTATAAGCAACCTGAACAACATTAATCTGATTTACTCTTAGGGGCATTTGGAATCAGCCTTTGTCCAACATGTTAATACTCTCCAAGAGCTTGCAGACTGTTGTAAATGTGATTCTGAAGCTTCAGCTATGGATTTGAATGTATGTGACATAAACAGACTGATATTTTTGATCCAGCAAAACAAAGTAAATTGTTTCATAATATTAACCTGCATTGTAAAAAAGAACTGTGCACAAACATGTTTAATTGTTCCCTACAGGACTTGGAGAATAGTCTCCGGAAAAATGGCCGCCAGAAGTTAGAAGACGTCACATTTGACATCCAGAGTTTCCTTTCTGAGCATGCTCAGTTCTTGAGCCCAGCTCACAGCAGCTGTCTGCTCAAACTGCTCAGCTCTACTCAGAGAGCCTTCAAGGAGCAGACAGAGAGGCTGGCCGCTGAGAGGAGCTCCATGGAGCTTTTAGTGGAACAAAAACAGATGCAAAATCAGGCTCAGGTCTGCCTGCATATGATGAACACACCATCTAGTTTACTAACCAAATAATATCTTTTTAGCATAGTGGAGTGTGTTCTAAAGATGATGTTTTCGGTTCTGAAGCATGGCTTCTATGCAGCGTATGACTAAAACGTAATCCTCACTTGAAACAAACCAAGACCTCTCCTCAAACATTCTAGTCACTAGACTTTGCAAGCATGTTTACACATCCCTGATATTACGTGCATGTTATGTCTTTACCGTGTCTTTGTCGCTTCTTTGGTATGAAAATTATATTGTTTAATATTTACCAATTGCCAAATTTGCCTCATTGTTCTTACAGACAATACTTGAAAAACACAAGGAGTTCTCAGAAAAACTAGAGGAGCTGTTTGATGATCTGACACTGACAGAGAACCGTCTGATTGGTCATCAGCAGCAGGCAGAAAACACAGAGTCTTTGAGTGAACTGCAGCAGTACCAGCAGGAGCATCAGGTATCAGCATCATAATATAGGAAATTAGAGGTTATTCACATTAACCTTGAATTTTTTCCTAAGGCTTTGCAAAAGGATGTGATGACAAATGCCAGCGCTCTCAACGAAGTGGTCTCCAGTACGAAGAAATACCTTGAAGAAAACCGAAGTAAGCTGAGCCCAGCACAAGTGGCTGAAATCGAAAACAAGTTAGAAGATGCCACAAGCAAATCCAAGGTCATTAATCAGCGAGTTGAAGACTCACGAAAAGACTTAGAAAAAGTAGTAACTTCAGCTATAAAGCAAGAAAGTGAAAAGGTAACTCCATATGAGTAAGAAGAAATATATTTTGTGCGGATAAATAATACAATCTTTGTACTTTTCTGTATATAGGCAGCAGCTGTTGAGAGGCTCGAAGAGAGCAAAAACAAAATTGAAGGTCTTTTAGACTGGATCTCCAACATTGGACATGACAACAAGAGCAGCCCGGATGAAACGGACCATATGAGCAACACGAATGGCAACCCACCGGGCGAGATTTCAGCAAAAGAGCTAATGGATGAGGATGCCAACGGAAATGCCCCACGGAGTCCTGGGCAGGATCACAGCCGAGAGAACGGCCAGAGCAGTGCATCCGCAGATCTGGACAAGCAATATGCAAAAGTGAAGGTAAAAGTCAAAAATACAAAAAACATGCAGTTATGAAAGAGATACCAATGAAGAAATAAAATGATGTAATAACGCTTCACAAGACTTGGCTAACTGAGCTCCATCCAAGATCAAACCAATAAACTGTATGTCCTTTATCCTACTGAGTTACCTCTTTAGATGAGGTACCTCCTCTGAGTTCTGAACAAACAGGAAGCCGGTTACACAATTGTAAACCGCTTTGAGACTCCGATGTGCAGTGAAAAGGCGGTATATAAATAAAGATTACTTACTTACTACTACTTACACAAAATAATGACACAAGGCAGACATAAACACACATGAAACACAATGACAAACACACTCACCCATAAGGATTACATGAAGAATTGACTTTAACAATGACATTGCTATGTGTGCGTTTATCCTTGTTTATGTAATGAAGAATTGTATTGTAAGGGATATAAAGCACTATATAATTATAGCGTTATAAAATGTGATAAAATAATACACACTAAATGTTAACTGCCATTTTTATGTTTTCCCCAGGCACATCATCAGAATATTCTGTCTCAGCAGCAGGACCTTTTGATTGCCACGCAGTCGGCCCAGACCTTACTTGACAAACAGGCCAATGTCTTGTCTCCAGAGGAAAAAGAGAGACTGCAGAAAAACATCCACGAGCTAAAAGGGCGATATGAGACGTCTTTGACCCAGGCAGAGCAGCAGATGAAGCAGCTGCAGTGTGTCCAAGAAGAGCTGAAGACGTTTCAGGACGACTGTCAGGAGTTTGAGGGGTGGTTGGACCAAGCTGAAGACGAGATGCAGAAGCTAGAAACTCCTGCGGGTTCACTCAATATACTCACTGATAAACTGCTGTATCAAAGAAACTTCTCAGAGGATGTGATTTCTCACAAAGGAGACCTACGCTTTATAACTATATCTGGACAGAAAGTACTAGATGTAGCCCAAGCCTGTGGTGTGGCCAACGCCGCGGATAAAAATACACATGTGCCCCTGGATACTTCAGGTGCCTCTGCTTTAGTAAAGAACAAACTGGATTCTGCAGCCACGAGATACAAGGCACTCCATTCACAGGTGCAGAATTTCCCATTCATGTTATATACAATAACCACTAGAGGGCGACATTTGCCTCAAGAACAAACCGTTCACGTGTAAGATTCTGAACCTCTTTCTTTTTGTTCTGTGTTTAAGTGCAATCAACTTGGAAACAACATCAAGGATGTCATTGACAAATACAAAAAATATAATGACAGCACCGCAGGCCTTCTCAAGTGGCTCAACAATTCGGAGGATGAGGCCAGAAAGCAGCAATCAGAGGCCATAGCAGCAGATCCTCAAACACTGCAGAAACAACTGGAAGACAATAAGGCAAGACATAATGAGTGCAGTGTAAAAAAAGCAAGAAAAAGCTGAAGCTCATACATTGTTCAGATAGTTTGTAGACTCATTGATTTTACGCAATTGAACCGCAACACCAAATATAGTACTATTCCACTATGAGAGCTATTTTTAGTCATGAATTCAAATATAGTCCCACATGGGAACAGTTATTTCTCCTGCGCACTCCAACAAGAGGATAAGAGGCTGTGCAGACAGAGCTTTTGGCTGACTTTTCTTCTTCAATGTTAAATAACATTCCACAGTTGAGACGTCGTCATTTACAGCACTGATTCTCAGATAACAGACCGAGAGGCTCTGGAATCACTGGTTATGTTGTTCATCTCTGCCAATATTTGATTTAAGATGGAACATGATGTGTAGCTAAGAATACATATTACAGCATACAGATTTTTTTTTACTGAACTCTTGGCTCCTAGGTTTTACAAAATCAAACAACTGGACATCAAGCTGCTGTTGACACTTTAAGTAAAACAGCCGAATCTCTAATTTCCTCTGAGGGAGATCTGCTCAGCAACACAGATGAGATACAGGAGACAGTGGGTAAGCTAATGAAATGCAAATTGAACATGCATTATTTTTGTTTAGTTCCACACGGTATCAATACATGTGACATGCATATGTATTATTTGACATTCAGATGACATTGTGGAGCGTTACGACAACCTTTCCAAATCAGTAAGTGACCGTAATGAGAAGATCCAGATCACTTTGACCCGCTCCATGAGTGTCCAGGACGGCCTGGATGAGATGCTGGGATGGATGCAGCGAGTGGAAGCCAGTGTGAAAGAGGACATACAAGTCCCACTAGATTCAGTGTCCATGGCCTCTGCTCTCAGCAAAGAAAATGTATGTTCAAAAAGTCTAAATCAATGGTATTTTCAAATCTTCACATTGTCACCTTTCTACGTTTAGGCTTTAGAACAAGACATGGCAAGTCGTCAGGGCAGCATCTCAGCCATAAAAGCTAAAGTGAAGAAATTTGCAGAGACTGCAGATCCTTCAGCCGCGGCCCAGCTCCAGTTCAACATGGAGGCCCTCTCTCAACGCTTCTCCAACGCATGCGATCAACAAAAGCAGAAAGTGTCCACCTTAGAACAACTAAAGAAAAAGGTGGAGGATTTTGAGAAAGTTTCAGAAAAAGTTCAGCAGTTTGTTATGAGACGTTCACAGGAGCTTCACGAAACCGATGGGCCCAGCAAAACCTTCACAGAGCTGTCTGGGTTAATGCAGGTAAGGCAAGAGACAAGAACATGTTTAGTTTTTTTCCTGATGAGGTTTAGGTTATTTGCAATGACAACATTTCTTTAACTGCTTGGTAGAATACTAAAGCTGAGATGGAGGAACATGCCCGTGATTTGGAGAAGCTGCAGAGTTTGTCTAAAGAACTGTGTGAACTAAGCACTGATGGAAATAAAATCCAGATCCAGAGCAAGATGGAAAACCTCACAAATACATTTAACTCTTTCAAAGACACTGTGCAAGAAAAGTATGTTGTGAATAATGTATTTTATTCTTAAACTGTTTGATTAACATACAACATTCAATACAGGGAAGAGGAAGTATCATCTTGTCGAGACCAGCTGGAAGAATTCAGAGCTTTATCCAGCTCTCTCACATCGTGGTTGGAACAAACAAAAGACAAAGTCCCTGCTGTGGATCCAAGTCGCAGTGAAAAATGCCTGGAGAAAGATCTACAAATTGTCACGGTATGTTCAATATAGACTGTATATTATTCTACTTTGGATAAATATAATCTGTGCCAACCCCAGTAAGGGATTAACTTGTTTTTTCATGGTCTTATTAGGTTTTGTAAATTTAACCATGATATCAACTTGACTTGCTACAATATTTGAATCAGACTTAAGATTACTTACAGATGTAACTCGGAAAAATTAGAAGTGTGTTCAAAAGTCCATTTAATTCTGTAATTTAACTTAAAACATCTCATTTTTGTTATAATGGTGATAATGGGCTCACGGCTTGTAATAAGTCTATATATATATATTGGTTTCCCATTTTAGTTTACTTGCAGAAATAAATGAATGTTTGAATAATGTCCTAATTGTGTGGGTTTCATCTGTATTTCCTTGTAATAGGCAAAACTTTCTTCTTATATTCTTTGCTTTTCTCCAATCCACTCATTTGAGAAGTTCTGATTGTCTGTAATTTTCTCCAAATAAGGGATTAATGGATGAGTGGACCTCCAAAACTCCTATTGTGCAAGACATGAACAGCAAAGGCTCTACGCTGTGCAGCTTCATCACTTTCCTGACTTCACCGGCCAAGTCAAAGAACAGCAACAAAGCGGGTAAAGTCAACAAAGGCTTCCATTTGTTTGTGATGGTACAGTGGAAAGGAGGCATGGTGTTGGGGACTCACTAACATGTTTAATTCCTTGTATGCTCATTTATACAAGCTTTGCCTTGTGTTTCTGCATCAGCTCTTACTAATGGTGGTGGTCCAGTCAACCATTCCTACCTAACCAATAAAGGTAATTGAATAAGAATGTTTGTAAACGTTGGTGTATAGAGTTTATTAGCAACAGCAAATGTGAAGTTATTGTTGAATAACTCTCTGAAAAAACTACTGCAGCATGCTGAAAACTTTTTTGGTGGCATGTGAATTCATACAAATGCTAGATATAGTACAGTTGTTCTCAAAAGTTAACACATTGAGGCAAAATTTTACTTTTTTGCCCATATTTAGGTAATTATGAACAATAACGAAATCTTTTATTGTCAATTGTTTGCTATTTTCAAATTACAAGGACAACATAAACTACTATTCTGACCCTGATAGTTGTGGTTTTGATAGTTGTGGATGAGGTTCTTCAATTCCTGGGCTGCCTTAGCCTGGAGACTCTATATCCTGCACAGAGCGTCACCGGCTAGGGCCGCCTTTTATGAACTGCACATGTGAGATCTCACTTTATTCAAACACCCACTAACATTGAGTGGGGAAATAGGTTTTTAAGTCATCACGCATGAACTTTAAAATACTGTATGACCAAAGCAATGACATTTCTAGCTGGATGAGTACACTTTCAAGCACAACTGTGATGCAAGCAGGTTAAGGTTAATCTTAATATTACACAGAGGTGTTAATGGTTGTGTTGCATCTTAATATTTTATGTTTTGATTGATAAAACAATAATGATTGTTGATGAAAAATAAAAAACCTAATATTGTATTCCAAACACCTACTTACTACTACTTCTTCTATAGATTTAATGGTGATACAACAGAAGATGTCTTTTGTAAACGAGGAATACAAAAATCTTGGGGATTCACTCAAAAGCAGAGCTGCTGACATAGGTAATTTGGTTCACGAAGTGAAACGGGCTCAGAAAGAGACAGCGGACATGATGGCCTGGCTGAAAGATATGAAGAAAACTGCTGCTTCATGGAAAGTTGCAGCCACAGAGAATGATTCTGTTAAAACTCAACTGGAAAATCAGAAGGTAACAGTAATATTTCTACAAAGTTAATTTACTTCTTTTACATGATAAGACTAATCTATGTTTCTCTTTGGCCACAGATAGTTGAAGATAACATGAAGCAGAAAACGGAAGAAATGCAGGAGCTGAGAGAGAAGCTTCTCCACTTAATACAGACCCACCCAAACACTCCAGAGGCTGCCAAGTGGAAGCAAATGTTGTCAGAAATAGGTGTGCATACAATTCACCCTGCTGATTATAATATGAACAGTATATACTGTACCCATGATGCAGACGTGTGAGGAATATTGGTTTCTTCTTTGTAGATGCGGCCTGGGCAGATATTAGTGACTCTGTAGTGGAGAGGAAACAGCATCTAGAACAGTCCAACAAAAACCTGGACATATTCAAAACATCAGAGCAGCAACTTTGTCAGTGGCTGTCAGAAAAAGAGATGCTGATGAGTGTTCTTGGGCCACTTTCAATTGATCCAAACATGCTCAAAATGCAAAAGCAACAAGTTCAGGTTGGTGAACAAAGAGACCAATTTCAAATGAATATAAACTGCAATATGCTTTTTGTCTTTAGATTATCCAGAATGAGTTCAAGAGTCGTGCTCCTCAATACGAGCAACTTCAGAAAGCAGCCTCGGCATTGCTTAGCTCCACTCAAGAACCTCAGAATGGGAAAATTGTGGAAGCGCAGCTCGCAGTGGTCACCCAAAAATGGCAAAACCTAAGTGGACAGTTGGACTCCAGAGACAGTCTGATAGACCAGGCTGTAGTGAAGACCAGACAGTTTCAGCAACTATTGACAAAGCTGAGCGACACTACCACAGAACTAGAGAAGCAGATCACCAACCAGCACAGCCAGAGCACATTGCCTGATGCTGTGAAGAAACATCTGGAGGTTGTGCAGAAGATCTGCACTCAGCTGAGAGAGGAGAAGAAGAAAGTGAAGGAGGCTGAGGACCTTTGCTCTGAGCTCAAAGCACTAGTAACAGAGGACTATCTGAGAGCAGATTTAACCAGACAACTGGAGGCTGTCACAAAGCCCTTTAGCCAACTGGAGGAAAAAGCAGGTCAGTGGTTGAGAGCATTCAATACTATGATACAGTATGTACTAGATAAGTGTTGCAAATGCCAACCTATTTGTATTACATGAATACTTGATTATTCTCCCTAATCTGAGGTCTGTTATATGTTTTTTTTTTTCACAGCCAAATGCGTTGATGAGCTGAGTTCAACCTTCGCCAGTTCGCAGCAGTTCCATCAGACATCCAAGGACTTCCAGTTGTGGCTAAGCAAGAAGCTTCTTAAGGAATCCAAGTTTATCTCAGCCAAAGTAGAAGTTCTCCAACAAACTCTGGAAGACCAAAACAAGCAGCAGCAAACATTTGCTGAGCATGAACGCGACTATGTGACTATTCTCGCTGAGGGAGAAAGACTGCTGCAGAGTGTGGATGGAGCAGAGAAACTGGCACTGCAGGGGCTGCTAACCAAAATGTCTAGAGACTGGGAAGATGTGAAGAATAACCACACAGAACAAACTGAGAAACTACAAACTGCTTTACAAAAATCACTCAAGTTTCATGAAAACACTGACAAACTGAACTCGTGGATACAGGAGACTGAAAACAGAGAGGCAAGCGTCAAGCTTTCTGTGGATCCTGTGGAAGTGGAAAACTCAATTTCTCAAGTCAAGGCATTGCAAAAGGATGTGGAAAAGCACAGGGGATTGGTTGAACAGCTCAACACAGCAGCTGAGGGCCTTATGGAGGTGGCTAATGCAGATACAGAACTGATCAAAGAAGAAAAGTCAAGCATTGACAAAAGAGTAGAGAGTGTGGTTGAGGCACTACAGAACAGGAAGGACACATTGGAGCAAATCTCACACAAAGTAAAAGAGTTTAACGATGACTGCAAAGAGGCCCAGTCACACCTTGAAGCAGCAAAAAAACAGATGGAGACTTATGAATCGCAAGGTGTCCAGGCGCATAGCAACAAGAACTTAGCCAACATGAAAGCCCAACACAAGAGTCTGAATGGAGTGGAAAACCAGATTGATCACCTCAAAAGTCTGGCCAAGGACCTGGTAGTTGCTATCCCAGATGTAGATGGGGTGACCGACCTCCTGCTACAAAGTGACAGTATTGAGAAGGAATACTGCACTCTAAACAAGAAATTAGAGGAGACGTGCCAAGTCTTGGAGGGTAAATTGCAGGGAATAGGACAGTTCCAAAATAACATCCGAGAAATGTTTACTCGATTCACAGATTTAGATGATGAGTTAGACAACATGGCCCCAGTGGATTTGGACTTGGATAAACTTAAAGACCAAGAAACAAGCGTGGTGGGTTTTATCAGCAGACTTCAAGAACTAATGTCACACACATCTGATGCTGGAGAAAGCTGCAAAAAGATGCTTGAGACTGAAGATTCTTCTGATCTGATTGGACTCAAGAGAGATTTGGAGACCTTGAGTAAACAATGTGGCAAACTGCTGGATAGAGCCAAAAGCAGGAACACGCAAGTGCAGAATACACTCCAAAATCTGGAAGTACTTTATGAAAAAGTCAAAGAAGTAGAATCCAAACTCGACAAGGCTGTAGCCAAGGACACATCCCAGGATCCAGTTGGGATGGATCCTGGATGGATCAATCAGCAGCTGGAGTCTTTCAAGGTAACTTTTTTATAATTACTCTTAATACGTATACATATATATATATATATATATATAATCATTTCATAACTGAAGACAGATCTCATTTTCACTCAATCTGTTTTTTAAATCTGTTTAAATAAATACAAACATAAATTGAAATCATAATTCATATTTCTGTGGCGCAGAGACTCTGGTATATGGTACAGTACAGCTATCAAAGAATTACATTCGCTTCATTTGTATTTCTACTTTTCTCTACGAATTTACATTATGGGCCTGGCCCATTTGCCTTGCACATTAGATTCATGTCTTGGAAAATGATGTGTTTCTCTGTTGTCATGTGGTCCTTAGACTTCAAGGTGCTTTGTGATATTCTAGAATATACAAATATACAAAACTCTGCAGCCCTCACAGAACAGCCTTAAATAGACTCTAGACCCTATAGTTAAGAGCATTTGCAACATTTGCATGCCACACTCATGTGTCATTTTGCTTTCACTTCACAATGGTCACTTTGTATTGTTCTCTCACATTAAATGCCCATAAAATCTAGTAACAAGATGTTCATGGGTATAAATACTTTTTCAAAGCGCTGTATAAGTTCATTTGAGTTTCTTCATTTAAATATTGTTTTTTGTTTGTTTACTGCTAAAAATGTTTGGTTTAAATCAAACTCAATGACACTATAAGACTACAATAATTAATGCAAAGCTAATCCAGGTGCAGAATAAGATGTAAAGTATAGTGGTAGAATTACTCATTAGCATTGTGCTCTTGAGCCGCCACTGCCCCATACAAGGAATCCCCACGGGACTACCGCTTGGGGGCATATGTATAAACAAAAGAGCTGGAGCTGGAGCCCCGGTGGCGGTGCGGGAGAGATCCGTCAGAGCCAGGTGGTGACCAGCAGGATGTCACTTGAGTCAGTGGACTCAGTAATGAAGTCAAGCCCACACAGATCAACATTAACGCAGTTGCAGTTACTAATGGACTTTCACAGCTCTCTAATCTACTGGGGTTGATGTGGTTCATGGTGTTCATTTTGTTTAGCCTATTTTCTCTTTCAATCCCATCAGGTTACATTGAATTACAACAATATTACATTCCAAAGCCCTATATGTTCAGGATAAGTGTGTTCATTTTGACTCTAGTTTAACTTGCAAACTCTCAAACACCCACCAAGGTATACTGTAAGTTGATGGATGTTAAATACTCCAAATTCCTATGTTGTCTTCAAAAAGCAGATTAACCTAGTTACCAGATTCCCTAGTTGGGACTTAGTCAATTAAGTGTGTATTTTACAATACTGCACAGTAAACAGATGTGCAATGAACACAGATCATGCCCAATAGTAGGTCATGGGATTTTGTTTTCAATTAAGGGGTGTGCTGAGTGCAATAGGGTGGGGTGGATTAAAATGTGGGGGTGTCCATTTTGTAAGCGGTTTGGTCTCTGTCTTTGCAGAAAAAGTACAAAAGATGTGATTGATTCAGATTGTTGCTAAGCAACATTGTCATTGTGTTTCATCCCCCACTTTCTCTTGTCAAAGGCCCAACTCCCTGGGACCCCCTCCCAAGCCTTTGTTCTCACTGGACCATTTGGGGTTAGCAACACAACTTTGATAGCATAATAAAGTAATGCCATCACATTTTTGTATCATTATACCAGGACCATTTTCTATTCTTCAGAAGGAATAGATCTTTATTGGCAGTCTGCAAGAAATAAACACAGTGCACACTCTCCCATGAGCTATTACCATTTTAGGTCAAGTTTAGAGGTCCACATTCCAGATTAAACATGTTTACTCTTGAATTTGTAAGGAAGTTAAAAGCCAATACAATAAAAGAGTATGTTAATGTATAGGGCAGCTCTTTGCGGGTTGGGATTCTGTGCTTCTCAGACATTACCTCAGTTTCTCAAGTATCTCATGTACACTGATTCATTCACTGTGCACCCTGTAGCCAATGGAAGTAAAAATGTGTCACTGAGGCATTGCTGCTGACTCACTGCCAGTGTCATGCAGCCATGACACTGGCAGAATACATCAGATCAGATTACCACTGATGAGCTAAAATACTATTGTTGTTTTCAGGAGTCCTAAACTTACAATGATGGCCTGTTTTTGAAATGGGGGAATTTAGAAATCAGGGTAAAGATGTATGATCATTAGTCAGCTGGCACTAGTCAAGTAGGAGACAATTTTAGCTGCTTCCAAAAAATGACAATTCAGGGAACCAAAATAAATTCCCCACCTGATCGCCTTTATTCTCCTGCCCTGCTCAACGGACATAAAAAACTCTTCATGCACTTGGCAGAGCCCCTGGTATTAAATTACCTGGGACCTGTGCCTCCCTCAGCATTCCACAGTAATTAACAATATCTGCTGGCTTCTCAGCACCCATCCAAACGGACACAACAGCGGAGAAAAGAAAAATGTGTATCTATTTCAGAAAAGTGTGATGTCATCAGCAGAAGCCAATGTGGCTGCTTAGATGCTCACTTTCATTTTTTTTTTTTTTGGAGCCAACGTTATGCTCTACTCCCCATTCCTATAGTCACTATTGTAAAAAGGTGAATATATCAAGTCTCAGTATCAACTTTGCTTAGGAGTGAAGTAACACAGCCCACACAGACATACGTGGAATTAGAGGAAAAGGGTCATGTGTCCACCAATCAACATGTGCCGGAGCGGCTCTCAGCACAAACCGAGTTGTGGCAGATGTTGTCTGAATAATGAGCGGGGGCGGGGCCTGCGCTCTGCCAGGAGGGAGTCTGTCATTGCACAGGCAGCGATGGGAGAGAAAGAGCAGGGTTTTTTTTGTTTATCCACGAGCACCAGCGCTGAGCACAACTAAGACACCGTTTTTGAACAACCCTGCTGGACTTATGGATGGATACATAACTTTGCACTGAGGATTATCTACCCGACCTGGATTGTACAAACAAATCAAGGATTTAAATGCACTTTGGAGGAAGAATACGCTTTGCCATTCAAGGATATAAAGCAATTGTGCTTGGTTTGTTGACTGTTACAGTGGACATTGTTTACTTCCATACTCTGCTGCTGTTGTTCTAGAATAGTTTTATATTTGAATATATTCATAAATATATATTTATATATATATATATTTTTTTTTAAAGGATAACTGATGTTAACGGTTTATATTTCAAGTTGGTTTTAGTTATTCCTATTTAATATCTACCTCAACTATTTGTGACAGAATAGTGAATTATTTTGGCATGGGTAAGCCTTTAAGCAGACCAGACTGTCTGAGAAAAAACCCTTCTTGTATGGGCAAGGGAGAAGAAGAGGACTTGAACATTGATGACTGTTATGTGCCCCAAAGATCCATCTATGACACAGTGCGACTCAATGAGCAGATTGACTCCAGCTCGAAAGGAAGTCTCACATCTAGGCATTTCACTGGTACTTTACCGTACACACACCGCACCCTGGACTTCACAAACTTGTGTGGTAAAGGTGTTTTGTCTGCCTCCAGTTCATTTGAACTATCTACCAGAAAAGCTGCCATGCTGGATGAGCGTGCAGTGTTTGATGGATTTAAGCTCAATGGAAACATATCAAGAGCTTCAGATATAGTGTTGCCCAAGTCACGTCCTCAGGGAGTAGAGAAGAAGGACTTTCCTCCATATCGACGTTCATGGAGGGCATTTGCGCCAACGAATCTAGGCGAATATATCAGCCGGAGTGGGACCCTGTGCTCTGGCAGCACTGATAGACCTGCTCTTATCAATGGGAGGAGAGGACAGAGTATGACCAGCTCCTTGACATCTGAGGAGGACTCTGGGCTCTACAGCCCTACTGTAGAGAGAGATCGACATACTTATCACCCCAATAAAAGAGTAGGTCCTGGGACAAGGAGTCTGTCATCCTCAGAGGCAATGCACATGTCCGGAGAGCTGAAGACAGGACGGTCTCTCAGCTCCGGACAGGAGGACTTCCATTACTCACCTGCACGGGACAGTGTGCCTTTGTACCACAGTCACAGCCTGGTACAGGAAGGGAGACACAACAAATATAGTTTTAAAGGAAAAGACAGATCTTTCTCAGGTTCAGGGTCAAGAGTTCAAAGTTTAGGTTGGCGTTCGAAGAGAGACTATGAGGAACAGTCCACTGCGGAGCTGCTGGAGGATGTCCCCAGTGCAGAAGACTGTGACCTTGCTTGTGTGGTCACTCAGCCTGATACATGCGGGAACTCTGTACCTTTACCAATCGAGAACCATCAACAAATAAAACCAGCCAACCCCCCACTCGGAGCGTCTAGGTGGAGCTTAGAGGAGCTGGAGGAGTTTTTGCTGTCTGTGGAGGCTTGTTTGCCAAAATGTTTAGAGGAACTACAGCAGGCTGGGGAGAATGAGATCGAGTTCTTTCTGAATGCCATAGCTGCATGTTCAGATATAGACACAACAGGTCTTCGCAGTCCTCAGGTGCATAACATAACCACTTTTTGATATGAGTCTGAAGGTTTCACAGGGTCAGGGGCTTCATACACAAGGTTTTATTATTGTTTTGTTTTCATATTTCATTTAACATTCTTAATTACTGAATTCGGTTTGGCCATTGGCCCTACTTCCTAGTGTGATTATTGAGGTCTGACACAACCAACATATTTAGCTGATTTGTATTTAAATTCCCTAATTGAAAAAGTTAATTATTGGTTCTTGTTTGGTTTTAGACATTCCAAAAAGAAGATATTGACCCCTTGCATAAACAGCTTCAAGAGATCAACTCACTTGGCCAGAGTCTGGCCCAAAGTGCTACAAAAGGCACATGCACAAAGAAGTTAGAAGGAGACTTGGAGGATGTTAACACCAAGTGGAATACACTAAATAAAAAGGTAGGTAACACCAAAACAGCATTGATTCAACTACAGACTTATCATAATCCTTTTGAAAATGATTAAATCCATTATATTTTGTTTCAGATTGCAGAGCGCTCGGCTCAGCTACATGAATCCTTGCTGCATTGTGGAAGGTTTCAAGATGCACTGGAGTCCTTGCTCAGCTGGCTCACTGACACTGAGGAGCTGGTAGCCAACCAGAAATCACCGTCTGCAGAGTTCAAAGTTGTGAAAGCACAGATACAAGAGCAGAAAGTGAGAATTTCCACTGTTTACACTTTTTACAAACTGATTAGCCACAGGTTATATGACCTTAAAATCCTTCTTATTACTTTGATGAATGAATGTATGAGTATTGTATCATCTATTGTTTAACACAAGCATTACATTTACTTTTGGTGAGATTTACTGCTTAAAACACGTTACTATCACTTTGTTTGTGTTTGACAGCTCTTACAGAGACTGTTGGATGATCGTAAACCAACAGTGGAGCTTATAAAGAAGGAGGGAGGAAAGCTCTCTGAACTAACAGAAGCCGCTGAGAAAGAAAAGGTTGCTAAAGAGATTGAATGCTTGGGGCAAAGGTGGGATTCTCTCCTCAAGAAGGCAGAAAACAGGTATGTATTGCAAAATAACAGTTGAGGCGAGTTGTATAGAAATGTAATCCAAACAGGTTTTCATTACCTTTAGTTAAAATACAGTATGTTTATACTACAAAGTAGTCATTTGTTATCAAAGCACAAATGTAATAATGTGTCATGTGTTTTAGAAAAAAACAGTTGGAAAGCATCCTAGTGGTCACTCAGCAGTTCCATGAGATGTTGGAGCCTCTCAGTGAGTGGCTTTGCACCACTGAAAAGGTCCTTTCACACTCAGATCCCATTGGCACAGAGACATGCAAACTGAAGGAGCAAATTTCTCAGCATAAGGTATTAGACACTCAGACGTTTTCTTTGGCTTTGTTTGGCACATTTTGAGTTTGTCATTTTTTGTTTACCTTTTACATTCACTTTTTTGTTTTTGTTTTGTTTTCCCATTCCATGGCATATATCCTTGTTTTGACCCATTCCTTGACAAGACTTTAGAGGAGGAGATCATGAAACATAGCAAAGACTTGTTTCAGGCTGTTAATCTGGGTCAGATGTTAAGAACCGTGTGCTCCATTGAAGATAAGGAGTTTGTCCAGAACAAACTGGATACAGCTCAGTCTGGATACATAGAGCTACAGGAGAGGTGCAGGAGGAAGGCTGAGTTGCTGCAGCAGGCGCTGTCAAACGCTCAGCTCTTTGGGGAAGATGAAGTAGCGCTCATGAACTGGCTCAGTGAAGTGCACGCCACACTGAGTGAAGTCTCTGTCGAGGACTACAGGACAGACACACTTGAAAAACAGCTCAAAGACCAATGGGTACAACCTCCTACCTCATGCCAAGTGTTTAGTTTGTTTAAATCACATTTGAGTCACCCATTATCATTTATAATTTGTCTCTTAATTTTCATCAAGCTCAAGACGGTTGAATGGTTTATTCATTGATAATAATTATACTGGTTTTCATTTGCAGACATTGCAAAGTGATATTGAGTTGAGAAAGAAAGACGTAGACCGAACCATTTTTAGCGGGATGGAGCTTCTGAAACAGACAACAGGCACGTATTGGGTCCTTTTCACAGAAAAATAAATTTCATGCAGTTATTATTTTCCTAATTAGTTGATTTCATGCATCTTTCCATAGGTGATGAGGTGGTTGTAATTCAGAGCAAACTGGATGGAATTAAAAATAAGTATACAGAGATTAACACCATGAGTGACAATGTGCTGAAGACGTTGGAAAAAGTTTTAGGTCTCTCAACACAACTGCACCAGACCCATGAGGATCTGAACAACTGGCTGGAAACGGTGGAAGCTGAAGTCAATGCATTTGCTGTTAATGATGCAGCAGGCGTCAACGGGCAACTCGTTGATATCCAGAACAGGAAAAAGGTATTTTTACAAAGACTTTTGTATGATATAGGGCAGTGTTTCTCAAACAACGTGTGGTCAATCCTGGGTACAGCTTACTATCACCATATCTGAATTGTTGCTGTTCTGTGTAGAGCCAAATCTATACGAAAAGATTTTTCTTGGATTATAACGGAGCTGTGAAGTGGGTGGAGCTTCTTGGGGCTGGAAGTAAAATTCCCTATTCAAAATCCCCACAGGAAAGTTGCAGTGTGGGACGGGAGAATAAGAAGCACTGACCTTGTCTGCTCCTGCCCCTCTCACTGCTCTGGCATTCATTGCACCACCTGCTTGGCCTGGCTTTTTGTTAGCACCTTATTGCAGCCTTGTTTTTGTTTGACCTGGTGGTCCAGTGGTTACATTTCCGCTTCTGCTTTTGGAATGGCTCATCAGGTCCAGGTTGATTTATTACTAATTTGACTTCTGGAAGCTCTGCCCACTTTGCAGCTCCATAAGGCTAAGCCACATCTTAAAAACACACCTATTATTGTAGTTCAAAATTGAATTACCTAAACAACGGAGCCCTCGAGGATACATTGAGACTGATATTGGGTCTTTAAAAGTATTGTTTCAAACTTTGCAGGATTTGTTACAAGTGACAAAGAACCACAAACCGGTTGTGGACAAGCTGAATGAGTTGAGTGGCTCCCTCCTGGATCTGATCCCCTGGCACACTCGTGAAAGTCTGGACAAACTGGTCACTGAAGACAATGATCGCTTTAAAAGTGTGTATGAGAACATCAACCAACAAGTCGACCAGATCAACTCAGATATACTACAATCTCAGCAGGTACAGGAAGTGATACAGTGTTTTCACATCACACTCACAATATCTCATGTAGATGCCGTTAATTGTAATATCTTCTACATCTAGTTTGAACAGTTGGCCGATACCGAGCTTGCCTGGCTGACTGAAGCAGAAAGAAAGCTTCTTTGTGTAGATGAGATCAAACTGACGCAGGACCAAACCACCTCACAGCTCCAAGCCCAGAAGGTTTGTCTTGTTGATTACACAGTAATCATTTACAGTGTAAGCAAACACTGGCTTTTATCTGCCCTTTATCTAGCCTTTAACTCACTTGACTGGTTTTTCAGATGTTCTCTATGGACATCATGAGACACAAAGATACTGTGGATGGCATTGTGAGAACAGGAAAGGCTGTTATGAACAACAGAAATCCAGAGGGAAAAGAAACAATTCAAGTATTGTATAAATCATAATGGGTTACATTTTTCTTTAAAAAATTAACAAAAAGTGACGTTAAGTTTTTTACACAGGCCAAGACACAAGCCCTCCTGGAGAAGTATGGTACTGTCAGTCAGATGAACTCTGAGAGGTGTCTCCAGCTTGAGAGGGCCCAGTCTTTGGCTGCTCAGTTTTGGGAAACGTTTGATGAGATGTGGCCGTGGCTTCAGGAAACTTTGAAAGTCTTTACTCAACTATCACCACCTGCTATTGAGTACGAGGCACTTAAACAACAGCAAGAGGAGCTCAGAGTAAGAACAAGAATGTGAAGACAAAAACACATATGTATGCATCTCTAATAACTACTGAATGCTTTTTCTTCAGCAAATGCGAGAGTTGATTGCTGAGCACAAGCCACACATTGACAAAATGAATAAGACCGGTCCCCAGATGCTTGAGCTGAGTCCAGGGGAAGGAGTGCCTATTCAGGAAAAGTACACTACAGCAGACCAGCTCTACACTCAACTTAAGGCAGACGTCAAACAGAGAGCTGCTACTTTAGATGAAGCCATTTCCAAATCAACACAGGTAAAAATCAAGAACGCAACGTCTCGTCTCCAGATTTCCCTTAGAAAATATGGTTATACTATTATGACTTTTTCATCTAGTTCCACGACAAGATTGACCCTATGCTTGAATCTTTGGAGAGAATTGCTGAACGTCTTCGCCAGCCTCCGTCTATCTCAGTGGAAGTGGACAAGATTAAAGAACAGATAGCAGAAAACAAGTCAGTGTCAGTGGACCTAGAAAAGCTCCAGCCTTCATATGACACACTCAAGCAAAGAGGCGAGGAGATGGTGGCACGATCTGAAGGGGCAGACACCTTTACATCTGCTAAAGGTACATACAGATTTAGTAGGTGGTGAAAAGTTTTGATCTATTATTGATTGTATTGATAATAATGCTTTGTGCCACAAGTTGTGCAAGACAAACTTGACAAGATGGTGTTCCTGTGGAGTGACATCCAAGCTCTGGTGGAGGAGCGAGAGGCAAAGCTCCTGGATGTTATGGACTTGGCAGATAAGTTTTGGTGTGATCACTGTGCTCTCATTGTGACCATCAAAGACAGTCAAGATCTGCTGAAGGAACTGGAGGAGCCTGGAGTTGACCCCTCTGTTGTCAAGCAGCAGCAGGAATTTGTTGATGTAAGTGCAATCCAGCACGCTACAAATGTAACAAAAGGCAACAAGATGTTTATATATTTTTTGGCCAACTTTTACTCTGACTTTTCACCACGAGAGTTGGCCAAGTCTACTTTTTAGAGATTTGAGAAATTATTAATTCTCGGTGCAGTATTTTGAATACTTTTTTGCGATATAACTATATAATATGAATGGGGTTGAACATAATTTCAGAGTTATTTGGTTACCGAAGGCAATCAATAATATTGTGCTTTGTATTTTGTATTTCAGGGTTTTAAAGAAGAGATTGACGGACTCATGGAGGAACTTGAAGCTGTTCAAAACCAAGGAGCTGATTTGATGGCTGCCTGTGGAGAGCCAGATAAACCTGTTATAAAGAAAAGCCTTGATGAGGTGATTATTTTTCTTATCATAACAGCCTTAATTTTATTTATATTGATTGCTAACAATTTTAATTGTGAATTCAGGTGGCATCAGCATGGGAAACCTTGAATAAAACATGGAGGGAGAGAGGGGATAGACTTGAGGAAGCAATGCAGGCTGCTGTGCAATTTCAGGATGGACTACAGGTAAAACTTGCTTGTAGTCTACAGGATAAGATAATGTTTGAATTGCACATAATACTTTTACTATGTCTTTGTCTTTTAAAACATTCATTTAAATTCAGCCATAAGCCATTTTACAGTGAACAAGTCTTTGCAGACAATAGGGTCTACCCGTGTTTCACTGAGGCAGTTTGATATCAACAAAGTGAGACCAAATCAATAGTTTGAGAATGTAAGCTGAGAGCACCACCTTAAGCCAAGAGATACAGTTTCTGTTGTCATTATTGTGTTAGTAATGGTGTGGCTTTGACACAATTGTGAAACCCTGGGGGAAAATGTTGAAAACATCTTAAAGTATCTAGTGTACCAATGCTAGTATTATCAAAAATGACACTAGAAACATTATAAATGGTGATTATCTATTCATATCAGTTCTTCTTCCTCGAGGATGACTAATGGAAAAGTGAAATTTGATTCTTTGAGAAAATCTATTTTGTTCTGCTTCTTGCACAGGGCATGTTTGACTGGGTTGATATTCTGGAAAGCAAACTGGATTCAATGTCCCCTGTAGGCACCGACCTGGAAACAGTCAAGCAGCAAATCGTGGAACACAAGGTAGCACCTCCTGAGTGTTTGTTATGTTTGAAGAAAAAACTCCCAAATACATTCATCTGTTTGTACTCACTGGTTCATTTTGACCCAGTTTGATTTCTATTTGTCTATAGAATAATTGTGTTGTACGTCAAGATGTACAGCTAAATGTCTGTACAGCTGGTGTATAATGAATAAATACAAATTGTGTATTATACATCAAAGAATTATAAATTATACAAAAAAGTAGTTTACATTTGTAGACATTTGCACTCAGAGGTAAAAATACATGTAATTGCCGTACCTATGCAAGTACATGTTACAGAACCTTCTAAACCTGTTCAAGGTTTACTGACCCCTCCCATACACAGACACTGTCCCAGCCCTGAGGGAATGTGAAAAAGACACTCTTTACAGAGTAAATTGGGGTTATTGGGGGATGCACAAACAGTGTGTTCTCTGATAATTGGTGCAGAGTTCACATGCTGCTTCTTTTTACATTACTGACGGTGTGTTTCTTTGTGCCAGGAGTTCAAAGGAGAAGCCTACCAACTGCAGATTGAGATGGAACGCTTGAATCACCAGGCAGGACTACTTCTTAAAAAGGCCACAGAGGACGCTGACCGATGTGCCATCCAGGAGCCCATGTCTGAGCTGAAGATGCTCTGGGAAAACTTTGAAGAGAAGATTATCAGCCGACAAGTATGATATACGATGACTTGAATTTCTCTGGCAGTGAAACGGATTCATAAAACTGGCCTAATTCATGTCATGTCAACTGGTATGCTTTTGATGATAATAATGCTTTAATCTGTGATTAATCTAGCACAAACTGGAGGCAGGCCTTCTGGCTCTGGGGCAGTTTCAACATGCTCTGGATGAACTGTTAGCCTGGATGAGTCACACAGAGGAACTCCTCAATGAACAGAGAAAGACAGGTGGAGACCCTAAAGCGATGGAGATAGAGCTCGCCAAGCATCACGTATGATACATTTTAAAATTTACAAAGTAATATGGTGATTAGCAAAACCACCCTATATAATCTATACTAACAGAACTGGATGATTCTTTGCATCAGGGAATAACTTTTTTCAAAATATTGTAGGTCCTCCAAATAGATGTTTTGGCACATCAAACCACTGTTGAGACCGTGAACAAAGCTGGCTATGACTTAGTGGCATCTAGCGCTGGAGAAGAAGCCTCAAGTCTTCAGAATAAGCTTGAGAGTTTGAACCTGAGGTGGAAAGTTATTCTTGAGAAGACCGATCAGAGAAAACAGCAACTACAAAGTGCTTTGCTCCAGGTATAAAATGACACATGTGTTGATCACATGTGTTGATGTTGATGGGAAATCATATCATGCTTCTCAAGAGACATTCACATTTCCTAAGTTACAACATTGAAATATCTATCAACATTGAATTTGTTTGTTGCTGCATGGGTATAGTGAGTTGGACATCTTTGTGAGTGTAACAATGCATGTGTGATACATTTTGTCCTGACTCAGGTTGTATTGTGTTGCAGGCTCAAGGTTTCCATGGAGAGATAGAAGATATGCAGCAGTGGCTCAAAGACACTGAGCGTCAGCTGTTGGCATCAAAGGCAGTGGGAGGCTTACCAGACACGGCCCGGGAGCAGCTTAACGCCCATCTGGTATGTGTTTAACATTATGAAAGGCTGCATGCAGATGGCAACCCCGTATGTAGACAACTATGTCCTCTGTTTTCAGTCCGAAGTGTGAAAATCAAATGGCATGCCTAAATACACAGTGTCTATCAACCATGCATAAAATAACAAAAGCCCCTGAGGCGGTTCAAATTGATTTGGCCATAGTGAGACAAATAATAGGAAGGTTTTCTCCTTTGCCATTTATTGTTTCCTAATCATTTACTGTGCGGGTGACTCCTCATAATCATGTTCTATTTAATCTACCAGGTAATGGAGCATGAAGTTATTATACATTATATGGGTCCAAATATGTAGACTACAGCACAACTATTTTCATTGTTTTCATCACTAACATGTTCTTTTTATACATAGGAACTGTGTTCTGCCTTTGGAGCAAAGGAGGATCTGTACCAGGAGCTCATCCACAAGGGCCAACAACTTTTGTCTGTGACGCCTGAAGGCACAGACAGCAACACAGAGCATGACCTCGCCAATCTGACAGAGAAATGGGAAACTGTGAGGGCAAAGATCACTGATAGAAAGGTTAGAATGTAATGTATGCTTTTAATAATCAAGTTTGAATGTAGCTTCTAGGATGACGCAGCTTTAGAAGTGTTGGAAAAAAGACATGTTTCGATCATAATGCTCATATTCTTTGGGGAAGTGGTTAGTGAAGATGATGTCCGTCTTTTCTGAGTCACTACAAAACTACTGCAATTCCATCTGCCTCAGCCAGAAATAACATGTCAAGGATACCAAACAATAGTCCAGCATGTAGAAAATATATAGTGAAGAGCATACTAATGACAATAATAATAGACTGAAGTAATATGATGATGATTCAATTTAGTAGGAAATTTGAGGACAGCTTACAGCTCTAGATCTGGTACATATTGAATAAAAAAAAAATTCAAGATAACATTTAAAAAGGCATTGGTGTCGGCAGTGAGAAAATTCTGTATACACGTTGTACAAAGGATGGACAAAAGACAGCTGAAGAATAATGAATTTAAACATTCGATTGGTAATGTCATCAACGCTGAATTAGTGTGCTGTAATCAGCCTGAACCACCAGCCTTGGCTGCAGCAAACGGAAGTTGATCAGTGCTGCTGTTTTCTCATCAAATTAAAACCTCATTGCCTCCTCATTATCCTGCCCAGAAGCATTTACGCTGTATACTTAGGAAAGAGAAGGATTCGTAGTTTACCGAAGTTGCCACTGCTAACAAATGTTTTGCATAAAAAAAATATTGATTTTCAAAAAGTTTCGTTTTGATGTTTTCAGGTTAAATTGGAGGAGGCTTTGACTCTTGCCACAGATTTTCACAACTCACTGCAGGACTTTATAAACTGGCTAACTCAGGGCGAGCAGACACTGAACATGATATCCCCGGCTTCACTTATTATAGAAACCATCATGTTTCAGATCGATGAGCATAAGGTACAGTCACACAATTATAATTATATAAGTTACATAAATATAAGTATATTGTACACATTGTGTTTTGTGCAGATGTTTATAACAGAGGTAAATGCACATAGAGAGCACATCATTGAACTGGACAAGAACGGGACACAATTGAAATACTTTAGCCAGAAACAAGATGTGGTCCTTATCAAAAACCTGCTGATTAGTGTGCAAAGCCGCTGGGAAAAACTGGTTCAAAGATCTGTGGAGAGAGGTCGGCTACTGGATGATGCAAAGAAAAGAGCTAAACAGGTATTTATGTTGCCTGACTGCCCCCACTATGTTCAAATAACATAATATAATCCCATTTTATAATGCTGTAATAATAATCATTTAAACAGAATCTTATATCTCCTCTGTTTCACAGTTTCATGAAAGCTGGAACAAACTGATGCAGTGGTTGGATGAGTCTGAGAGGAGCCTTGACTCTGAGGTGGAAATTGCAAATGAACCGGACAAAATCAAGATTCAACTGACGCAGCACAAGGTAATTTCATTTTTTCTATTTACAAATACTATAACTAATGACAATGGTCTTTACATAATGAGACTCGTCAAAGAGTATACACAATGTCATTCCCTTTCATAGACTGGCCGTGTTATGTGTTAATCCTATCTGGGCTATGGACTATGTAATAAATAGAAAAGTGTTTGCAGACTTGTACTTTTATTGATGCACATTATTGTACTTGTCATGCAGGAGTATCAAAAGGCTCTTGGCAGCAAACACTCTGTTTATGACACCACGTCTCGAACGGGCCGTGCCTTAAAAGACAAGACCTCGCTTCGGGATGATAAGCAGAAACTTGACGACATGTTGAGTGAGCTGAGGGACAAATGGGACACAGTTTGTGGGAAGTCCATTGAGAGGTTTGCACTGCCTTTGATTCACGTCACTGTTACTATTAGACACAGTTTAATCATAGCTCCGATATGTGTTTCTAGACAAAACAAGCTGGAGGAGGCCCTATTATTCTCCGGCCAGTTCAAAGATGCTCTGCAGGCTCTCATTGACTGGCTGTACAGAGTCGAGCCTCAGTTGGCAGAGGACCAGCCGGTTCATGGAGACATTGACCTGGTTCTGAACCTGATAGACAACCACAAGGTACTGTACCCCAACAGACAACACAAACAAGGTTTGGTTTATGATAGTTAAACATATCTTGATATATATTGCCACAGGTTTTCCAGAAGGAGATGGGAAAGAGGACAGTCGGTGTACAGGCGCTCAAGCGTTCAGCTCGAGAGTTGATGGAAAGCAGTCATGACGACACCTCGTGGGTCAAAGTCCAGATGCAGGAGCTCAGCACACGCTGGGACAGTGTGTGTAGCCTGTCAGTGTCTAAGCAGGCCCGTTTGGAGCAGGCCCTCTGTCAGGTAAAAGAGCCTGTCATTCCCTAATGAGAAAGAAGTAGCTGTGGGTCTTATCATGTGTGACTTGTGTTCCAGGCTGAAGAATTTCACTCCTCGGTCCACATCCTGCTCGAATGGCTGGCTGAAGCTGAGCAGAGTTTACGGTTTCATGGGAGTTTACCTGACGATGAGGATGCACTAAGGGCACTCATCGAGCAGCACAAGGCAAGAAACTTGTTTTTAGTTACCCTTCATCTATTTATCTCCCTTTTATATTTATCATGTAATACATTTGAATTAATGTACAGGACTTCATGAAAAGATTGGAGGATAAGAGAGTGTCACTCAATAAAGCCACCGCCATGGGTGAGGCTATACTGAGTATATGTCATCCTGACTCTATCACGACTGTCAAACACTGGAACACCATCATCAAGGCTCGATTTGAAGAGGTCAGGGTTGCAAATGAAACTAAAAAGCATACCACTCACTGCATTCATCCAGTAAATATTCATAATATTGGTGCACAGGTCCAAGCCTGGAGCAGACAATACCAGCAGAGACTGACCACAGCCTTGAACGAGCTGTTAGCAACGATGGATCTGTTGGACAAACTGCTGATGTGGCTGCAGTGGGCAGAAACCAATCTCTGTGATAAAGATAAAGAAATACTTCCAGAGGAGATAGAGGATATAAAGCATCTTATAGCAGAACATCAAGTAAATCAATTTTCAATATGTTTAGAACATATGAGTTGTATAAAAATTAAGATTGACACTCTTGTTTTACCCAAAAGAGCTTCATGGAGGAAATGACTCGCAAGCAACCAGATGTGGATATAATTACAAAGACCCACAAGAGGAAAGCTACCATGGAGCCTCATGTCCAGTCGCAGATCCCTGTGTTGGAAAGAGGAAGAACAGGAAGTAAGAAACTTTTAACAGGGCGTGGCCAGAGCCATCTGCTCCCATGTTGAGTCAGTGTGCAGTGGAGCACCTGGCATGATGTCAACGCTGCTCTATTTCTGCAGTTGTTTAGTGATGAAAGAACCTGACTATTACATACTCTAAAGTCTCATTTTACCTCCAGGAAAACGCTCTCCAACACAAACAATGTATACGTCAGCCACACAGGCTCATATTGAGACCAAGAACCCACAGGTTAACCTTCTTGTCAGCAAGTGGCAGCATGTCTGGCTTCTAGCGTTGGATAGAAGAAGGAAACTAAATGATGCATTGGACAGACTAGAAGAGGTAAGCAGTCATCAGAAGAGTATTTGAAGAATGGTTATTGTAACCTTTTGTTCTTTAGCACATGCCATACTTAATGATTATTTTTGCAGCTGAAAGAATTTGCCAACTTTGACTTTGATGTGTGGAGGAAAAGCTACATGAGATGGATGAACCACAAAAAGTCCAGAGTCATGGATTTTTTCCGTCGCATGGACAAAGATCAAGATGGCAAAGTGACACGGCAAGAGTTCATCGAGGGCATCGTGTCATCCAGTGAGTCAGGTTCTCGAAAAAGAGTGTCCAACAGCCACACTTGTCTTCACCATGTTTTATATCCTAGAATTCCCCACCAGCCGATTGGAGATGAGTGCTGTGGCCGATATATTTGACAGAGATGGTGACGGATACATAGACTATTATGAATTTGTTGCAGCTCTTCATCCAAACAAAGAGGCCTATAAGCCTTTGACTGATGCAGACAAAATTGAGGATGAGGTAAAATACCTAAAATAATACTAAAATATGATACGGTCATGGTAATTTTAATTCTACTTTGTTTTTTGTTTAGGTAACCCGTCAAGTCGCAAAATGCAAATGTCCCAAACGATTCCAAGTGGAACAAATTGGGGCCAACAAATATAGGGTAAGAATATATATACTCATTTGGATTACAAAGAATTGTTTACTATGCAGCGTGGAATTGTGTCTACTTCCATCAAAAGTCTAACCTTAACCATATCTCTTCCTCATATCACCAGTTTTACCTTGGAAACCAGGTACACTGCCCTATTCCTCGTCTCCCCTTTCTTTTTGCCCCCTCTCAAGCCTTTTCATTGGCTGTATTTTCCCTACAACTAACACTTAAATGCCAGAATCCGCACTGATTCTTGACTGGAACTCAGAAGTAGAATAACATTATAATTGAAAACATGCAAATTGACGTACTTAACGGCCACTATTTATTTCCACTATATAGACCTACTAGCCGCAAATAAATCAGTGGTCTGCTTTTGAGTTTCAGGAGATCATATTTGAATTTATTAATGCCCATCTGAACATTTTCTTAGCTCATGATTTGCTCATCAGCTGGGCCGTTTGGTAAATAACGCTTTCTGTGTTGCTGCCTTGCTCATATATTGATTAAGCTCAATATTGGCTGGCTAACTTTATTTTATTCTCATAGGCATTTTGAATCTAGACACTGGGTTAACTGGGATGTTTTTTACCTGCATGGTGCTATACATATTGTAATATGATTCATGCAAGAGCTTATATGTCGCTCTTTGTAACTTGCATAGTTTCAGCCTGACAGTATAGTGTAAGACTTTTGCATTGTATGACACTACATTGAACTCAAGTAACTCTTTTGACAGTTTGGTCTCGTTCACTGCTTACATGACTCCATAATCGGCGACGAGACAATAGCAAACAGGGATAATCACAATCATACCTCACACCTACACGTTGAAGTATTGGAAAGCTGTATCCTGGTAACTTTTAAAATGGTTAACTATAAGTTGTTTCATGTCCATAAACAATCCATCATCTTGATGTATTTAATCACTAAATTCACCATTAAATCATATTGAAGATCAAAGCAATGGAACATTAGCTGTTTGAACCGTTTTCCAGTTTACAGGGAGTCATCAGCGTATGCTCATGTTTGTGTATCACTGTGGATTGCAATGATTGAAACCATTGGTCATGTGGTGTGTCATCAGAGCGAGCTGATTGGCTCTATCACTGTCACTACTGTCTGGTGGTAGACTGCAGGAGACTGCTGTCGTGTCTGATTGTGACAGAAAAGCATGCAGCTGTGATTATTGTCTGGTGAAAATGTCATGGAGTTTAACTTTGGTGTGATTCAACTGGCTGGCATTTGGCTTGTGTCACTTAACATTTTCCCTTTAAAGCTAAACGATACAAAACAGTAACACTGCTCTCTAGTGGTAGTAAACGTGCAATGGAGAGCTGTGTGAAGAAGACTAAATAAATAATGACAATGCTGGAAGTTATAGTAGAGGTATGGTTATGTAAAAAATATGGAATGTCGCATACCTCTGTGGACACAAACAAACTAAAGCCAGCTGAATTGAGCGTTCTGTGTCTTTGCTTTTGAAACACTGTCATGCTGCTGTGTTAAATTAGCTAAACATCAATTCTAAACTCAGTTCTATCATTTTTTTTTTATGAATATGTGTATTGACTGTGTGTTTGTCTTCCAGTTTGGAGACTCTCAGCAGCTGCGCCTGGTACGTATACTGCGCAGCACGGTCATGGTCCGGGTTGGGGGAGGATGGATGGCCCTGGACGAGTTCCTCGTCAAAAATGATCCTTGTAGAGGTAACTTAACATTTATCTCTGCTCTGACAATCTGGGAACACATTCACATATTAATCGCGAATTGCAAATAAAGACGTTTGTACTGTACAAAAGAACAGTTCCTTCTTCCTCTTCCCTATAATCTCTAAAACTTTGCTGAACAATATCATTTCTTCTAGTTCATCACCACGGGAGCAAAATGTTGCGCTCGGAATCAAACTCTTCAATTACTCAGTCTCCTATAGGTTGGCAAATCTCAAACTTTCTCTTGCTCCGTCATGAGCCCACCTGTGGTATGTGTGCATTGAGTGTTGCCGCTTGTGTTTGGGGTGAACTGCTGAAACTGTGTGAAACTCATCTTTGGCCATTTCACTCACAATCACATGGTCTTCCTGCATGTCAGATCAGGCGCTCTTTCTCTTTTAGTTTGTAGCAGTGATTTTGGACCCAATTCTTGGCAAGTTTTGCTTTACAATCATTCAAACAAACAACTAACTTCCAACAGTAATTGAATACAAATAATGTTGGGTTTTTTTTTGTTAACAAAAATAAATCCCTGTTTGTTTGATACTGCAGTCGCTGCATGCCACTCTTAAGCCAAAGATATGGTTCTCTTGGCACATTTCATTTTTAAGCTGGTTTACATTTCAACAATGTATGTTATTTTTATTTTATTTTATTATTACATGCTGTTCTATAATCTTTTATCCTATAGAAAAGCTTTGTCACATCTCCATCATCATCATCAGCACCAGAATTTACATGTTTAAATAGTTCTAAAAAGATCATTATTCAATTATTTGATATCATGTTTCTCAGCAAAAGGCCGGACCAACATCGAGCTGCGAGAGAAGTTCATCCTCCCTGAAGGCACCACTCAGGTCATGGCCAGTTTCCGCTACAGAGGACGCAGGTCGCGGCCGTCGTCCAGAGGCGCGTCACCAAACAGGTCTATGTCCAGTCAGAGTTGTCCTGCTCACCAGCCCATGCCAGTGACAGGGACACCCAAGGTAAAGGCTTCAAGGGCTCTACACACACAACCGTCTATTCACCTCTACCCTTTCTTTCATCCGATTTATATTTGATTTATCTCATAAGTTTAATCATCATATCACTCGTTTTTGTTCAATTTTGGTTTGAAATCCATTTGTTTGATTTGGTTTGCCATTGTTCCCTAGACTCCCCAACAAATAACCCGCAATTATGATAAGCCATGGCTTACAAACAGCAAACCTTCCACTCCTCTTAAATCATCTGACTCCCCTGGGAGTTCACCTGCAGAGGTATATTCACGTGTGACGCAGTACTGTCCACCTCTCTCACTGACTCAGCTTCAACATCTGACAAAATCCTCACTTGTAATCTGCTATAGTTCCTATCCAATGATTTGGATGTAATGCTTTACACTCTTTCTCAACTTTCCCTTCTGCAATGGCTGTTTTGAATGAATAATTGCATGTGGGATTTTTCCATGTTACCATTACACCAGTTTTTCATATTTTATGTGATGCTGCGATTTACAACAAAGATAATTTCAGCAAAATGTAACAAAAATATGGCTTTTTACAGAGTACTCCAGTTCAAGGCAGCAAATTGCGTCTTCCTGGGTACTTGTCAGGGAAAGGATTCCAGTCCGGGGAAGAGGGAACTCTCATCAACGCTGCTGTGCTGAAGGCTCGTGCCCAGACAGCAGGTGGTAAGTACAGTCAGACAAATCTGACGTTCAAGTAACAAATGAAATTCTGGTTTTCACAGATGCTGTGATTGTTTGTTGCTTAATTTCAGAATCAAAGAAAAACTTGAGCAGACCTGGAAGTAAAGCAGGAAGCAGAGGCAGTAGTCGCAGAGGAAGCGACGCTTCAGACTTTGACATTTCTGATATTCAATCCGTGTGTTCGGATGCTTCTGAGCTTGTGGGCGACTCAGGTCGGGCGATTCCAAGATCTACCCATCGCCAACAGGGGGCGAAACCCTCAAAGATTCCCACTCCTCAGAAGAGAAGCACTCCCACTAGTAAACTTGCCAATCCCTCTAAACGATAGGCCTTGGAAATGAATTACAAGATATTCGCTGCATCCAAACATGAGATAGACACTGGAAGCACCAGATACTTAAAGACTGTAAGTGTAAATGTGTTGAGTGTTATTTAAACTGTTGCAAAGATGTAAATTATTCTATTAAGATATGTTTTCATATTAAGTGTGAATGGAGCAAATTATGGCCTTGATTACTGGTTTGTATTTATTTTCTATTTTGTGAAAAAGTCATATTGTTTTTAAGGTATTTTAATGAAGGAAAACCTGTGCAGGTTTGATGAACACTAGAAAACTAAACTTTGTTTGTACACTAATAATAAAGACAATGTGAGAATAGTGCTCTGAGAGTTACTGAATGTACTATACTGTATTTATTTGCTTTGAGTGGTTTATTATTTAACCATTCAAGGCACTGCAGACTATTTAAGTGCAACGCTAAACTGCCAACATGCATAAATGGACAATGCAATATAACTTGAGCACTGCAACAAACGTTATACTGTGTCTATTTAAACCTGTAATCACACCGCTTCATGTCCAGATCCGTTAGACCACTTCAGCCTGTGCAGTCATCTCAAGATGGCACTTTATGTAAACATTGTGTATGTATCCATTTGTCTGTGCATTTTTAATTTCGGTAGAACTGAAATTGTCCCTGTAAACTTAATTTGTAATAAATTGCTTGCACCAAGCTACCACAGAAACAAATCAGTTTTTGTGTTTTTTCAGAATTAATGATTATTATAATAATGTGTCCCAGCATTAATGTAAAAAGACCAGATTGTACCACTGGGCTCATAGTCACATTTACAAACACGCACTCATTCATCCGGAACTATTGTACATGCGAGGTTGGGAAAACCGGAGCCCCCGGAGTAAACTGATACAGACATGGGGAGAACCTGCAAACTCCACACAGAAAAGCCCCACCTGAGGTGGAATGGAAATCAGAACCGTCTTGAGAGGGCTCATCACTGCACCACCTCATACTGCTTATAAAGGCTATACTGCTTTATAGGTTCCTCCATGGAAGGATCGACAGTTTCAGATGCATTGGACTGCATCGATGAATGAATGGCTGCGAGAAGTGAGGTTGGGGCTCTCTGGAAGGAATGTTTGCGGAGGACCTGGAGTTTATCTGTGACATACTGCACTTGTCTCTCAGTGAAAATCTCTGAGCAGTGTTTCAGTGTCTGCAAGAGAAACTGTCCATTTATCGGATCATATATTTTACTAAATCATGCATTTGTTTAGTACAAATACTAATACATGATTTAGTAAAATATATGATCCAATTCAATTTATGTTTGAGTGGGACTTAACTTGTGTTGGTCACAGGTCACAGTTATTCAGAGTGATGTTTGCTGACATGAGGCAGTTGCTATGTTCATATACATCGACTGGTATGACGGTTGTTGGACGTCCCAGTGGCCGGGGGCAGGCGGATCCCCTGGGGACCACCGGTGGAGTGGAGCACCGGGGTCACCATCTCAACACTCACAGAGCTTAGTTTGAATGGTTCTCCTGTTCAGCTCAGACACTGGCCTTGGGATGGCACTTTAGGCTGGGAATACTGTAAATTCTAACACTGGCCACCACCTCAAAGTGCTGGAAATACAGGACTATCTTTTTCATTAATATGTAAGTAATTCATTTCTCTCATGTTTTTATTTTATTTTATTAGGTCTAATTTTATTTTATTATAATTACAACAAGGGTTAAATTGATGGACCAGGATCAGATGTGTGTTAAACTCTTACTATTATTAGTGCATGATAATACTATAGTCAGTAGTTTATTTTAGTTCATATATTGAAAGAGAATAAAACATGATATGTCTCCAATAAAACAAACTGGGAGAAACATGTTCACACTTTACATAGATATAGTTATTCATTATTTATTGTAGTAACAATGTTTTGAATGTTTTAATTAATCTGTTTTTGATGTACTATAGGCACTTATAGCGCTTCACAACTGACTAGAAAATGCCAGCTTCTAAAAACCTGTTGGCGTTTGCAGCACTTTGTATTGTCTTTGGATTGAACCACAGTGAAACATTACCGAGTAAGTTTATAACTTTATTCATACTCTACTTTGAAATGTGTTTTGCTTCACATGAATTAAGTAGCAATATGTTACAAGGATTATAATCTACTGGCACTGGTGTCATTCTTGCAATAACTGAGGTCTGCCAGCAGATGTCACTGTGGCACAAAGGGCCGTTTATGATCCTCTCAGCAGGCATAACTATTAAAGCTTCCTGTTGAGTCTCAAGTGGAAAGTAGAGTTCACAAGGTTATGTGGGGTTAACCCCCTTATTACACTTGAACCACTTCACATGTTTGTTTCCTTCAGAAACTCCCTGTGCGACGAATCAAACCAATAAATCACAAATATAATGCTGATAATAACTAGAAGTCCACTTTTGTAATTTTCAAGCATAAAATCTAAAGTTCATGAAAAACTGTTATTATTTTCCAGTTACATTATTTTCCAGCAGTAATCTAAGAACAATAGATGAGTAGAGAAGATGTGCTGAACCGCCCTCGTTGTAATTGATTAAAGCTGGGGAATGAAACTTCCAAACCACAAAAATAGAACTATGTAATAAAATCCAAGTGTGGAAGTGTCAAACAGGGACTTACTGGGCTCTTTCTCACAAGAATTGAAAAATAAATGTTTTCTAATAAGATAAAGACAGCATGTTGTGGTTTTTTTTGTTCACAACAGTTTACATGTACAACGCGTGTTATTTATGAAGAAAAAGTTCGGTACCTCAGCTCTTTTACATTGTGCATTGTCAAATTGCATGATCAAATGTGGGATATTTTCAAGGATAGGATTGCATATATCTACATCAGTGACATACACCAATGAAAGAGTCAGCTCTTAGTCAAAAATAAAATAAAATCCATTTGTTATGGTCTTAATGATATTAAGATCAATATTCAGGAGGGTGTCCTGGATCTGCTCCACACAGAGTATCACCTTACATTGTGAAGCCTAATCCTGCTTCGTTCATATATTTCAATGGGTTTCTATTGTTGTGGAGTGGTACAGTATGAGTGTTCTAGATGTTCTTGATATGCATGGTTATCTGACCACTGACTTTGACACTGGCCTTTTTGCTGTGAGGTTTTGACTTCCTTGAAGAGTTCCGTGTATCTGAGTCCAGAGGAGTGAGGAGAGTAGACGGATCCAAACCAGAGGTAGTGGCCTACCGCATCAACCCCTCCATCCACCTGCGAAAAACCACAAGGTAAACATTGGCTCAACAAGAATCCAGATGCTCCCTCTAGCTATGTTGCATATTGTGTGAACACAGTGACGTTTGTTCCCTTTTAGTTTTGTATTTGACCATAAATGATTCACAAAGACACCACAAAAACCCCAGGGAAATGTCAAGTCAGTGTTTAGTAACAAATTCATTGTTAAACTATAACACAACAAGCCTAAAACAGGATACAAATTGTTGTGTTTTTGTCCCTTGAAAGAAACTTGAAAGCTGAAAGAAAAACAGCTGTAAGTGAGGACAAAAGGCTTTATAAGAGATATTTAAATTAAAAACTGACAAAAATTATTCATTTATTGAGAAGCCAGATCACTGTATAGAAAGTATATTGGGTGTTCAAATATTGCTACAAGTTTTTTTGGTTTTTCCTTTTGCCATTTATAATCAACACGCATTGCATGTCTGAGGATTTTATTCTCTTACACAGTGAATTATATCCTGATGGCCTTCCTGCGGATTACTCCGTCATTGCCACATTCAAGGTCCCTAAAGACACGGCCAAACAGTCCTGGAGTCTGTGGCAGGTGAGCGACTCCAAAGGCCGTGACCAAGTGGGCCTACGTTTCCACCCCGGGATGCGCTCGCTGGACTTCTTCTACACCAGCTCTCATGGAAGCCAGATGCTCAGGACGTTCTCTGGGGTGGAGCGGCTGTTTGACGGAGCATGGCACAAACTGGCTCTGAGTGTGAAGGGCGGTCAGGCCAAACTGCTCATTGACTGTGAAGAGGTCAGCGTGAAGCCCATTGACGAAGACAGGCCGGTGATACGCAGAGGCTACACATCCATCGCCAAACGGGCTGCAGAGGACCGCTCCGTTTCTGTATGTGTGGTTTTACAATCCTAATCTCAAGACATCTTAAAGCTGGGGTGCCTAACAATACCTCTACTACTTCCACACTCCGATCCATGCTGTTATTTTTGGCCTCTACCACAATTGTAGATCAGCTTTTTCAGACCAAAAAGTGTGGTAAAAGAACCACAAAGTTTTCTGAGTTGAAGACAGTATGTTGGAGCCTGATTTCAAAATGTTTCTTTTACGAGACATTTTCTGTTGGGACAAACATGTAATATTGATGGAAAGAAGTGAGACACCCCAGCTTTAAGTGCTTGTGTAAAACATATGCAGAACTAAAGTGTAAATAAACAATTATTTCTTAACAAACACAAACATAAATACTGTTTCTACTTCAATCACTGATACCAAAGATGCTTACCTCTATTACTCAATATACAAATGGTGAATTGCCCTATATTGATGTCTATGATTTACGTAGTTCTAAATGTGGTGTTGCAGGTGGATTTCCAGCAGATGGAAGTGTCGTGTGACCCGGAGAAGGCCTACACGGAAGGCTGCTGTGAGCTTGTACGTACAATAACCAGAGAACAACATTGTGTTTCATGCATCGCTGCGTTTTGTTATAACAGTTGTTCTCATGTCAGTGTGGAGGTTACGCAGAGATTGGTTTGACAGCTGGAGGAGCATCGTGCAAATGTATGCATGGACAACCTGGAATCCAGGGGCCTCCTGGGCCAAAGGTTAGTATATTTTTTATGCTAAAACATGGAGGTGCATGCCCCTGTGCACTTGAGCTAGCTAGATTTATGTTTTCATTTCAGGGTCACAGAGGTCTTCCCGGAAAGCCAGGTGACAGAGGAAGACAAGGCAACTGGGTAAATAATGGTTTGAAATGAACATGGTTTGTGACACTATAGTCACATAAAAACAAGAATTATACTTGTAATGCAATATTTAACTGACATTGGTGTGCAACAAATAAACCGGGACAACAATAAACCGGGACTAAAATAAACCGGGACTAAAATAAACCGGGACAAAAATAAACCGGGACTAAAATAAACCGGGACTAAAATAAACCGGGACTAAAATAAACCGGGACTAAAATAAACCGGGACTACAATAAACTGGGACTAAAATAAACCGGGACTACAATAAACCGGGACTAAAATAAACCGGGACTAAAATAAACCGGGACAACAATAAACCGGGACTAAAATAAACCGGGACTAAAATAAACCGGGACAAAAATAAACCGGGACTAAAATAAACCGGGACTAAAATAAACCGGGACTAAAATAAACCGGGACTAAAATAAACCGGGACTAAAATAAACCGGGACTAAAATAAACCGGGACTACAATAAACTGGGACTAAAATAAACCGGGACTACAATAAACCGGGACTAAAATAAACCGGGACTAAAATAAACCGGGACTAAAATAAACCGGGACTACAATAAACCGGGACTAAAATAAACCGGGACTAAAATAAACCGGGACTACAATAAACCGGGACTAAAATAAACCGGGACTAAAATAAACCGGGACTAAAATAAACCGGGACTAAAATAAACCGGGACTACACAAGGACAAATTGGTAAAATTACATGTAAGAAAATCATGCTTACAACTTGAGGGCCTAACTTTAAAATCCCCCAAAAAATGTCACATCTTTAAATCAGCTTTTTCAGACAGAAGCGCAAAAAAGGGAACAACCACCACTCAGCCCACAGCATCAACTAGTGACTCACAGGGCATTTTCTTAGGGTTAACATGATTACTCATAAAATAAAGACAGCAAATAACAAATAACATGTATTCATTACCCCAGCTTTGAATCAGAATTCCACACTCAGACCAGAATTGAACTGTACCAAAATGAAAACTACAGTTGAACCCTTCATACACTGTTTGCTCTGTACCTCAGTTTGGAGGTTATGTGTTGCAAAATAAAAGTAACCTCTCATCTGTGGTAGATTACATAGTAAAACTGCAGCGAGCTGTGGAAAATGGCTCGTACAACACAGCGAACAGGATGGAAACAGACCTGGAAACAGCAGCACTTAGCAATAGTAAACACTAGGGCTCTTTTTATAGTTTCACATCTCATGTCGGCACTGCGAAAGATTTATACTGTCAATCTGAAAGAAACATAAACCTCACACGGTTGTAGCTATAAATTAATCTGTGTAGTTTGCAAATCATCTTAATTTGCATTTGAAGACATGGTGGAGAATATAGGGTCTAATTCAAACCCTGGCGTAGGATCTTAGCATTTGTAATGGTTTTGCTTTTCCATTTGGAAGAAACTGTGCCAAAAGTAATGAATCCCACATACACAGGAAAACCATGTGGGCTGACTGTGCCCAAAACAGACTGCTAATGAAAGGCACCAGTACGCATAACTTAAGTGTGAAATTAGCTGAATGTTTTGATTCACATATGTTAATGTATGGCAATATACAGTAACTCTGCAAAAAGAGGATGTACTGTAGTCTGATTCTTGTACAACCTTAGAGTTTTTTTCCCAAGTTGCCACACATAAGTAAAGGCTATAGCGTTGGAAGGCTTACTTACTGAAAGCTTATTTTTATTGAAAACAATAATAGGGATTGAAGTCTTGTTAATTACACAAGATTCCTTCTCTGCAGTTGGTTTAGTTGTACATTTCACATTCAGGCCCCCCATCTCTGCCCGGCAGTCACAGCACATGTTTCTGTCCCTTCAACATGCTACATATTCATGGGCTGTGAGCAGCTGGAGCTCATCTGGCACTTCACATCTGTCTTGTATAAGGATTCGGGTTTTGACCTCCTGCCAGCTTGTGAATCATGTAGCCCCAATATGTTTATCTCCTCCCCTGCTGGCATCTGAAGCGGGCATTTCCTGGCACAAAGAGCTAAAGTGTCCGCTAGCCCTGTGTTGTGGGTGGTCCTAGACGCATCAGAACTGCAAAACCGTTGTAAAATTCACAGTCAGGACCTTTACCAAACTGGCAACAATCTTTGATCTTGAGCCACTAGCCCACTGACTTGAATAAAGGGGTTTTAAATGCACAAATGCACAGAAGTTGCAGAAGTAAGTTGTTAACACCTCGATAACAATGCAGCAGGTTGTAGAACTGGAGATTATGTAAGCTTGGCAGCACATATTTTCAATAAAATAATCTTGGACTGAACTATTGTTGCATTTTATTCTCCAGGGCATACGTGGAGCCACAGGAGATTACGGCAATATTGGTGAACCTGGTCAAAAGGTACATTTCTAAATTGCATTCATTAAGACTTCAGGCGCCAAAGAGTTTAAAGGAATTGGATGTAACAGAAATTGTTTCAAGAAAAATAGGTAAGGAAACATTTGTGGCTTAACTTGGAGCCTAAAAGGTGAATATAACAGACGTATTTGCGGTTTACTGAAATGTTAAGTCATACATATATTTTCAGGGTGAAGAAGGAATAAAAGGCGAGAAAGGAATGAGGGGACTTTGGGGCCAAGTGGTATCTATCAACGCACATCCTCATCATAGTATTTGAAACATCTCCAGTTTAATGAGACATTGTGTTTTACAGGGAGACCGAGGTCCCAAAGGTTTGAAGGGATTGAAAGGTGCAGCTGGTTTTAAGGTAATTTCCCCCTTTCGGCTCAGTTTAATTAGACAATTATCCAGAGTTATGGGCATTTCATTGGATTTCTGCACAGCCTGTTGTGCAACTTTATAGACAACTTACAGAAAGTAATGTCCGCATTCTGACGCTAATTGCAGGGGGTTCGTGGACCACCTGGAGTCATTGGAGAGACTGGAAAACAAGGAGAAGTGGTGGGTTAACAAAACAATGACAAACACACACACAGTAAACGTATTTGTGTTATAAGCCGGGTAGATTCTTACAGTTACAGAGGCGCCATTTAGAGGAATAATAGTCTGTTACCATTATGAGCCCATGGATTTAAAGTAAATTGTGTTTTATATAGGGTGTGAAAGGAGTAAAAGGTTTTGACGGCATTCCTGGCTATCAAGGAGTCAAGGTATCCACAATTATTTGCCCATATGTTATTAGCAGCAAAACAGTGACTAACTTGTACCTTTCCATTATGCACAGGGAGAAAAGGGGACCATGGGTGTAGTCGGGAAGCCAGGACCACGAGGAAAGCAGGTGGGGATTCCCTGTGATAAGTTGCAACCATCCATCTTCTATCTCTTCCGTTACAGTACCCTTGATGTGGCAACAAGGAGAGACAGTAAATCATTTTAATGTGGTGAAACGCTAAAATACAGCAATGTTTCTGGCATATGGGCCCTCTCCATAAACAACATTAATTCAAATGGCGGGAGCTTGGCCTCGGCCTAAGGGGACCAGGACTGGAGGAACATGCTTTTGATGAGTCAGTGAAAACAGAGCCATAACCACAATGATAAGGTAGCGGTGGACTAGCAGTGTATTTAGGAAAGTCCACAGAAGATTGCATTTCACATTGATTGGATTTCACTGCAAAGAGTTTTAAGCTATACTACTAAAGCTGATTTATTGTGATTCGGCAGGGCATTGTGGGAGATCCTGGCGACACAGGGGCTGCTGGACTCAAGGGCAAGCCTGTACGTTTCAGAGCTACATATTTTTGTATTTACAGAAAGCAAATCACAACTCTCTGGTGTTAATATGTTGTCTGGACTTGTTTTAAACTAGGGAATCCAAGGGCCTGTTGGCAGACGTGGAGGAGTGGGACAGAAGGTGTGTTTACTACACGTGCCCATAAATTGACTGACTTAAGTTTATTATAAGCGTAATGTAATACATTCTAGGGCATTGTTGGAGATCCAGGATTACCAGGAAGAGATGGAGATCCTGGTATCGAGGTAATGTAAAGTATTCCTTTCATTCTTCTCTTTTAGTGGTATGTCTTTTGTATTACCAGCATAAGGACAACAGATGGAAGTTAGAATAAAAATATAGAAGTATTAGGTGCTTGTGGGTTTAGTTTAGACCTTCTCTGTCCTTACATGCAACCTGTTAAAATCTGAGACTAAAAACAAATTTCACAAACATTTTGTTTCAACTGTTACCTTCTTTATTAAACTGTGTAATGTTTTTGAATACTTTTAAGTTTGCTTTACACAGTGACAGTGAGATCAGTGTTTGCTTTGCCTTTAATGACAAACTGTAACTGTCTGACAGGCCTACCAAGGTCCACAAGGCAATGTTGGAAAAGTGGGGAAAATTGGGATTAAGGTAATATTTCGATTATTTGAATAGTAACACTTAATATAAAATGGGTTTTCTGAAATTGCACATTTGTCATTTCCAGGGTGAAAAAGGCATCCAAGGTCCACAAGGAGAGATGGGTCCCCAAGGCCAAACTGTAAGACATTTATTAATTCTGCAGCCATTTTAAATGACAATAATAAATAATGTAATAAATACTTTTCTATTGAGGGCCCAAGAGGTTACAAAGGCTCTGCGGGGAAGCCAGGGCGTCCAGGATTTATTGGACCGCCAGGACCTGTTGTAAGTAGACCATGTCCGGATTCAAAAATCTTCCAAAAGAAGTTAATTTTCCTGCAGCTTCAAATAATTTGTTTTTGTAACAGGGGCATGTGGGAGTTCCGGGAAAAATAGGAACCAAGGTAATGCAACTTTCTCTTTTTCTTTTGTAAATGATGGGATTAAATTAAAACGTTTTAGTTTATAATTTAGAACATGGAAAATAATCCACTAAAAGCATTGGTTTCATAGTTTAGAGTAAAATCATATAGGCTCAGATCTATAATTTGTTAACAGACAAGTTGTAAATCACCAGGAGCTATCACAACATACAATCATCATTGTTTATTTCTGGCTGGCTGGGGCATTAGGGCCAGTAGTTGACTCCAGGTCTAAGCTTCCCTTGAGGGGACGTTTGAATGTCGATTACTCAGGCAGATATTCTTCCACCACTGTTTATCGTTTTGTGGTGTGTAGTAGCACAAACAAATCAAATCAAATATACCCGCTGTTACAGAAGAAAGTGTGAGTAAAGCGCAATGTCTGCAGCCCTCTGGGGGCTTGTTGCTCTGGTTAACTTTAACTGGACCAAGTCTGGTTCACTATGGGCAGAAAAATTTCTGAACTTGTTTGACATATCTTTATTACGAGGAATAGCCTCTTGAGATGCATCATCTCGTTTTCAAGAGGGTCCTCTTGAAAAAGTCCTTTAAAACGTATCTGTTTTAAACTGACTGAAGGGACCAGTGGAGAGAAGTTCATGTGTTTGGTGTTTTACATCTATAAATAAAGTATTTCTGCCTAAAGTGAACCATCCCTTGACGAACAAGATCGTATCTTGAGAGTGATATGCACTAAACCATAGACTAAATTATCAATGCAACTTGTGCCGCCAATGTATAAAGAAATAATTAAGAGAAAAACAGTGGAATGGAGTGGATTAATCATTAACATGCACAATTTATGCAGTCTGACATGACAGAATATTATGTGTATTTTGTACAGGGTGACACAGGAATTCAGGGGATCAGAGGAGTGAAAGGTGGACAGGTACACCTTTACAAAATAACGTATCATAAGTTGAGCTTGGAGACAGTTTGTACATCTCATAACGCAAATGCATCTTACAGGGAGAAAAAGGTGTAAAGGGACCCAAAGGAAAGGTAAGTGATGTTTTTTTGCAAAGTTAAAGTATTTGTTTATGAATAACCAATTCTTGAATAACCATTCTTTGAAAAATGTAAATTACATGTTTGCTGTATTTATTTTGCTTGGTTTGACGTATGTGGAGAACTATGTACTCTATCCCAGGTCGGAGATCGTGGTGAGGTGGGACCTCAGGGGGTCCGGGGAAAGCGTGGTCCAGCGGGCCCACTCGGACAGACTGGCACTGGAGGAGTGAAAGGCGTCAGAGGAGAGAGCGGACTTGATGGATTTCGTGGGCCTCCCGGCCCTCCAGTAAGAAAAATACAAGGGCTTATAATGCTACGCACTTGGGCTATACTTAACTTCAAAAACAAATTACAACATTAAAAATGCAATTAAGAGGAAAACCACTACTGTTTAAACTGTCGGCCTGCATAGGACTGTGGCGCCTGCCATGAGAAATGTTTTGCACAGGTAAATATGAGGCTCGCCTGTCGCACAGCCAACAGCTTTAGTGTGAAGAACATTTTAAAAGAGTTTTCATTAGTTCAAAGTTTGTAATGAGTCACAGCAGGAGTTTCATTAAGTGTGCTTATAAATCCATAATGAGCCTGAGGGGAGATTTTGGCTGGATTAGTCCACTGCATTTCCTGTCAGTGGCAGCCTTCTTTCAACTGCTGTTTTTGTATTACTCTTGAGATCACTGAGGTTATATATTATTCCTGAGACTGATGCTTGTCGAGTGAAGCCTGTGGGTATGATTTGTTAAAAGGGCCCGAGTCTGCCAGCCCAGCATGTCATCGAGGTCTGTAAGAAAGTGGTCCTGGAGCAGATGTCCACCTTTGCCAACTCTGTCAAGAGGACATGTGCGGCCGTCTGCCCGCTGTATGGAGACGTGCCCATGGGTGCCCCTGGTCCCCCAGGTATCAAAGGGACCCCAGGACCTCCAGTAAGTTTATTTTATTCTGTGAATTACACATAAGGCTAGACTGCACTGCAAAGCCTAGTTTAAGTCTTTATTGGAGAAATATTACTGAAGATAAAAACGGTATACTCTCCATACATCCACAAATATTTGTCTGCCTGGCTGCTAAACACAAACACATTGTATGGGTTGACAAGACAAGACGAATTGGACAAGACTACAAGAGCTCAAGTTTTTTGGCAGGAGAGCTTGGAATCAAAACATGACAATTTTCCATGTCTCCATGAGGATGAATATGGAGTCACACACCAGACTCTTGTCTGTATTGGATGATTTTTGGAGAGTATCAAGGCTGTTTTCAGATTGGAATGCCTTTTCCACATTATTATACAGTGTACCACCAAGTCATGCTCCTAATTTTCCTTAATTACAATGAGTCATGGTCTGATATTTTCTCCTAAATATGTTTCTAAAGCTCCCATTATAATGGGATGTGGTACACTTTGTCAAACCAGAATTAACCCTAAACTCAACCCAGTTCCCACTTGCAATATGGATGAAGCAAGTAGCGTAAAACAAAACAAAAAATGTTGGTTTTTATCAGGGGGACCCTGGTCTTGAGGGAGCTGAGGGTGAAACTGGACTCCCAGGGTTTTATGGAGAAGTTGGTGATCCAGGTCGCAAAGGAGAAAAAGGTGAGAAAAATCATCAAATATGTCTAAATACACTTAAAATAGGCCACTATTGTACACGCAAAGCTGTAATAATCACAGGTAACACACAGGTAACAAGCACTTTTATAAGTTAAATAAAATAAAAAACATTTAATAAGTATGCTAACAGTGTGTCGTTGAAAAATGTATCATGAACAAAGAAAGAGTACTTTTGATTGGTTTCTTGTGAATGTGTTAAGGTGGAAAGGGAGAGGCCGGTGATAAAGGCCCTAAAGGCTATGGACCACCAGGACACCCAGGAGATCAGGGCTCAAAAGGTATAATCTTTTCCAAATGAAATAACTTGCAAACAAGCATATGCATACCCTTCAGTGTGAAGCTCTGTTGCTTTCTTCTCAGGTCAGCGTGGACGTCCTGGTCGGGCATTCAATGGTCAGCCTGGGAAGCCCGGTGAGAGAGGTCATGTGGGCCGTCCGGGACTCAGGGGTCATGCTGGTCTTCGTGGGCCTCCGGGGATCTGCATCACTTCAGGCTGCGCTGCTTTGAATGCCACAATGGGAACACCAGAGTCCAGCCAATCAACAAGGGCAGGGTCCCGCTCAGGAACACGACCAGGACCTCGGAGGAGGACTCGGCCCTAAAGAGACCCACAACACACCTGTTAATATATGTTCAATACATTTAAACTGTAAATAGGCATCCTGAATGATACATGAGCTGTGGTAAATAATGACTTAAAATAACTAATCAACAATAAAAATAGAAAAGGCGTTTGGTGGAAAATCCAATATATTTGTAAAAGTGATTTTATTTAAAATGATGAAAATAAACTGCCTGTACTTTCTAATAAAAATCTGAAAATACTATCTGTCTGTGATATTATTCATATGTTGCATAGTCAACAAATTGCCGTGGTCACTTGTATAAATGTTTCTCTTTATACCAATGGTGTAGGTTTGGTTCCAATCTTGGTGGGGACATTCACTACGACCTGAGTCTACACCCATTGACACGGGGTCCAGAGTTTCTCCCCCAGAATTTGTTGTGTAATCACACACTATATTTGCAATAGTGTGTTGCCTTCTATACTAAACTCAGCTGTAGACTGAATGAGAAGCAGTTAAGGATTTTTTCTAATAGTTAAAACAAAATCAATTGGATCAGAGCTTCTGAGTTTTGTGTTGCGTTCATTCTATACTGACTTAAACCTAATCCAAATCTGCATAATAGCCCTCACCTGAGGCTCTAACAGTTCAGGAACTGCTCTCGATACTTGAAATAAATCATGTTTTGATCTTTCAATCTCCTATAATAAATAAAAACAGAGGAGAAAATATTGAATTAGAATCTACAGTGAGTATCTCACTACATTGTTTGACATATACGATCAATCTCTAAAAACAATTCATAGTCCCATGCATACCTACAAAATTCCAACCTCGCCTGATGCACTGAAGGGCCTGTTGCTTCTACCTCAACATTCCCTATTTTGTTCTCTCTTGGTGGTTGAGTTTCCTATGTATGTTAACAGAAGATTAATCATCACAATTCATAATTTGCTATTACTTGTGCTTTCTCTTACTTACTTTCCAACTGTTAAAAAAGCTCCTGATATCTTTTATCTTTTTTTGTGGAGGTGGCATTTTTTCTAAATTATATAAGAAGGTATAGAAAATCAAAAACAGACATTCATATACATGAACTGCAGAATAATTTATATAACTTGGCCAATGTCAAAAGTTACATAGTATTTCTCAATACAATGAGTTAACAAGAGTTTGGCAATAAGTAACAGTGTGGATTTTTCTATATTTTCTTTTTTTTATTCCACTCTCAACCCAAAAAGGCAAGTAATGACTCACAGGGCTCTCAAGTATGCAAAATAAAAACTTAAATGACCTGTTGTGGTGTGTTTTGCGCACAACCAGCATGCATCGTTAACGCAATGGAAAATGTACGTATCCGAGCTTTAATTTCGGGAGCGCTGGTTGCGCTTTGGGAAGAGTCAGGGGAGAGACATGTCAGAGACACAGGGGAGAAACGCGGGAGATACGAGGGAGACCCGCACTTGCAACATGGTTCTGTCTGCATATGGTCCGAGCTCTCGGTACCATGTTAGAGCTGTGCTTTCACTGAGCGCCGCGACTGTCATTACAAAGCGGCAGCAGCTGCACCAGGACGTGCACATTCGAGTGCATCTCTTGAATGTGCTTAGAGCAAATAACAGCAAGTGCCCGCTGTCACACATTTCACAGAAATTACATTATCAGCAGATAAGGGTTGTAAATCGTGGATCCGTGGAATATTTTCATCCCTAGTTTATCCTGATTCACACAACACACCCACTTATACATTTTGGATAGTAAGAGCACAATAAGTATTTTTTCAGCCTTTCAACCAACCTGTTTCTTTATTGGAGCCAGTTCTGTTCTGTCTCTGTGCCGTGTGAGCTCCTCGGAACATTAAACAGTGCGCTGACAGATTAGAAATAACGTAAGTACTTTGAATGGTAATAGATCTACAGTACTTTCCTCTGATTACTCACGTGCTACAATGCTCAGGGAACGAAAAAAAACACTTGCTTCACGCTGGCTAACTTTTAAAAATTAAACAGTCGCTCAGTGCTTCAGTTTGGCGCTGAAGAAGACAGCCAATCACTGCAGAGAACGGAACGGGTCACGTGCTGCTGCTGCTGCTGTTGCTCTGGAGGCGAGGAGGAGGCGCGACGTATGCACAAACGGAAGACATGTGTCCCGGACCGTCCGGGTCACGGGACATCATGTCATTTTGGTGGGGACTTTTTAGTCCTCACCAAATATTGGTGGGGACATGTCCCCATGGTCCCCACGCAAACCTACGCCCTTGCTTTATACATTGCAGCCTAATTAAGTGTTTTCCACTTGGTGCCTCATTTGATACGGCTCTATTAAATCTGATGTGTTCTTGTTTTTTCAGAACGGACTTTCCAGCCTTTAACCCTGTCTCTTAAATGTTATGGAGACATTATATAATGGGAAGAGGTGTTGGTCTGTCAATCTTTATTATCTTATTGGGCTAGAAACTTTTCAAACAAGCACTTCACTGAACCCTAAAGGTCTTAAGATGGAGAAAAAATAATTTCCACTTCCAAAGAATGGTGGCTCTTTCCTGGCTTATTATTTCTGCATTGACATTGTATATTACCCCGCCCTCTTCATTTGTGGCCTGTGTGCTATGCTGCTCTACTTTGTTCCATCGGTGGATGTGGCGACCACTTCTGTCATGGAAAGTAAAACTAAGGACAGGTTTTAGGGCAGCCTGATAAAATGAAATGGCTGAACACTGTTGTATATATTGTCATGAAAGGATATATATTTAAAAAAATCATTTTTTTTAAATGCAGGACAACAAATTAAAGTGTAATTTCATTAAATAAAACCAAATCCTGGGCAAAATTAAAAACACAAAAATTCAGAATCAAAACAAGTGCGGAACACAACGTAGGATACATAAAGTTCCGGCAAGTGGGGGAAAGTGGAGGAAAGGACAGGGTAATATTACGTACAAGGAGAGACAGGTGAATCACGCATTGGGTAGGGCAAACAACAGGAAGGGAAGTCAAACAGACAAGATATCAGATTACAACATAAATTATTATAGGTTACTAAATCTACAATTATTTGCTAAAGTGATGTCTGCTGTCGTTGTGTCCTTTGGCAAGACACTTAACCCCACTGTGGCTGAAGCCCCCGCTGAAATATCAAGGCGGTGTCATCACTGACAGAGCAGCCATCCTCCTGAGGACTCACCAGCTGCAGGAGGATCAGTGAGGGGCTGGTACTCTGTGAATTGTGCGGCAGCTGATTGTCACCCCTCCGACCCAGAAATGGATAAAGCGGAAGAAGATGAATGGAATGACAAATAAAAGCAGCATTAACTACCATGGTAAATATGGGGAAAGCTGCGAGTGAAGAGTTTGAAGAAATGATTGAAGTCAAGTGCTACACAGAAAGCACAAAGTCAGTTCTTCCCTGAGGGGGAGGACATTCGGCTTCTGGAAGGAGGAGGTGAAAGCCTTTGCTAAAGCTGCAAACAATATTCTCTGCTCAAGTGAGCGCAAGTGATGGTCCGTTCCTGATCATGGCACAGTGGTTGCAATACTGTTTAAGCATAGTGCATGCAAAGGCAATGCTTAATTAATAGTGAATGGAGAAATTTGAAGCTAAACGAGCGAGCTGCAGTCAATCAGACTTGCAAAATGCAAAAATGAAATCTTTCTTCTTCCCTCAATGAGGTGTAAATTCCGCTGCACAATCTCTAAACTAAGGTTCTTCTGAAAAGAAAAGCAGTACAGGAAACGCTTCTCTTTTGTCCAGTGGCAGTGAAGCATCAAAAGCCGTAATGTCTGAGTTTGTGTGAGTGCTTCCGTTTAATGGGAGTGTTTGCCCTTCAGGGCCCGCGTATTATATAGCTATAGCTATAACTGACTCCAACTGAAAAAAGTTGAATTTATGCCTGTAATTTCTTCCAGTGAAGAGCTGCATTCCCAAAGAGGTGACAGAAATTTGACTTGAGTTCTATGCTTTGATTGACAAAAAAAATGTCAAAGCGTCACCAGTTGTTGTTGTCCCATCAAAGATTCAGTCTATTCTCGTTGATTTTCCAAGAACATACCACTGAAGTCCAGCAGAGTGTGCTGCCATTCAGCCATGACACCATGCTCACTCAGGCCAAATAGTCCTCTTTTACAAGCCAGGCTGTGGCTGAGAATGTGGTGCATCACTAGAGGAGCTGAAAGGCATGTTTGGTGAAAATTTTTTATTCTTTTAAATACTAAATTAATTAATCACAATATTACAACTAAGATCAGACTAATTCTATTCCTTATTGAACATGAGCAGAGTCTACGTGTGTGAAACGTCTACGTGTCAAAAGCATTCAATACTTTCAAATCCAGTGCTCAGCAAATGGCTGTGAGTGTTGATAGTGCATAAAGCATGATAAAACATGTTCAAGTGCATCTTGTTGCAAAGGCCTGCTGCAATGAGACAAAGCTGTAGTTCTAATGACTCTCAGCTGTCAGTTCAGGAAAAGGACAAAAGTAAAAATTCCCTGCTAGTTTGCTGCTCATATAAATAATCTGATTTTGATGGAGGAGGATAATTTAATACTTATCAGCATCTGATTTGCTGATAATAGTTTGAGACAGTTCATTTGGAGCTTCTCCAAAAAACTTCATGTTCTTCAATTGTGCCCCTAGCAACAGAAGCGAGCGCCCAATCCTTCCACAGTTGGACAGATCTCCTTCTCATTACTACAATTTTCCTCTTTGGACTGTCACATAGTCCTTTTCGCTAATTCATGCTCCTCTTATCTGCCTCTCCTTCCACCCATGATAATTTTGAGTGGCTGTAGGCCAGTAAAAGTCCAGTCTGGCAGGGGCTGGTGGATGGGGGAGTGGAGAAGGAGACTGGGGACAGAAGAAAGCAGTGCAAGAAAGGGCAGACTTTCATTCACCAGAAAGATGTGCTCCTAAGGATAAAGACAACTTCTGCTCATCCGCTTAAATGTAAGGATTTATACATATTTGGACATCATCACGGACAAATTCTGGTAACATTGTTATATATTAACCTTTACTAATAGAAATGATTGACAACACGTGCATGCACATACCTATGCTTTCAAAAATAATATATTGTTTGCCAATTAAATTGCATTGCTCAGGATTTAATGTAACTTTAACCTACTATCAACATTTTCTTCTGTCGCATCCTGCAGCAGTTGCATATTGAATGCATTAGGATTCATTTATCAGTCCCTTGTTTGTGCTACTGCCATGTAAAGAATGAACAGACTGTTCAAAAAATCTCCCCAGCTTTTTATTACTTCTCGTAAAATTCATGTTTTTGTCGTGTCCCAAAAGTAGAATACTATATGGCATCTGCAGTTCTGCATGCATAGTTTTATATTTCAGTGTCTCTAGTGAATGACTTGAAAGAAAACGATTGCATAAATCACTTGATTCTGATGCAGTTTTACAAGCACTGATAAAGGACAATTGTATTAGCACAGAACAGATTTCTGCTGAAGAACTGATAAAGACTAGCTTCCTCCTTCCTCTTGTTCTGTAAGCATTTGGCAGCAGTAAATTCCCTTTAACTTGACAACGGCTGTCTAACATGGAACATACTTGCTAATTCTGGGCAGGACAGAAAAATAACAAATAATATTAGATACAGTTTACAGAGACAGATTTTTTAAACTTGTATTTGATGAACAATTTTACATCTGAATATTTCAATACTGACACTAAATATGTCAATGCACCTTGATTATTAGAATCACAAGGGCAGAACAACTGTAATTCTGCATTATTATTGCTGGATAGGTGAAAGGCCCGTGTCATGTACGTGTATGTGTCTGGTCACTGTCCATTGGTGGAATTTTGGTGTCTGCCAGTATGAATTAATTCCATGTGGCTTGAGTCAAGGTGTAGAAATTGTACGTTTGGACAAAGTCAGTCGGGGGAAAAGTCATTCCGGCTCCAGCAGAAAGGCGAGGGGTTTTCCAGCAGCCTCCTACAGCTCTCTAGTGAGGAAAAATCTCCAACCCACTTTCTCTTCCCTCGTGTTACTTGAACTCACGTTTACACGCTGGAAAAACACAGTCACAACTAAAGGAGCTGAAGCTTCACAGCCCTAAAGGTCAATGGTCACATCCTGACTGAGGATATACTGACCTCCATGTGTCCAGACTAAGAATATGGAGCACAATCAGACCTCTTCTCCAAATTCCTTCCACCAGACTTATCTCTGATATGCTACAGATCTGGACCTCATTTACAAGCGTCAAAATGTCAGCCGCCTCTCTGCCTTCACGTGTTGGAAAATACAGTAAAAGATTATACAGCACAAGCCCGCCACACAAACCGGCAAATCCATGCAGCGGGCACAAAAGCTGATTGCGTTTACATTGTTCTTTTCAGTTATTAGCTTGATAAGAAAATTGTCTAAAGGACATAGTATAAACATTTGACACATATGCACAAAAATATCTGAAGGCTGCAGTTAGAGTAAGTGAGGAAAGGCAGTTTATAACTGAAAATACACTCACATAGACTTCCCTCATTGAAACTTATGGATCAACAGCTCTACTCAAAAAACAAAACATATAGGTGTTAAGAAACATACTAACAAACAAAAAACCTCAGACAAAATACATATATTGTAGGAAATGTATTCCATTGGATACATGTGAATAAATACAATATTTTGTTTGTATGATTGAGGTGATAAGTGAGGTGATAAGTGACAATATTTTTTTTCAATAATTAAAAAACTAATGTAATAATTGATTAAATGTTAATAGCTCTATAACTGGACAGTAGATTGACTTCAGCTTTATCTAGCTTTTTTCTTCTAAACACTAATTGCTTCAAAAAAAATGAATTGATTATAAATGAACAAATAGTTACTTTGAACAACAGGTCACAGACCGGAGCTTCTTGGCAGAATGTAAAGAAGCCGGGGGTCACATGGGTGTACTCATTTGACATCCAGAACAGGTAACAGGGAGATAAAGCAGTTAATAGTTTAAACACAATCACCAGCAGGAAGGTTACACAGGGGCAGGGGCGTTGACTTCCACCAGAGGGGCATCCCCAGGGCATACAGTAGCCAGTGGAGGAGTTGATCATTTCTCCATATGATTCTGAATGAAAAAAGAGCAATGGGGTTTCTTGTAACAGCTGGGTAGAGCTCAGGGGAGCAGAGCAGGTGTTTGAGAATAACAGATAGACTGAATGATGGCTTGAGGGCAGACAGCCAGTTCAAACAAAGTTGACTGGGCATGTCAAATCTTCAGAGAGAGGAATGAAACACAACCAAATTATATTAATCATGTCCTGAATTTACTTGTACTTCACTGTCAAATGACTGTATATAGCTTCAGGCATGTTTTTGTATTTATTCAACAGGTGATAAATAACTTCTGTCAGAATGGTGTAATGTGAGGTGATTGGTTTTTTTTTTCTTAAGTCTGTGGTGATGCCTTACAGGCAAACACTGACAGAGGATTAAAAAAACGACTGAGGATCCCAACGGAAACACTGACTTTTAGAGTGTGCTTGTTTGGTGCCATGTGAGGATGTGGTAGATGATGTCTGAGAAAAAATTCTTAGGTGTCTTGCAGCTGGAACGGCTTTGGAAAGCTGGAATTGTGGATAGTGTGGGGAAATTGTGGTAAAATAAAATGAGGCTTTGGGGCAGTATTACATGTATCTGTGGGTACTGTAAAGGAGAAGTTAATGCATCTCAGCAGGAAAGGCTGTGTCATTTAACGACCAAAAACCACTAAGTAGTTGACCTGTTGAAATACATGTACTTTACACCATGTAGGTTGACAAGGTGAATATTTATGACTTAATACATAGACTGTATTGCCGTGTTTGGTGGAACCTCTGCATGTTATGTTCTCATTATCAATGCAGCAGTTTGTTTCACAAATATTCTTAACAACGCCTTTAATGTGCTGACCTGTGGAAACCAACAGTTAATATAGAGGCACAAAATCTTCACACAATGTGTAGAGAAGAAGACATTCCTGAAATGCGCACTAATGTAGATAGCATACTCAAATAATATCGGTATGACATTATAGGCCAAGCTAAGAAAACTTTGAGAAACAACCAGAGATTACCAACTTGAAATTGCTTGCTATTGTTTTCTTCCTCACAGTCAAACAAAGCATGTTTTCTCCTTTCCTATAGGTGCTCAGGTGGATCTTGGTACTGCTGCATAATGGGTTACAAATCAACATCAGTGCACTGTGTCTTAAGAATCCTCTGCTTCACACTTCTCCACTTACTTAGTTCAGCACAAGATGAAGACATAAGAAGTAAGAATGCTGTCTTCATTTCTTACATGTGTTGCTGGTTGCACAATAAATCTAGCGGTTGATGCTTAACAAGGATTGTCAAGTAATGAAGGACTGACTAAACTATTTGTCTTCTTCAGGTTGTAGGACCGCTCCTTGTGACTTGGTTTTCATTTTAGATGGATCTTGGAGTGTAGAAGATATAAATTTTGAAATAGTGAAGCGTTGGCTTGTCAACATAACCTCAAGCTTTCATATTGGGCAAAAGTTTACACAGGTTGGTGTTGTTCAGTACAGCGATGACCCCGTTTTAGAGATACCACTTGGGAAGTATACCTCCAACAAAGAGGTTCTAAAAGCCATGGAAGACATTGAATACATGGGCGGTAACACAAGAACAGGGACAGCCATTAAATTTGCTACGGATAAATTGTTTGGGCTCTCAGAGCGCGGCCTTGTTGGTGTTTCCCGGATTGCTGTTGTTCTTACGGATGGGAAGTCTCAAGATGAGGTGCTGAAAGCAGCTGAATTAGCAAGGAAAAAGGGTGTAATCCTGTTTGCAATTGGAGTGGGGACAGCAACAGAGGAGGCAGAGTTGAGGGACATCGCTAACAAGCCATCATCGACATACGTTTTTTCTGTGGAGGACTACAAGGCCATTTCCAGGATCATACAGGTCATCAGGCAAAAATTGTGTGAAGGTGAGAACAATTATTTAAATCTGAAAAAGACTGATTAAATGTACATAAATCGATCAAAACTATAAAAAACTGTGGAGCTTTATCATGTTTGTATTATGACATTACACAGATAAAAAGTACCTTCATATCATTTCTCAATGTTGTGTGTAATTTGTCTGGATCTTCTCCGGAACATTTTTTTTCTGACTTTCACAGAGACTGTGTGCCCAGTAAAGATTCCTGTTGATTCACGAGATGAAAAGGGCTTTGATATTCTCTTGCATTTAAATCTTGCCAAAAAAGCCAAGAAGACCCAAGGGGCGTTTTATGGTTCCAAAGCCTATGAAGTGACATCTCGAGTTGACCTCAGTACAGCAACAAGGTAACTGCAATGGATGTAAAACCTCCAGCTGACTAAGGAGTGCAGGACTCCCATAATTATTTCTGAATTATACCTTTATTCTGTGAAACATAATTAGCATGAATAGAACACAAAAGTCTAAAAAAAGATGTATACGGTGGGGTAGGATTGACATGACAAAGGGTCAAACATGTTCAGTACTCACTATACTGGAAGGTTCCGATACAGAAAGTTTGGAGCTGATTGGGTATGTCATGGCAACCTGCTTAGTGTCACTTCACAGACTTTATCTGACTTGTTCAGGGACCTGTTTCCTGATGGACTTCCACCGTCATATGTTTTTGTGTCCACGCTTCGATACAAAGGATCAGTCACCAAGGAGGAGTGGGACTTATGGAGGATCCAGACGCGAAAGGGCAACCCTCAGATGGCTGTGACCTTAAATGGATATGAGCGAACAGTGTCTTTCACAACAACCAGTGAGGCACCGACTGGAACTCAAACTGTTACATTCTCTCAGCAGACCGCCTGGGTAAATGTCCAACATCCTTTGCTTAGAATCAAGCATTTACAATTTTACCCCACATGAAAGGCCTCCTACTCATGTTAATATCTACTTTCTCCCCGACCACCAATTTGAAAACAGCAGAACGTTTATCTGGAAACTTGTGTTTGCCAACAAGTCCAAAGTTCAAGTCCAGCTCCTGGAAGCACAAATGTTTTCTGACAGGGCCTGTTTTAGATTTATGCTCAAGAGTCAAAATGTAAATGTTCACTAACCGTGCAGCAGAATGTATAAATCTTTCACATTTACCAATAGCAAGTGACATTTAATGTTGTCTACCACACTAAATGACAGAAGTCAGAGAGGACTTGTGGGATAGATTCCAAGTTGAAACAATGAAATAAAAAGCAACAACCCAAAAGCCCCCCTCGATCCACAAAAACAACTGATTATTGACAGCTGCCCTCCTTCCATCTTTGTCAGTCTAACACTAAAGGCCAGAAAAAGCATTTGAAAACATCCTTTTCTTTTACATTATTGGATTCCAACACCCCTTAATACTTTCCAGACGGTTACAAAGTCTCATGTTTGTACCAATTTGTTGCTTGTGACAACAGAAACTGTTTGATGAGAAGTGGCACCAGTTGCGTCTGCTGGTCACTGAGGAGGATGTGACTCTTTATGTGGACGATATGGAAATTGAAACCCTCCCTTTAGAGCCCCCAGTTGGCATCTTCATCAACGGAAAAACACAAGTCGGAAAATACGTCCAGAAAGAATCCACCGTGCCAGTAAGTTAAGCCTCATTGACAGGCATGTCCTCAATGAATGTTTGCTTGTGATTGATGCAGTTCAACAGATTATCTGACAGTAAATGCACTGTAAAAAACAGGAAGCAATTTGCCTAATGTGCAGTTTACATTTGGTACAGTTACTGTTAAAGTCGGTGACAGATTACACTTCTTCCTACAGCCTCCTAAGGGACACGACTCATGCTGTTGGTAGTAAATCTTTGGCAATAACAGCATTTGAGTCCACAGGGCCTTATTATTCTGTTTTATTTGGTTGCTTTGGCCCATTCCTCTCGAACTCTTAATTCAAAATAAATCATAATAGAGCTGTGTAACCCCCACAAAAAACGAAAATGGACTGTGTAAACTATGATTATATTTATTCTATTAATGTGTGATATTTATCCACAGAAATAATAATGTATGAATTCCCCGTCAAACACATTTCATCAAAGTAGTCTGGCTTTTCATGTACAATGATCCTCTCTCAGAACATGTCAGTTAGTAAAACAAAAGTGAGAGAAAGGTTTTACTGTCATTTTTTTATGGTGACTGTGCTTGGTGCTTCACTTTTTTGTTGGCACTCTATATATGCAGTTTTGACAGTGAATTTCATTATTCAGTTTGAAATTCAGAAGCTGCGTATCTACTGTGACCCTGAGCAGAACACCAGAGAAACAGCCTGTGAAATACCTGGAGTTGTGAGTACTGTATTAATGCTTTTCTCATAACCTTCTCACCTGTTGTTTATATTGAGACCAATCACTAAGACATCCTTTATCTATCCATTTCATATTTCCTGTTTTGAATTTTACGCCCGCCAGTAGATTATTGTACCATTTGTGAAATCTCTGCATATTGATTCTGCTCCAGTGACTTGCTGGAGAAGAGCTGTTGGAGCAGCTTCAGACATTCATGCTCAGTGTATGTTTTCATGGCTTCAGTCCTGTTTTTGTTAAGCACTGGTCCGTTGTTATGATGACTTAGAGATTAGTACGACCACACACTCACTGACTAATGTGTTTAAAACAAGTTCACTGGAAATACATATGAAAACAAGCAAGATTAGACATCTACAATTACTGCATGCCAAGTCTTTTCCCCAATGTTTTATTTACAGGAAAAGAACATTCTCCTAAAATAGATTATATTTTTTTCAAACTCATTTGACTAGGGGCCGATTTCATGAAATGCGAGCTTATGGCAAGGTATTTATCTTTTTGTTATTCCAAGCTTCATTTGCATTTGTGGTTTCATATCTATATTTTACATTATGGCCACATATACTTTGCCAAAAAGATGACTTGGTAATGTTTATAATCACTATACATGGATGAATGCATGAACTGATCATGATTTATTTTTGATAATTCATACATGAATTCATAATGAACTGCCTTCAATAATGATGATCATGATGAGTTTCTCATCATCAAGACTCATCGTGGTCACAATGCAGCAACAAGGACTCATCATGACCCATCATCATTAGGAATTCATAACTAAATACATTAACATCATTAAAGCAGAAGTAAGCAATTTTTGTGAGTTAATATAAGTCTTAAATAGTCATATCTTCCAATAGAAATCACTTCTATAGTGTTTGGACCGAATCCCGGATCTTTCAATCACTCTGCTCCGCTCTGAAGTTGAGGACAAAACCTTACAGGAAAGTAACTCATCATGATCCTAACCCATCATGGTGAGTTAATAGTTCGTAAATTATGTGTAAATGTGTTTAATTATGAATGAATAATGATGAACTACTGAGCCTGTCCATATGCCATTCAGCTATACTGATAATTCAGCAATATCAGTAATTATCTGCATTTATTACCTTTATTTGAAAATGGTTTGACAGACCTGAGATAAAGTCTGGAGTTTAATTGTGATTTTTTTTTCCCCTCCATTCATTTGATCAGTGTTCCAACAGCCCTGATGCTGAGCCAACTGACATGCCTTGTATCTGCCCTCCTGGCCCAGCTGGATTTCCGGGTTCTAAGGTCAGCATGACACAAACAAATATAATGTTTGGTCAGAGATAAATGTTTGGTCAATTTCTTTCCCCTCAAGAAAAATTAAGCTTCTATTGTATTGCCGGATGTGGTTTTTTTTTACAGATTTAATATAGTACAACATAATTGAAGTTCTACTTTTCTCCAGGGCCAACAAGGCAATATGGGTGAGCCTGGTCAACCTGGACCTGCTGGTGCTGATGGTAAGCCTGTGAGTACTAAATAGTTCAATATACAATATACAATCTTTCTCTCGAATGCATCTATGGCTTTGCCATAATTAAGTTAAACCATGCATTAGGTAATGCCAAGCACTTCATTGTGGTTGGGACCTCTTCAAACTCTTACATATGTTACTTTGTTTTCCAATGAGTAAATAAAGAGCATCTCTGATTATAGCGACAGTGGCTGCAGTGTTAATTTAGAAAATTGTAAACATCCTGGAGTCAACCACATACTGTAGTTTTGAAAATTATCAAAACACATGGCATTTGTAGAGCAAGCTCTGAAATGATCCAGAGAGCATGCACACAGCTGAGCAGAATAAAGCCTTTAACAGAGTCTGTCTTCTATCTTTTCACCATGTGAAGGGGGTTCCTGGTGTGAGAGGGAGTCCCGGGCTGCCGGGTCCGCCAGGGGCAGGGGTAAGTTCATTATACATTTAGACATTTTCACTTCTCATAGTCATTCCAACTGCAGCTACTACTACATAGTCTCTTTTTCCTCAGGGACCACGCGGCCAAATGGGGTACAAAGGGGAACCAGGGATTCCAGGTGTTATGGTAGGTATATGACTGAAATACAGATGTACAGTTGTAACATAACAGTTCATATCGTTTTTTGTTTTTTTTCAGGGAGAAAGAGGTATTCCAGGACTACCTGGACAAACAGGGAAACAAGGAGAAAAGGTACCAATCACCTTTTTTTTTTTTTTATAGTAGAGGATTCCAAACTTAATGTAATGGTCTTCATTCATCTCCTGTGACACATGTCAGTATATAGATTAATGGATGTTAAAAATACTCCCCTGACTAGTTCTGTGATAAACATCAATTTGGACTCATATGTGTGGCATCAATCAGCCCCGAACACATGCTGCAAATATAAACACTGTCCCCTCCACACAGAGCAGTCCCTCTGAGGATGTTACAGTTCAAAGACTGTTCAGAAGTCATCTGGGCCTTTTTAAATGTGTCCATGTTTCCTGACTTTGCCACAACCAGGACTCCACCCAATCGGGGACAATGGGACATTGGGCACATAAACATCTCTGCATCATGGAATAAGATACATATGGGCAATTTTTAATCTGTATTTAAGCCTCTGGCTTTCTAGTTTATTAAACTGATACACAAAGCCACATTTTAAACACAAAGATATCTATTGGCCATAGTAAGACATTTCATTACATTTGTATTAAAGGACACAGTTAATGTTCACTCTGCCTTCATTTTGAGATTAATTATCTATTTGTTATGCAACTAAATTATTGATATTTCCGGGTATGAAACTTTGCATGGCTCCAAATACACAATATACTGTACACATCATATGTACTATTCAAAATGGTTACCATTGAAAGACCACCCAATAGTGTACTTTTAGGGGTTCAGAAAGAAGAAACACAAAATGTCGACTTACATATGGAGCAGGACATGAACTGAGACTCTGTGAAGCAGTTGGCCTAATAGACATTTATCCAGGTTAAATGTGGGTGGATGAACAAGAATATATTCAAATTAGGTGAACTGACAGACAAACAAAATGGCCAAATATAACTAACTCCTGCCGTTTTTCATAGGGGTCACAGGGATCCCCTGGAATTTCTGGGTTTCCAGGAAAGACTGGCCAAATGGTAAAAGTCTATAGTCATTTCTACTTAAATTTCTATTCTGAATCCAAGTAATAGTTGCGTAATTATTTATTTTTTAGGGAGAAAAGGGAAATATGGGACCTCCCGGGCCATCAGGTTACCCAGGAAAAACTGTAAGCCCAAAAGAATATGGATACACTTTTTCATGACAAAAAATGTAAATGTTTGATTTCATTTCTTAGGGCCCACAAGGCAGAGATGGAAAGGATGGACTTCCAGGAATACAAGGAGATAAAGTTGGTATACTGTATCTTTTAATATAGAAGCATAATCTTTGACTGTAGTAAAGTAAATTTTGTTTGCATTTTTGAACAAAGGGAGAAGTAGGAATAAGTGGTATTCCTGGAAATGATGGAAGACAAGGTCACCCAGTAAGTTATATAGTAGTTAATATTTGTACATTTTAAGCTTCAAGTATTTCAGACAAAATGGTCCTTTGTTTCAAGACTAAAGGATTTGTGTTATATAGCCATAAAACTGCCAACCCCTTAAACAAATTTGAAGCATTACCTATATGTTGGATTTCTTCACCTGCAAAGTGTTAGCATACATAATACTGCAAAGCTGACCCCCGAGAGCCACAAACCAATTGGTATTTCCCCCTGTAGTTCAGCTCAGGATAGCCCTGTTATGTAATATATCGGCTACAGTAGTACACAGCAGGCAGTAATCAAATGCAGCACCGCTGTACGGAGAGGCTCCACTCCTTGATCAAAAAAATCATCGTGTTTTCATCAGCTGGTGGATGTTTAAAATTCTCAAAATATTGGGGCAAAAGGAAAGGATTTTAACTCTATAACATTTACATATATTCTCCTTTCGGAATCAGTATACATGTACCAACCGAAACTGGACTGGTCTGTAACCAATATATACAACAAAACATCTTTATCGATAATTTATATTTAGGGCTGTCAAACGATTAACATTTTTAATTGAGTTAACTATAGCATAGAAATTAATTAATTGTAATTAATTGCATTTCAAACTATTGGCAAAATTATGGCATATTTTTCTGTAAATGGTTGTTTGAATGGAAATATAAATGACAACATAATGTACATATGTACTGTATACAATAAATCCACATAAAATCCACGGCATTAAAGTTATTAACATTCTGTCTTTAAGTAGAAAACAGTATTTTTTCTAAGTTGTATTAAAAGTTGAATTAAAACCCGTAATTGAATTGAAATTATTTGTATCTTATTGATTCAGCTTTTGTATGAATTCAGGCAAAGTGCTGAGTAGAAACTTTGCGTGATGCCCGTTCTCCTCCAACGAGGAAATTAATGTGCGTTAATGCGATAATTTTTACAACCCTAGTCATAATATATTTGTAGATATGCTGTCATTTTCCTAATTTCTCTCTTCAATATTAGCGTGTTGTTGTTGTTGTTGTTTTAGGGGATTCCTGGATTGCCAGGAAACACTGGTATGGATGGACTAAAGGTTAGTTTCTCATTTTAAGGGATGGTCCTATAGATTATGCCTTATTTCAAAGATATGTTATCGATTTGTCTGAAGGGAGAAGCTGGGTCTCCTGGTCTCAGGGGTTTTCAAGGATCAGTTGGACCACCGGTGAGTTGAACTAAACCCCTTTATTGTTTCACATACAGCAGGGGTGTCACTGGTTCCAGAAAGGGCTGGTGTGGCTACACACAACACTCCACCCATTTCCTCAAGTGTTCAGGTTCAGACTTGACTCAATTGAGGAAATGGGTGGAGTGTGGTGTGCTCCTGCTTGGTTGGAATAAAAAACCCGCAGCCACATCAGCTCTTTGATGACTGGTTTGACACCCATGACGTATGGCCAACAGCCTACATGCACATTCAACAGTTAGTGTTCCCTGCCCACAGGGTGAGATGGGTTTACCTGGTCCACCTGGTTTACAAGGACTACAAGGAAATAAGGTAAATTATGTTTGCCCTTTTCTATTTCATACCATGAGCATAATAACATGACATATTGGTTGGACTGATGATAATGGCTCCATCTGTAGGGCTTTTTATGAACTAAAACCTCAACTCAAACATTGAAAGGCCAATAGTAAAACTGCAAATAGTTAAAACTGCAGTACTTTATCTTAATAAACAATATAATAATCCACATGGAACATTAAATGATTCTTTAAACAGGGGAATAAAGGTGAAAATGGAAACCCAGGGATACAGGGTGCTCCAGGATCACCGGTATGCTCTCACTATTCAGAAAATGTATTAAATTGTAATGCAAAAATGTGTTTTCATAGCTGATTCATTATCTTCCAGGGAAGCACTGGTGTTCCCGGAAGATCAGGTCAATCAGGACACCCAGGCATGCATGGAATAAAAGGCAGTAAGGTTTGTATTTGTATACTATCAGGGCTTCATATTGAAACATACAGATGTAATAGAGGGTAACAGACCAGTGGTCATTCTGTGAAGATAAAGTTAAGGTTCATGCTAAATAGGTCACATAAATAAATCTGATCAAATATGTAGGTTTTTACAGCTACTGCATCAACAAAATCTCTACAATTATAATCCATCTTATGCTGTCAGAAGAATACTGCCTGTAACACACATGTAGCTCCTATAGCACTGACTTACAAATGCAAACCACTTTTTGGGGTTTACCTGGAAACTGTACAAACTGTGTGTATTATGCACATATTTTTGCACCTGCCTTCATTTAAAAAAAATGCTTGATAAACTTTTTTAACTTTTTTCATTTAACGCAACAAAAAATGCTGAATGTAATATTGTGCATAAAACACTGGGATCCTAAATGAGAAACATTCTGCTTTCTGATTGGATAATCTTCTGGAAAACCATAAACATAAATATTGTGGAAATCATGTATGTTTCATTAAGAATAATAATAATAATAATAAGGCATCTGTCTTACAGAGCGCTTTTTTGGACACTCAAAGACGCTTCACATGTCATCATTCATTCACTCCATACACGGAGGTCATAAACAACTACTGTAGCTACAGCTGCTCTAGGGCACACTGACAAAAACGAGGCAAATAGTATGTGCCATCGGCTCCTACGACCACCACCAACCATTCACACACACACACACAAAATAATACAAGAATAAAACAACTGATTTTGTTCAGAAACTATGATTTGTACATTTGGACGTATAAAAGATGTATATGTGATTTTTTTTTACTTGAGAAGCTCTCACAGAGCGCAGACCTTTTCCCATTCCTTAAAAGAATCCTTCATCCAGCCGGAGATTGAATCAAATGGAAAACTAGGCCATTGCACACGTTTCCTGAAAATGTTGTCCAAATCCTCTCATAACCTTTCTGTTGCTCACAGACAAAAGCTGTCAATCACTTTACCTCCTGGGCAGAGGTAATATTTATGGTCCCTTCTATATAAAAAGCTATAGGTGGATGTATTTCAGAAAATGTACATCTGCTTTTTGCTTTAGCACATGATTGCCACCTAGCGGTAAACAGAAGTACAACAAGGACATCATTGATCAAACTTTATCTGTATTTATTTACAGTTGATTCGAAATAATTCCTCATGCCCAAAGAATCCAATCAAACCAACTTCCCCAATAGAGACAACCCAGCCACCAAACAGACCACACCACAAGTGCAGAATTACAACCCTATATGTATTTGAAGTACTAGACCTGGAAATGTTATTTCAAACAAGATTTGTGATCTTTGTTGATGTGACTTATAACAATTATTAAAAAATCAAGTGTTATATTTTTTTTAAACCATTTTTTCCCCTATGTGTTTATTTATTTCTAATAATTCTCATGACTTTCTTACAGGGGCAAAGAGGAAATTCAGGCGAAAGAGGTGAGATGGTAAGATCCAAACTAATGTAACACAAACTGGCGTATATAATGTAATTATATGATCTAATTTGTCTCTGATTATCAGGGAATAAAGGGTGAAAAAGGAGAGCATGGACCACCAGGCAATAATGTAAGTATTAATGTTTCATTGACAAAAAAAAAAGGTTCTTACGATCATTCTGAAGAAGGCACAAAAGATCGGTTCTAAGAGCTTTTAAAATCAATATCGGGGGTGAGAGGTTCATGAACAAAATGTACAAGTTTTGTTCAATTATAATCCTGAAAGAATCAGCCCGCCTTGGTAACCAACAGTGGCTCACAGAAGCCAATATTGCTAAGCAAAACAATACGACAAAAATAACCCAGGCCAATTTTTTATTTTCTTTGCAATGATCCAAGTCCTATATTTATGCTAAATCATTATTTTTTTATTTCGCAGGGCATGACTGGTCCAGTTGGAGTCAAAGGCGAAGTAAGACATTGCTTTAGGATAAACCGCTAACTCTTTGCTTTTTACGAATTACTTAAAATAATAAGTATAATGTATATTTTAGAGCATATATTATGTTTTCAAATCTGTGTTTCAGCAAGGGGCATCAGGAGAGCCGGGGCAGAGGGGTCATGATGGTCAGATGGGACGTCCAGGACAGCCAGGTCAGGCAGGGACTCCTGGCCCTCGTGGAATACAGGGGGACACAGGTCCTCAAGGCCCACCAGGCCCTGCAGCACGGCCTGTAAGTCTACATGCAAAATCCTACTTTTATATTAGTAGACATTGATTTAATCCTTGTTGAATACAGGTCACTGAAATGTCAGAATCACATATTCGCCAAATTTGCAGAGACATTCTTCAATGTATGTATACATTTAAAATACTAGTATTCTCTGCAAAGTTTTTATTCATCAGTAATTTTGTTTTTGTTTTTTCAGCTGAATTACCCCAGCTTTTGATAAGCGATCAACGAAGAAGCTGCTCTTCATGCTACAACCAGCCTGGATCTCCAGGACCACCAGGACCAATTGGGCCTCAAGGACTGAGAGGTCTTCCCGGATTCAGTGGTGCAAGGGGACAACCAGGACATCCTGGTCTCCCGGGACACCCAGGGGCCAATGGTCTTAAAGGTGAGAGTATCACATGAGCATAGTCTATTTTCACGTCAGAAGCTAAGCCAGAGTTTATATTGGGAATGGGAGGATTTGGGACGATCTGGGACCATGAAGTGCTGCAGTGGGATTGCAGTGTTTCTAAGGACACTGATGATCTGGGACATTTATGGAATTGTATTAACCTTTAGGGGAGCAACAGTGGCTCAGTTGGTGGAGCATTGGCCTTTAGGCCTGAAGGTTGTGCGTTCAAGCCCGCCATAAGACCTACTTCAAGACTCCCACTGATGTCTACTGTTATTGTGTCCTTGGGCAAGACACTTAACCCAACTTTGCCTGAGGCCCCCACTGATAGATCAAGGCTCCTGTGGACTCACCACCTGCAGGAGGATCAGTGAGGGGCTGGTGCATTTGTGAAGTGGAACCAGAACCAGAAATGGATTAAGGGGAAGAAAATAGATGGATATCAAAATTCATGGAAATGTATTAACATTTATGGACATTGGTCCTCCAACCCCCTAAAGACCTTTGTATTTGTTAATAATGCATTTTTTGTGTTTGAACTGTTTGATAATCTGATCTGTTGTTGAGGTATCGACTTTGTACAGTCGTCCGAGACATCTGATAAATTGAATTAAAATGATTACGCCATTTTTCTAGGTGAGTCGGGGTTCAAGGGTGAAAAAGGCAGCACTGGTCGAACAGCTGTTGGAGATCCTGGTCAACCTGGGCCAACAGGTACTGCACTATTACCTTATTCTACAGGCAAATCATTGAGCATCGGCAGCAAGTTTATAACTTAATATTTATTTTGATTTGCCCAATACAGTTTTATTAATTTCTTTTTAATCTTTCAGGCCCAACGGGCCCCTCTGGCTACGGCAAACCAGGCACTCCAGGAAAAACTGGACCTCCTGGGCGAGATGGATTGGAGGGTAAAAGTGGTAACCCCGGCGTCCCGGGCCAGCCTGGTGTATGTGACCCGTCCATGTGCTATGGAAGTATGATGAGGCGTGATCCTTACAGCAAAGGTCCCAACTATTGATACATAGAACCAGTGCAGTGCAGGCACAGGTTTAGAGGTACAGCCTTCTCAGGAAGAACTCACACTTTGACCTCCTCCAATGGCTTACACTATCATCAAATACAATCTGGTTCAGGTGAATGCTGTTCAGTCTAACTTTATTTAAAAGAGTACTCCTTAACTATTCAATATAATGATGTGTTAATGGACGTCTGTGCTACTCTGTGACAACAGCAGTAGTAGTGTTTTTGTTTTAAAGAAAAAAATAAGTCATGACGTCCTATTTTATTTTAATGTCTTTAGAAAACTGTGATTCCTGGTCATGGGGCGGGATCTGTCTGACATATTTGACTTACTCCACGATACATGGTCTGATTTGAAACTGTTTTGGGAAGTGTTACTTAAATATTACTTTATTCTATTGAGAAGGACAATGTAATGGGTTTTTTCATAAGAATACACCCAACAATACGTTTACAATTGTGTTATGTTGTATTTGAGTAATGGTAGCAGGTATTTTTTTGTTATTTATAAATAAGTCTATATTATTGTGTATCAGGTTTAAAACCAGCAATGTAATTTTATTTTTGTGACAGAAAACTACACTTTTGTATAAAAACTTGAATTAACATTATTGTGTGACATCTTATTTTGTGCTAAGCTGCACAAACAACAGTGACTTTTACTCATAGACTGTAATGTCAAAGTAGCACAGAATTTCCACAAGATGGCGCCATTTGTCTACGCTGCACAACTACATGTTAAGTGGTCAAAGTTTATTTCACCAATTACGACAAAGATGGTGCTGTTGTTGTCTTGTTTGAGTTCAACAGGACTTCCTACCGTAAATATTGGTTTCAATAAGTTAGAGTGATTAAAGGTCCTGCCGTTATTGTCAACTCGTAAGACGCAGCCTCTCAAATTTCAAGTGTCTCCTTTTACACTCTGGAGCTTACATTCATCATGGGACCAGTTCACGTTTTATTGAGTCTGCTGGAGGGAGACACACAACAGAGGGAGAGGCACACACTTCGAGGAACTTGCCCCAACATCAGTCCCGAGCCGCACCACAGAGCCGCCCAACTGACCTGCTGGACATCTCATCACACCAAAGCCTCTGGAGCAGAGCAATGGGCGTAGGCTACCTTCGCTTTTTTTCGCCTCGAAGGAGTTAGGTGAGGGACTGGGTCAGTGCTCCATAAATACTTGGCTCCACAATGACGCTGAAAGGAACCGGTTGGATTTATCATAGGAGCGCTCAAGAGAGGACACGCAACTGAATGGCAAACTAACCCAAAAGGGCCGCTCAATAAAGGCCTCCTGCAGACCACGTTTGTGGATACAGAACATCTGTGGCAGGTATACGTCAAGAAGATTTTCTCTCCAAAATCTGCGATGTAGTTTTTTTCTTGTTTCTTTTTTTTTTTTAATGATATAAGTAATTTGTCAGTATGACAGTCCTCACATATTTGAACTGTGTAGTAGTGGGCATCGCATGGAGCTTGAGCTTTTTATCATGCGCTCATTGTGGTTTAAGTGACCACCATGTGCACTCTAGTTTCATCTATCGAAGATTGCGCAATCACGAACGCAAGGAGATCCAGAGAGAGATCCTGTCCATCCTGGGTCTGCCCCATCGACCGAGGCCCTTCTCTCCTGGAAAGCAGTCCTCCTCTGCGCCGCTCTTCATGCTCGACCTGTACAACGCCATGTCGGTAGAGGAGGAAAGCGCGCATCAAGGCGCGCTCAATGGCCCGGGGAGAGGCGTCAGTACCAAGGTGCCCGGCCAGTCCCGGAAGGCTTACTACAGCCCCCAGGCCCACGGGTATTCCCATGTGGCACAACCCTACCGCGCTGCCCCTCTGCTGGGCTACAAGGCTGCGATTACTACGGCAACTGACACACACTTTCTGAACGACGCAGACATGGTTATGAGCTTTGTTAATTTAGGTAAGTGTCCCTATTATAGCCTTTAAATCACACCAGTAGAAAGTCTAGCACGCCACAAGAAAAATCCTATTCAATTGAGACGTTGTTCTGCATATCAACATTTCTTCCCTAAATAGAGGTGATTTGTATCATGATAATGGAGTGGGCAGGAGCCTTGAGCTATAACCCAGCTTGTTATCAATTGACAGTCTGACCTTGAGGAAATTGTCTTGTTATTTCTTGTCTTGAATAGTTTCATTGACTGATAGTTTGAGAAAAGAAAATTGAAAGATAAAACAAAATAATATCCCAAATAAAATAAAAATCCAATGCTATACAAAATAATAGAACAATTGAATCCCTGCATTTGGTGATGTTTTCTGTAACTCCTGAGTAAACTATAGGTCTATATTTTATTTACTTAGTGGCCTAATCTGCCAGTGTGAGCTGAATCCATCTGTTTCCACTTAGCATAGAGCAGGCCATGTACACTGTCACCCCTGAAAGGCTGCTCAGTCCTGGCCACTGTCAGTGAAGTGTTCAATGGGCCACTGTCTCGTTATCGTATATATGACAAGAGTTTACAGGAGCATGTACCTACTCCTGTGGATAAATGCTTCATACTCCAAAATGTTAAAATATCAATTCTGTAATGACCTTATATAATAATGAGAAAAAAAGAATAGCAATGGAAATGGAATGGAATGGACATTTTCAGAACCACAATGGGACATAAGCCTTTGTTTCAATGCAATCATCAGTACATTAGATATGGTTTTGCTTCATGGTAAGGGTCACTCAACACTCGCTGCCCGTTTTGAACAAGAGGTCATCAAAAGGTCGTAAATGAGGTCAGGACATACGCTCCCATGACGTTAGTGGACCCGGCCTGCTCTTTTCTCTCACTTGAGGAGTGGGCAAAAGTGTCTTTAATTGAAATCAGCCTGTTTTTCTAAACTGACAGCCCATTCATCATGGTGCAGAACGCAGCTAGGCACACAGTGGAGGCTTGTCTGGGAACGGCTACCTGTACTCAGTTGACTGATTTAATGAACTGGAAAGTGCTTTTGTTGGTCTTCTAAATGTTTACATTTCATGTGGAATTCAAGAGGAGATATTATAAATTACATTTCTGTGTGATACTGCTGACATAAGTTTTTACTCAACGTGGTGGTTCAGAGGGAGTTAAGGGATCTTTTTTACTATGGTTGCGGAGAGTGAAAGCAATCTCTACATTTTCTTTGGCAGTCGAGAAAGATAAAGACTTCTCTCATCAAAGAAGACACTACAAAGAGTTTCGGTTTGATCTGACTCAGATCCCTGACGGGGAAGCTGTGACAGCAGCGGAGTTTCGCATCTTTAAGGATCGCAGTCATTCTCGATATGACAATATTACTCTGAAGATCTCAATATATCAAGTCATCAAAGAATATAAAAAAAAGTAAGGACTGAACACACAACATGTCACACCACCATATGTTATACCATGCATCAGTTCTCACTTCAAATCATTCTCACCTGCGTCTATCTGACAATTCTAGTTCTTAGATAAAAAGAAATCCATGAGCAAGTTGCCACTTAGAAGACTTGGTCCTTTTATCAGCAATCACATGTCAAGTGGACACCTCACAGATGAAAGTACTGGGACCATTAAAAAGAGAAGAGGGCTCCCGTGGGTGCTCCTCTGGTCACTGTAATTCCCACCACCTGACTGAATTAACAATATCCTGGACGTTCAAACCATGACATAGCACAGTACACAAGAGGGTTCTTAAGTGGGCCTACATTGTCTGGCCAAAAATGTGTGTGGGTGATAGAAGGGAAGTATGACCCTCATGAGTCTAAGCTCTGCTCAATGGTTACAATCTTAAAAGGGAAGACAGTTTTTGTACAAAGACAGCTGTGGACTTATGGATGTTATTTTGGTTCTGCTGAACAAATAGATGTCTAAAGTAGTTTGTTGGTGTTGTGTGCATCTATTTCACTTACAGAGATGCAGACACTTTCCTGCTGGATTTCAAAATGGTGCAGGCTTCAGAAGGAGGTTGGCTCGTCTTTGACATCACAGCCACCAGTAACCACTGGGTGATGAACCCTCAGCAAAACCTGGGTCTGCAGCTCTGCGTGGAGACTGTGGATGGTAATCAAACGTTTGTAAATACCTTATACTTATTATCAACCAATATAAATGCCTTACCATTGAAATACTTTTGTGAATGTATTAAAGATTGTTTTCTCTTGAAGGCTGTAGCATCAACACCAAGTCGGCTGGAATCATTGGAAGGAATGGACCCCAATCCAAACAGCCATTCCTGGTTGCTTTCTTCAAGGCCAGCGGCGTGTTGCTTCGCTCAGTGAGAGCTACGGGTGGAAAGAAAAAAAACAATAATCGCAATAAATATAACAATCAACAAGATTCGTCGCGAGCACTAAAGAGTGGAGGTATTTCAACCCTGCAAAATAGAATTTTAACAAACTTCATTCACCTGAAAATAGTTGAATAAAGCCTTCTTTGCTTTTTAATTCTTTTCAGACAAGAACACGAGTGAACAGAAGCAAGCCTGCAAAAAGCATGAACTCTATGTGAGCTTTAGAGATTTGGGTTGGCAGGTATTTAATAATGTGGTTACTGTACTGTGTCGTTTGGTTCGTTTTCTGTTTTACTAAAATCAAGTACTTGGTTTGTGGCAAGGACTGGATCATTGCACCTGAGGGTTATGCTGCATTTTACTGTGACGGTGAATGTGCATTTCCTCTTAATGCACACATGAATGCAACCAATCATGCCATCGTTCAAACTTTAGTAAGTGAAGTCCATGTAATTGATGTATGATGTGTGATGTCTTAATCAGTTTTTACTCTTTTCCAGGTCCATTTAATGTTTCCAAACAATGTGCCAAAGCCCTGCTGTGCTCCCACCAAACTAAATGCCATATCAGTGCTGTACTTTGATGACAGCTCCAATGTGATTCTAAAAAAGTACAGGAACATGGTGGTGCGGTCTTGTGGTTGCCATTAGCAACCTTAATTTATGCCCTTTGGTTCAGCATGCTGGAAACCCCCTCTGTACAGTGTTATGTATATAATGTTTTGTTGGATAATTTATTAATAGCACTGATTATTCTTCTATCAAAGTTAATAATATATGAGTTTCCCTAATTCGTTTGTCCGATAGCATATAAACCACTTTACTGTCTGCATTATTTTTTTCATTCACTGGAATTTAAATTAAAATATATATATTTTTACTTTTATTTTATGTAATTCAGACAAGATAAAAAACACTGCAACTCAAGGTATTGTAAGGTTGTCATATGACATGAAAGCCCTGCTTGGAAACAATAACAGTGACCAATAAACATGTTCAAGCACTATTATATATGTTGCACAATTATGAGAAAATCTTTGACTCTTTCATTATAAATCATATTGTTTTAAGAATCTTTCTCCATCCTTCACATCGTTGCCCCTCTCAAATAAAAGAGAATAATGTTGATAACTTAATGTATCACTGAATTGCTCCAAAATATATACTCAGGGGTTCAATAATTTGATGAAAGAAAATTCTATCAAATCAATGTATTTTTTTATACAGGTTTATACAAGCCTTCTGCAAGCAAGATTTTATCAAGTTAAATAACTCATGTTGATGCATAAACTTAAAAGGTAAAACATATTCTTAAGAATAAAATATGAAATGTTAGCATCTGGAGACATTTTTGGAACCGTAAGGGGGGATTAAGGAAGCACTGCGTTGAAGTTATTCTACTGTTTTAACCAATGCTGTTATCTATTCACAGCCTATACATAATGTAAACTATCTGAAACCTAATGATTTAGGTGTGTTTCTTATCAATTTGTAATGGGGCTAGAAATGCAGCTCTAAAGAGTGGTTATCAAGAGGGTCCCAGCAGCTTCATAAGCTACAGAGCAGAAATGAAGAGCACACTTGACACATCCATGAAATTGTGTATTCAGTAGAAAGATACATGTTTGCCTAGTTTGTGCTCATGTGTTTTTAGGTCAAAAAATGACTTCCTCATTTTATTTAACTGAGTTATCCCTGAAACAAGAATGTTATTTTCCTTAGAGTTAAATCAACATTTTCTATACCCTTGGGAATATAGAGATTTGGGTTGCCCGTGGACATTTAGGGTTAATGTTCATTTTCACAAGTGTGCTGACCTCTGCACACAGCACACACACTGTTAGCCCATCCTCCTGGCTACCTATCCTCTTTTTTTAACAACTTCTTCTCTCCAACACGCGAAACATTGAGTGTCTGTATTTCACTTAATTAAAAGCAGCGGCCAGCCCGTCCAGATGTTATGTTGCTTCCATCTAGAAGACGTGTTGACATTTGGTGAATAGGGACGGCCACCTGCTAACCCAACTTTTGGCATTAGGGATGATCTGAATTCCTGCGGCCTGTTGCCTGGCACGGTTGCTCAGAGCACTTCACAATCCCATCGACTGTTTAACATAATGGATTCCTTCCAATTCTACAACATTTCTGCTGTGAAATAACTTCTATTTTGGATTAAAGGCTGAGATGGTCTAACAGAGGGCCATATGAATACCAATAGAAAACTCACAGTAAACCACCGTAAACACATTCTTCCTTGTGGCAAAGATTGTGCTACAATAAAGACTCAAATAAGATAAGTTTAGTTCGTGAAAGCTAACATTCTAGTGACATAAAAGAGGCCACTAAAATGTGCCAAAAATCGAAAGATCAAAAATATTGCCATTTTAACTCATTTCTCAACAAAAGTTTTATTGCATTAAAAACAAAGAGACGTATAGAAATTGGCTTTAAACACACTGTTTTGGAGAAAGAACAATGTTTGGCTTAAATATACACAATTGAATTAGGTGTTTTCTCCTTTAGTATCAGACTTTCAATAAGAAACAAAAAAAAACAATCGAAAATTAAGATTGATTGCCCAACTCTAATTGTAATTTGTCAAATGTATCCCTGGCTCATAAATGTGAGAAAAGCTCAATTATATCACTCATAGTTGTAGTTGTTACATGTGCCATCCCTTAAATTGTTTCCATTCCAGACTGCAAACCCTGACATTTATTATTAATTTGCTTTGGTAATCCTCAGTTCCACCTATTTCCCCTGTGTTAACTCGTTGTTTCTTTCTTCCCGTGGTGCAAAGTTTATTTACACAGTGTCACCTTGCAGTCCGTCTACCAGGCGAGTGAAATTGTATCTAATAAAAATGTTTTGCAGTTTACCTACTTCATCTCCGCACATATGGTTCTTCTTATTTGTGTTTTGTGGGTGGCCAGTGACTTCCATGGGCTCAATCAGTCCCTGCTGAAAAAAAGGGGAACACATGGGTCAGATTTTAACACGCTGTTTTGGTATGACAAGGCTGCTGCAAAGCCACTATAGTATATCCTTACACAGGGCAATGGAGTAGCCTGATTTGGTTTGTTTGTATGTTTTTCTTCTATCCCAAAACCTTTTAAGATTCGGAGCAAGAGCAGACTGTGAACTGGGTTGTCATCCTGCATTACCGTATGTGATGGCACCTGCGAAAGTGCATAATATATATCTTGGAACGCAAACATGTTTGTGCAAATCTGACATGTGCTTTCTTTCAAACCCTGGCACATGTTGGAATTGCGTTTCTTTTATTAGAATTACCGGAATCATAAATAAATATAATCTTCAGCTCATATACATTTCAAATTAAAGTCTAAAGTTGTTTCTTCAAATACACTCCGTCTTAGAGAAAAGCTTAAACTAAAGCAATTCCTTTCCATGTTATAACCAGTGCAATTGCAGGCAAACTCCATGTGAACGAATAAACCTGATTTAATATATCACTTAACCTTCAAAGTAGTCGTTAATATACAACAATGGACAACATCAGAGGGATTCCACCGTTGTTCTGTCAGCTCAATAACAGTCTTTAGACAAAACGGCAATGTTAGATTCTACTACAGCAGGCTCATTTCTGGAGATTAAAAACACACAGCCATATTGAGTTAATCATCATCACTGTGGTAGCCAAGACAATCAAACGTGGTATCTAGCTGTGTTTATTCTGCAGATTGGACATAATGCTTTGTAATCTCTACCTTAGCTTGTTCTGTGCTGCTGAAAAGTAACAATGGGTTATACAGCTTTGGCTTTCAACAGGTGTGGAATTAAAGCAGGGGTACCAAACGTTGAAACCACAACAAATTAACTACTGTATGTAAGAAAATATTTATAAATACAGGTATTTGCTCGCTCTCTAAGTGCTTTACTATAACTATTTTTCACATGCACATATTTTTGGCTCTGTCACATCTTCCTGCACCGGACCTGTCCATGTTCTGCGATCCTGGATCTATAGCCCGTCCGTCTGTGTGGAGCGGATCCCTCTCTCAATATGTGGGTCTCCGCGAGGTTTCTCACTTTTTTCCCAATGGGTTTTTGTGAGTTTTTCCTTGCCGATGCAGGAGGGTCTGTTGGACAGTTAGTGTCTAACAAAAAGGTCTGTGGTGATGATCCAGGACACTTTAACATTCTACAACATGTATGGACATTCATCAACATGTGTTTTATATTCTTTTTATGTCTTAACTGTTGATTCTCAGATCTGTGTTGGTGATTTCAATGGTTTTGTTAAGTCCTCTGAGATGATTACTGTTGTGATATAGGGCTATACAAGAATAAATTGTATTGTATTGTACCGCCAAAAAACAAACTAGTATCCGGGGAAATTCCTTGCTTGGCTTCCAGCAGTACTCTCACTAATCATGGTCACATAGGACCCTTTAGTACCAGCTCAACCTGGTTAGAACCAGGACCAAGCAGGTACTAAAAAAGTACAAAGTGCTGGTTAAGCAGGGCTGGTGGAAATGCTCCCAAAACAGGGGCGACTAGAGAAAAGTAGAGTAGAGTAGGTAGGGCCATGTAGGGCTTGTGGAAATGGCACTATAATGTATTTTCAATATTGTACTTTACTTATTTTGGTTTTCTTCATTCTTTAAATTGTTCACTTTTATATTATTGATTAAGCTAATAGAAAAGCAATATAATCAAACTCAAATCTCAAGGGATTCGATAACTCATTTTGACAATTGACAACACCATATTCAACTTAATCAAAACGCTTTAATGTCTAGATAGAGCTAAGTTCCATATGTATTACTCTTTTAATGAAGGTAAAACGATGTTAACGTAAGGCAACCCTACTGCATACACATTTTGACCGGGTCTTTGGAAGTTTTCTAAAAGCTGATGAAAAGCCCAGCAGACATGTCAACAGTGACCACTTAACCCAGTTCATGTGCGTTGTGGCTGCAGTAAATTCAGCCCTGAAATCCTGTCTGTCCCTCTAAGGACATACATACTCCTAAGGAAATCTCTGACTTTATGATCCAGTTGGAAATCTAATCCAGCCATGAAGACCTCCAAGGTAAAATATAACAACGTGCACAATAAATATCTAACTGCTTACATCTCCACCTGGATGCACACTATCTAAGAGCGATAACCAGCATGTGGAGTTAGGTCCATGTTCTACTGAGGTATGGACAACAAAGGAGATAAATCAGTTTGGTACATGTTTAGCCAAGACACTTTGTGCACAGGTCAGTGGCTCTTGAAGCTGTGTGGTGTGATTTGAGCGAGGATAATCTTTAATGCACATACTGTCTAAGAGGGAAGCTGTGGAAAGTTGGCTTAAGGAATATTGAGGAAATAAAGAGCCTCCTTATTTTTAATGAGAGCTAAAGATTAATTATGAAAAAATTGAAACTAAAAGTATAGTAATTTATGAGAACCTCTAAGACAGAAACAGAGCAAATTATCAACCCAATACAATTATTTGAAAACCCATTCAAAATGAACCCTAAATTGCTTGTTCAAGAAATTGGTATCAGATGGTAAAAGATAACTAAATGTATACTGGGACCTAGTTTTCACAAGGACTTTGTTTCAGAGAAAGATAATACAATACTTTATTCCATTTCATGTGTTAATTTTCTCACCTTTACTGTTCAAGGCGTAAAATATAAAGAATAATTTTGCTTTGAAAAACATTCTTTGGTGAAAATGCGTGAGATGTTAAAACATTGTCTTTGTCATATGGTGCGACTGTTTTAGATCCCTTTCATGTCTCTCTTTCCATGCGTAAGCCTTTAAACTTGCGTGTGCTCACCTGCATCATATTGCTTTGTCAATGCTGGAAAGCCCTGGGGGCCACTTCTTTGCAGTGACCCTCTCCATCTGGCATTTGTCAGGATAAACTGTTGAATTATCCTGAAAGCAGAGTAGAAGAAACACAAGTAGTCGGACATTAATTTTATCAATAGTTCTCCAGTAGTATTAGAAAAACATAAATTGACCAAACAAGATCAATGATGTTTCTGTAGAAAATATTTTGAATTTTATAACTGATCGACCTTGAAGTGAAACACAAAAAGGTTTTTGAGAGTAGATCACATGAGAAGCCTGTCTCCCTTGAGAGAATGGTAGGTCTCTCATCACAGTGCAGTTTAGCGTGGTGGAACGGTTGAATGCTAGGACTTCATTAAGCCCCTCTATTGTTAACATCTGGGTTCAGAAGAATGGCCCCTTCTCTAGTTAAAGGTGCCCTGGCTTGACAAGGGATATTATTACATGCGCAGTGGACACTGGCAGCAGTAGCATGGCTGCCAATGAACTGTGGGATCACAAAAATAAGTGTATTTTCGAACTGCAGAAGCGTACAGATTACTATAATCTATTTAGTTAATTATAAGATAAGATAAGATTGCTTTTATTTATCTCACAGAGGAGAAATTTACATGTCACATTTGGCATGGATAGAGACACTCAGATTGTGCAAAGGGAGGAAATGTGCAAACATGTTACATGCAGGATATATGTACAATAAAGTGACAATAATTATGTACAACAAAAGTGACAAGTGTCAATTGGAAACAGTGTCAATAGTAGTGCAGGTTTTCACACAGTGATCATTTAAAGTGACTTATTGTACAGTCTGACAGCGGTGGGGATAAAGGCCCTGCGGTAGCGCTCCTTCCTACACTGAGGGTGTCTCAGTCTTCCACTGAAGGAGCTCCTCAGCTCCTCTACAGTCCTGTGCAGTGGGTGGGAGGTATTGTTCATGGTGGAGGTGGCTTTGGCTAGCACCCTCCTGTCCCTCACCTCCTCCACAGAGTCCAGGGAGCAGCCCAGAGTGGAGCTGGCCCTCCTGACCAGCTTGTTCAGTCTGTTTCTGTCCCGCTCTGTGCTGCCCGGGGCCCAGCACACGGCAGCGTAGTAAATGGCAGAAGCTACCACAGAGTCATAAAAAGTCCTGAGCAGAGGCCTGCTCACTCCGAAGGACCTCAGCCTCCTCAGAAGGAAGAGGCGACTTTGGCCCTTCTTGTGCAGGGCGTTTGTATTATGGGACCGGTCCAGTTTATTGTTAATGTGAACACCCAGGTACTTGAAGCTGTCCACCAGCTCAATGTCCTCCCCCTGGATGTTCAGCAGCGTGTGGGAAAGTGGTTTTCTCCTGAAGTCGATGACCATCTCCTTGGTCTTACTGGTGTTCAAGCACAAGTGGTTGCGCTCACACCAGTCGACAAAGTCCTTGATAACCGACCGATATTCCAGTTCGTTCCCCTCAGACACACAGCCCACGATGGCGGAGTCGTCGGAGAACTTCTGCAGGTGACAGCTGTGTGTGTCGTGTGTGAAGTCTGAGGTGTAGATGGTGAAGAGAAACGGTGAGAGGACAGTGCCCTGAGGGGCACTTTTGTTAAATTAAATCCAAAAGTCAAACAGAAAAACCCTATCCCAATGGACAAAAAAGTTATGCTTATGTATGTAGAATGTAGATCTCACACACACAGTGGGCGAGCCAGCTCTGGTTACTCTGATGATCACAAGCTGAGGTTTAGCTGCTACCAAAGCAGCTGGAGTTCACCAAATAAACTGGCCACTCAAATAAAAGACTCATGATCATATTTGTGATTTCGGGTTGGATAATCAGAACTTTAATATTTATGTAAATTTGGCTGTATTGTCTACAGGTAGGCTGCAACTTATGATTTCAAACTGGAGTGCCACATTTTCAAACCACAAAAAATTAACTTTGTAATAGAATCCATCTAACTAATTACTGGTTTGGTTATGTCACTAGTTTCCAAAACACATCTGTTTTTGGGCCTCTGCCACATCTCACTCAGCCAATCAGCTCTCAGCCCAAAGCGTCAACCGTGACTCACAGGTCTCTGTACAAGTTGCCAAACAGGTTCCCTGATTTGTTCATAAAATTTTACATTATTTTGCTCAAGACTTTCTAATAGAAATATGAGACAAACAATATGTATAATTTGTGAAAAAAAGTTACAGCCTGAGTAACCAATAAAATCACAGCCAGAGTCTGCAGGTAGTACCGCCACATTAACGTGAATATTGTGCAGTCTATTGTTTTTGTGATCAAAATAAATCTGCATTACGTTTTTCATCAGAAAAGGCAATTAGTGATTTGTATATGTTGACCTTGTGTTGTTCAATATTCTTTTGTGTCCTTGTTTTTCCATCACACCAGTACATGAGCTTCAACCAATCGGAATTTCCCTTATATACTCCTCCCTGCGGATGAGGCTGCCATGGCAACTGCTGATTCATCCTTCTTCCAGCCACAAGCTAACAGCATTTTCTCCTGCAGTAAAGAGCCTTAATTTGCTGGACAGCATCAGCCTTTTTATTTCTGTGTAGTTTCGCTTTATGGGAGTGTGGCACTGCGGGTGAATACAGCTAATCAGATGGGTAACGTGCCCAGTACAGTAAAGCACTGTCTGAACTCACCACAACTGTTACAGGAGGATTACCCATGGCTGAGGAGCTGGCTGCAGCATGACAAGGAGGTGGGTGTTTTTCTGTTTGCTCAGTGCACATGGCCACATGCCGTGATGATGATGAAGGCTTCGTCTCTGTGAAGGTGACGATAGCAGCACACACACTGGCTGTACAATGATGTGAAGTCAAGACGTACCAGATTTAGCTCCATTGATCATTTCTAGTCATTGTTTTGTCAATAAACTTACAAAGAATCCCAAATAAATACAACGGATGGACTGCACCAATGCGCAGCCCACAGCTTTGCAAAAGTTCCGTTTAGTTCGGAGACGTTCAGTGCGATGGTGCAGGCTTCATCATAGTCGGATCTACAACCACGTCCTCACCTAGCTACAGTAGCTTACCATGTCCAGCAGGCGATATTGTTTCATACTAGCATTGTATACACACAGGAAGCACATTAAAACGTGCTGTTGACGGTTTTACCATGTCTTATGAGTGAAGGCGTAGAACATCTCTTCATCTGATCACACAGAGCCTTTGGTGTCTGACCCATTAGAAAAGAGCGGGCTATCCTGCCAGTGTCCTATTATTTACTATCAGAACCGATAGTTTTTACTTTGAAGTCCAGTTTAGATAATAGGTTTAGTTTAGTTATGTAATCATCTATTTGACAATATAATTGTGCAGTTGTTTGGAAAAAGTACATTTGCACTTACCCAGCGTTAGCTGTCTGCCCAGTTCTGCCCTCGGGGACATTTGGATATTTTGCCAATGAACAAAACCTCCTAACCCATACTTCTTATCATTTTGCAGGCATTTGAAGCAAAACCTTTGACCTAACTGGCACATAAAACATATTTCAAATGTGTTACGTTTAATTTGACCAAACCTGGAGCTGCCCTAATCAAGAGGGAAGGTGGCTGTAAGGTGGTTTCAGATGCAACCTTACTGCGGGATCACGACCACCCCCTGTCATGAAACTTTTCACCGCATGTTGTTGTTTTTTTTGTATATGATTTTTAGCCGGGGCTTCAGGCAGATTGGGGTGCTATAAAACATTATATTTCGATATTGATATTACTTTATTTTTTTTAAATGCACCATGCTTTTAATGTATTTCCTTTTACACTGTTTTAGAAAAGTACTGCACAAGGATTTCCTGAACATGTGAAAATTGTGGAGGTGGGTCCGAGAGATGGACTTCAAAACGAAAAGGTGGGCAAGCCTCTTTTCTTCCTTTTGTTTGTTCATTTTTGTTTTGATCTCTTTGTTTTATGAATTATTCCTATGAAAATATTCATAGGCCACTCCTATAGCCTCAACCTACAGCTGAGTGGCCTTAGTGAGGATGAGGATGGGATTTTCAAAACGGCTTTATGCACCACAGATCTTAGAACTCAAACCTCAATTTAAAAATGTTAAAATTACAGTTGATATTTTGAATACAATTGTTTCTCCCTGCTCTTTTAGCAGACAGTGCACCAAGCTTCCTCAGCTTCCACTCTTTTGTCTGTGTTATAGGTGCCTGTGTGAACGTCCGTGTGTGTATGGGTATCTGTGTGAATGTTTGTGTGCGCGCTGTGTTCGTGCATGTGTGTGGAAATGCATACTGAAATCTCTGCTTTTGTTTTCTATTTTTCAGGAAATTGTTCCTACTGAGATTAAAATCAAGTTTATAGACATGCTTTCCGAAACAGGGCTGTCTGTGATTGAGGCTACAAGCTTTGTCTCTTCAAAATGGGTTCCACAGGTATTCATAGTTTTATTTAAGGAGAGAAAGTGTTGTCATAAAAAAAAACAATAAGCTGGCATTTCGGCTTCATCAATGCCAGATTCAATAACCAATTTATATACAGCACAGTGCTGTTTTTACAAATGTTAACAGTATGAGTCAGTTACATTGTATTGATTTATATCCTGAAATATAAACAATAAATGTTTTAGATTATAATTCTGATCAGGACTTTTTGTAGATGGCAGATCACACGGATGTACTGAAGGGAATCCAGAGAGCACCTCATGTCCGGTACCCAGTTTTAACACCAAACTTACAGGGATTTCATGATGCTGTAAGCAATGTATTTGGATTTTGTATAAATTGGTGCATCTATATAATATTCATGTGAAATCATAGGTTGATGCTGGTGCCACTGAAGTAGCAGTATTTGGCTCACCATCTGAAAGCTTCAGCAGGAAAAATATAAATTGCTCTATTGAGGAAAGCATGGTGAGATTTGAGGAAGTCATTAACAGCGCTTTGGAGAAGCATGTTCCAGTTCGGGGGTTAGTAGTGATATGTATCATATTTTCATGTAAAACTGCACATGCCTTTGTGATCAAATACGGGTTTTCCAACAGAACAACAAGCCCAGCTATACATTGTTGTGAGAAACATTGTCCAAACTTTCTAATATGATCTCCTTGAATAACCTGTTGTAAAAAATATATGTATTTGTTACAACATGTAAGCCAGTGATTTCCATTAATCTAGCCTGCATTTAAATGAGATCACGACTATAGTGTAATATATGTGCGTTGTCCTTCTCAGATATGTGTCTTGTGTTCTTGGTTGCCCACATGAAGGATATATGGATCCTATAAAAGTTGCAGAAGTAAGTTGCAAACATAAAATCTGTATCACACTGGTTGTGTTCGAATTACATGTATCTAACTTTTAAATACCTCTGTTGTTTCAGGACACAGAAAGTTCACATTTTCTTACACAAACTACTTACTTTAGTGACTTCCAGTTCCAAAATTGATTAATAGAGTAATTATATGATATTATACTATGAAACAATGATGTGTGTCATTGATAAGAAGCTTAGAAATTAAACTGTTTCTAAACATAACATTGGTGTCTTATTAATTTGGCACAAGAACTGAAAATTAAAGCACATATTATTCTAAACCTATTTCCTTCAGGTTGCGAGGCGACTGTATGAACTGGGCTGCTATGAAATATCTCTTGGGGATACCATTGGCGTGGGCACTCCAGGCTCCATGTCCAAAATGCTCCAGAGTGTGATCAAAGAGGTGCCTCCTCGAGCATTAGCCGTCCACTGCCATGACACTTACGGACAAGCTCTGGCCAACATCCTCACTGCGCTGCAGGTGGGAGAAACAATTTTGTCACTTTTGTTTGGAACCTTGTTATTTTAGATTGGTCAGGATGTGGATAGGTGTCTGCCATATGTGTAAGCGATGTGTATGTATGGGGGCTGTGTGGTGAAGTGTTAGATACATTTACCACCTTCAAAGAGCTTTGTGGACATGCTAGTGCAGAGGAGCCATCACTGAAAATAGGTTCAGGAAATGTTCCAACAGTGAAACAAATAGACATTTCAACATTTAGTGAAGTTTTGTTTTTTTCCTCAAGAATACAAAGAATGAAATTAACTTTCATTCTACTTTACAAAGATTTTCCAGACATCAAACAAAGTTGTCTTCAATTACCAAGATATTTTCATAATTAAACTTCATATTTGAAATCACTTTTGAGTTATAATTGGAAGTCTTATCAACTCTCGCTGAATCTTCATTATTTTTTATTTAAAAATGAAGTGAAATACTGTGATTAAATTGTGCATAGGCATCAGCATGAAAAGCATTCTTTGAGCGCGTTATTTCAATGATTTGCTTCAAAATTAAGTGTGTTCTTTGTTAAATAGATAAGTTACTCAGAAAACATCAATGAGAGAGGGCGAGCAGCTTTAGGAAACTTGATCCAAGTTTGGACTCAAAGCACGAAGATTCACTGTTCAAAGCAAAAAAAACCTGAATCTTAATGAGCTTGAGATACAGTATTCCCATGGTGCTTTGCAATATTATCCTCATCCACATTCCAACCGCTCTCCCATATTATTAGTCAGTAAAACTCTCTTGTGTGAGTAAGTTCCATGTGCCTGTCTCTTATATAAATTGGCATATTTCAGAGGCAATAACGATATGGAGCTTGAGGTATCAGTTCTCTGAGCACATTGTCGGTCTGTGGGGGCTGGGCGGGTCAGCAGATGTGAAGGGGTCAGTACAAAGGCTCACCTATCCACTGTCTGCAGGACAAAGACGCCAGGCCCCCAGGGATCCTACCTCATCTGTCACTTGGCTCTTGAACTCTGACAATGCTGCGTTTAAAGTCCCCTGTAAAACGATCCTTCAGTTTTGAGTATGTGGGGAACAGGGACCAAAGCTCGAAGCCCTAACTGCATTGGATAGCAAAATGATGGAAGCACTTGAGTTTACAAGAGAGTAAATGTTTACGCTAAGCAGTTGCACATGCACAGTATAAAATAGTGTGGGAACAGAATAATTATACAGGTTTACAAATATTCAAGGATTTACAACCAAATAAAAAAGAAACAACACACCACTCTGGCCTGGACTTGTACTCATCACACCACCATCGACTGCTGAGAAATTAAAGGTATATTTTTTTATTGCAAACATACATTTTACTTTGGATTGACAAAATAGCTTTTCTATAAACCAGTTTTACTTTACAGCAGCTAAACATGTGAATGGTCTCATAATACATAGCAGTCAAGCAGATTATATGGTGGTTATATAACTTTGTGATTATTACATATGGAACACAATTAAGGTACCTACTTCAGTTTTCTGCTTCATCAATGCCAGCATCAATAACCAATTTAAAGGTATGACCTTTTAGGTCGAGGGTCTGCCACCAGCTTATCACCATGTGTATTTTAAATGTCAGTTGAAAAATGACATTGCAAATTGAATTTTGTTAACATTACTTTTTCATATAATGTTATCTCCATGGTTAGTGGCAGAACATGGGAGTAAGTGTGAAAAATAGAGCACTTCCACCAAATAGTTGACAATATTAAACTAAATACAATGGTTTGTGTATCATTAAGTCCACACCACCAACTGGGACATAAATGAATTCCCCTATCGCTGTCAGACCTGAGTCACCCCTTTTGTTCACGATGAAAACATTCCGGCTCTTTGTACCTTTTGCTTTTTTCTCAGGAGGTCTGGGGTCTCCTGGCAGCTCTCACAATGACAATGTATGTGCTTGAATTACACCTGCTTGGCAAGAAAAACTGTTTATTCTTGCATTCATTTTTAGTGCATTGTGCAGTGGCGTTGTTGGGATGACGGGCGCATTTGTTAGTGAGGTCTTATGGGTTTTCCCATTTGTAAACTATAATAACTTCTTCCATGAATATGCTTTTCTTAATTTATTGGTCTATATTCATAGTTCATATTCATGGCTGCAAATATAAGCAAACAGATAAATCTTGTTAAAACAGGGTCAGTTTACTTAGCTGCAGCTGGCTGTAAGTTCCTGGTAACACGCTGTATATGTGTCAGCAGTGGCTGTGTGACATTTTCTTTGGTTTCGAGTCTAAACTTCAGTTTATGTAGCACTCAGCAGAGCATTAGTTCTATACTGAATACAGGCTTTCTCTCCTCTCTGACGCAGTCTAAAAGGTACCAAAATAAGAGCATGTCCATCGTACGGCCTGTATAGAATGTCATTGAGCTTATCCTTAATCTAGACTATTATAAAATATACCCTGTCTTTACGCAGGAATGCATTGTTTTAATGAAAGCCTGAATACAACATTTGAACAGTAAGCACAGGCACATCTGGTTTCTGGGCAATGTGCAGCTAACTGAGCATTGGCGAGCAGAGGCGGCCAACCACCAGTTCCTGTGCATGTGGCTGAAGGGCTTATTCAGGTCCTTCAGGAAACACGCAGAAGACCCCTGATCTCCCCTGGTTAGCACCTGAAAGTGAGAAGACCAACGTAGCAGATTACAAGCTGCTGTTTATACAACAAAAAAGCCTGCCTAATACAATATCCTGCACAGCCTCTGACCAAGGTCTGGAAATCTTGTGCACGGCCGCAGTTGGATCCCCTTGTGTCCACTCCACCTCCTTCTCGCGCTCCTGCCAACACAAACAGCAATTATGGCTGGCGCACACACTGGCTCCTGAAAGAAGCATGCCCTTGTGTCGTAGATACTAATTAACGATATTGTTCAGAATGAGGTTTTTCCTCTTTAATCACATTTGTAGAGTTGTTGAACGAGTTGAAATCGAAACCACTGCCATAAGCGTGCATGTTAATTATGTCTCACAGTGGGATCCTTTGACATCTGGCTGCAACATAGAAGCTGGAAAACATCTTCATATTCTCATGACAATCCCTGGGACATGTGGAAAACATCCCAAGACTTTCATCTTCTTGGTCTGGTGTGAAAAAGATATATAAAAAATCAGGTCTTTTGAGACAACCGACGGTTCCCTTTAATGTTTTAGGCTTTTAAGTTAAACCATGTTATGCATCAAATTGTGAGGTGATCTAAATAATCAAAGATTAACCTTTTAGATTCATATTTAAAGAATTGTTGGTAACATATGTTTGGTGTCATTAAAAGGTTTGAAGCTTTCTTGATTGGAAACAGCCATTGAAAATTGCGTTTCACAAGCTCCGATACTGAGCACAATGAGCCCTAAGAATATGTTAATCAAAAACATCAGTCAGATGTTTTATGACAGCTATAATTGTCATAAGCAGCACCTGCACTTTTCTCTTGTACACAATTCCCATATTGTTGGCATGATGTAACAAGATATACCCACCAGCAAAGGGAAAAATGTCAACCCAGTGTGGTAAGAAAGTGAATCCCCCATGGCTAAGAGCGAGGTAGTGCTGTAATAACATCGGTAAGAATCAGAAACATATGAAATTCAAATGGACATGACCATAATTACAGTGGTTTGAGCTGACAAAGACCATGACTAAGACTCACTATAGGACGTTATGTGCACACTCATCTTTATAAACACAACCGCAGCCTTGGCACCACAATGTGACTGAATGGTGATCATTGTTGGACTTGAGCTGAGGCAAAGTGTGGTTGTGCTGTGTTTCTGTGTTGTGGTAGATGGGGGTGAGCGTGGTGGACTCAGCCGTTGCTGGTCTGGGAGGTTGCCCCTACGCTCAGGGTTCATCTGGAAATGTTTCAACAGAGGATGTTCTCTACATGCTCCACGGCATGGGCATTGGGACTGTAAGTGTACGCCACATTGTACCCTTTGACACACTGGATGTAATTTATGGATATAGTCAGGAGTAAAGTTTAGGCCAAGCAATACAATCACTTCCACCATTTACATAAACACAGCACTCTGCAAACATACAGGTCTGTGATGTTTATTTTATAATATCAGGGGATGGAGGTCTGTGGTCAGAGCAGCCCACAGCCCACAGAGTCTATTTATTCAACAATCTCTACCCCTGCTGGTTATAATCTCTTACTACAACATTTCCAGTTGACTTGGACATGAGGCATACTTAAAACTGAGGCTCCACAACCTATTGTTTCAATAATAATACATTTTGTTTGTCCCAACAGTAATAGTCTTGTTAAGTGTAATAAAAAATAATTTTAAAAAACCAATCAGACCACAACAAGCTATCTTCATATTATAAAAATCTTTATCTTGTAAGAAAGAGCCACTATTAAGTCACTATTAGTATTTGACACTTTAGGCTGAGAGGTGATCGTTTGAGCAAGGGTGGTTATTTATTTTTCACTTTTCCGACTTATTTTAAGATTGTCTGTTGTATTTTTAGGGGGTGAGTCTTCCTAAGGTGGTCGAGGCTGGAGAATTCATTTGCACTGCTTTACATCGCCAGACAAACTCAAAGGTCGCCCAGGCTCAGAGCAGGACATTGTAAAGTATATTTTGTATTAATGTCCCTTCTTCAAGTGCTTCCCTGACTGTCGCTGCCTTTAAATGTCCTATGCTGCAGAATCTTTACCAGACTGTGTCCTTGATTCCCTGTAGTGAAACAAATAAGTGCATGAACTATCAAAATTATTCATGGACATTGACACATGTGCCAAACAGCAGTGGGATCCGTGTTACAGTTTAGTTCCATTCACACCATTGTTTAGTTTAAGTAAGAATCAATCTGATCATGTTTGTGTCATCTTAAACATTCTGGGAGATAAAGTGAAGTTTAGGAGACATTAGTAAGAACAAAAACCCACAATTAATTGGTTGCAGTACTTGGGCTGCACGCTTCCAAAATAAAACAGAATCAAAGAAGTCATAAGATTGAGAGATACACTTCAACAAACAGTGACTTTTTTTAACAGGAAAATTCTCTTCATGCATCCCTTGAAAGTGTCTTAAAGCAGCAGTAAGCGATTTGGTCGTTTTGGCAGTTTCTTCACGCCAGATCGAGTTCAGAATCAGAATCATTTCTATTGTCATGTAAGTAACAGGAAGTCACAGACTTGGAAATTGCTTTGGCTCAGTGCAACAGTCAGAAAGAGAGTTAGCAGCCCTTTAGACTTTACAGTCCTTTAGACTCTACAGACCTTTAGACTTTACAGTCCTTTAGACTCTACAGACCTTTAGACTTTACAGTCTATGATTGCAGCAACCAATCAGAGAGCTGCAAAGTAGTCACTGGGACACTTGCAGTCCGAGCGAGTAGACTGAAGGTACTCGTAAACATCCAAAACAGGACACAAAGCTGCTTGTCCTCGACTTCAGAGCAGAGCAGAGTGACTGAGAGATCTGTGTTTCGGTCCAAACACTCTATATAAGTGATTGCTAATGGAATATATGACTATTTAAGACTTGACACAAAAACTCGCTCATATCTGTTTTAATCTTGTTTTATTTCAGCAGAATTGTTAGAAAAAGTTCTATCTACTAAAATTCCACTGCCGGATTCATGATTGTGGCCAAAGTACCTTTCATCTGTCATTGTCAAAATAAATTGTTCTTGACTTGTACTATTTTTTTATTATTATTTAAGGCAAAATTCTTATTAAACCTTCTCTTTCACATGTTTCGAGTTTTTTATGCGTTCTGATAAACTGTGTATACAAATGTTACAAACACTGCCTAGACATTTGTGCGGCACAGCCTCTTTATCGATCATTTGATTGATTCATTTCAGTGATTCTAATACTGAAGATATTTTTTTTGCTAAACTTCACAATAGTGCCTCACCAGTGTATCAGGTGCAGTGTATAAAGGAGACACTTTGTTGCGGAACAAAAGTGCTGTTTCCCTTTTTTCAATGAGGCAACGCATGGGAAGCAGCGACATGCAACATCTGAAATAGTTTTACAGCCTTCAAAGAGCTTAACGTTGCAGCAGCACTGTGTGCTGAGTGACATCCATTAAATGCAAACCACACTGGGGTGTGCTGAGTTTAAGGACGCGATAGCGCCTCAAAACCAGCAGTGGGTGCAAGGACCCCTTTTCCTAGCATGCAGTGGTTTGGTTAGGGCCATTCATTGCCACTTGCAGCTATATTCATTTATTTTTATTCCTTGTTCCTTACACAATTTTCAAGACATTTTTGCAGACAAAAGAACAGATTCTTCTGTTGAGGGAGAACAGAAGAATCTGTTCTCCCTGACTCCGAGTCATATTGTCTCACAAGGCATACAGTTTGCACAGGATCATTTGATGAAGAATGTACAGGACCTGCAGGTCCCTCAGCTCTCATCTGGGGTTGAACACTGCGAAAGACTTCAGATCTTAACAACTCGTAGCACTGCAGCACAAAACAACTCCTTGAAAATTATTGGTATTTGCGATGTTTTGAAAACGCCATTGTTAATTTGCGACTTCATGAATTGTGTTATGGTATTTCAGAAGGACATTGAAATAAGGTTAAATGTGCTCCATGAAATGATGAAATAGAAGAGACAAGTGTGTATTAGCAAATGACTCAAGGCTGGAGCCAATCAAGAACACTCCAGAGCTCAAAATAACATGTCAAGTGCTGCCATCACGATCACAGTAATGGTACTAGACTGATCCGGGCTGAGATCTTGCTGGCTGTCAGATGATCAAACGCAGTTAAGACAGATATTAATTGTGTGTCCCTCTCTAGAGCTTCATATCACACATCAAGCAGAAATATATAACAATGGATTATTTTTATTTGTCAAACACATAAACAAGGTGAAACACTTGGCCAGGTATACATGTAAAGACACACACAGGTCTGTCTGAATATGTTGATGCAGAAGTCGTTAATAAATATGGATGTTCTCTTTACCCCCCGTCCAGCTCTTTCGACTCATTAATAATTGAGAAGATTTGAGCTATGGTGTTATATGGCCAGGGACTTCATTGTCAAGATGACTGAAATTAAAACAAAATTTCAGAAAATAACAGAGTGGCTTCTCTGAAAAGAATGCAATATATTTTCCTTCCGCCTTCTTGCCAACCTAAAGGGACAAAGAGGAAACAGTTTAGACAAATATTGCGCTGTCAAACACCCCAAAGGCCCCATCTGGAGGTGCAATAGAATTACTATTGGATAATTATATAATATTTTACTTTGGTTTCTTGGCAAAACCAAGCCAAGAACCAAGCCAAGAACCAAGCCTTGCCAAGCTTTCCCTGAAGCTTGGCAAGCTTTCAGGGAAAGCTTACTTTTCTTGTTCCACTCCTCATATATTTTAATTTATAGAAACCACTGTTTAGTAAAGTTTTAAAATGAAATTACGACAAACAAACAAAATATGAATATGATTTTTTTCACTTTTTCTCCTGACCTTACATTTTTGACCACACATGTATCTAGGTTATATGTTTCTTTGACTTTAATAACACAAACATAACAAAATATTCTCCCTAAATAAGCAATGAACAGTTATTTTTTAAGTTATGATTGAATCTCTCTCATTATACGATACGCACCACAATACAATTGAAATAGCCAAAGCAGTGATTCCAATAAGAAGCAGACAGGCCAATCCGGGCAGGAGATAATCTGTCAACACAGAAATACTAATGAATAATCAATAATACACTTCCAACATAATACAATTGAAAGTACTTTTACCATTCAAGTCAAAATGAAAACCTTCAGATTGCGATGGGGCTTTCGTGGTAGCATCACCGTCCAACTTCTGTTTTACTAAGCACATGTGAACATTCAACCGTGGTGGAGTAGATCTAATGTTTTTGATTGGGCACACTTACTGTAATACGTTCTGTTGTGGAAGACCTGCTGAATCATGCCACATCTTTGACGGTCAGAGGACTGCAGTCCCTCACAAGTGCAAGGGTAAAGAAGTGTGGTGCCCACAGTGTTCAAAAAGGCTGTCTGACATTCAGGCCGAGCTCCGAGGACCAGAGCTGGATTCATCTGACCCAAACACTGCTCAGTGTGAGGCCCCATCAGACACTGTGGATCCATGGAGCTCCAACATCGAGATTGAAATACACCCAACCGCTGCCTGAAAACACAGCAGCATATTGTGTGATAGTAGCATATTGGAGGATTAATGAAACAATGAGCGTAGACACTACTTTTATTCAAAAGGTAACTCAAGATAAGACCTGTACATAAATGTGTAGCGTAGCTAGTTTATAGAAAATAAATATAGCAAGCTCCCTCCAGGTATAAGTACACTATTTCGATATGATATAAAGCTGCTGATGATACTGGCTTAATGTGGCTGTAAGAGTGCTATGACCCCTTGATTTCTAACCTGAATGAGAGGTTTCAGGGAGAGAGACTGGGGGTGAAGTCAAAAGCTCAATTCATTGCAGCAACCTGTTTGACCACTGAAAGCAAGGGTTTCCCCTACCAGAATGAAGTGCTAAGCCTCTTACCTGCAGCCTCGGCCCCTGGCACACTGTGTGACTGAGTGCAGGCAGCTGCTTCTCTCTGTGCCACATGTGCCACTGTGCAGCACAGAGCTCATTCTACCACACGTCTCATCTGAGTCCTGGCACTGACACACGACCAGCCTCCAGGCCACACTGAGAGGCATCTCCCGGAGGAAGCTGCCTGTGGCTTGTTCACATCTGAAGCGGTCACAGTTTGGTTCCATACACTCACGCAGAACAGGAGCCATGCGTCTGTTGCACACAGCATCACCGAGGCATAGTTTTATGCTTTCCACACAGTCTCCTGGTGTTTCATCATCTGAGAACATACGCTTCATATTAAAATAGAATTTATTTTTCACTCTGTTATTACGACACCAAGCATTTTCACATTATTATCTTAATGGTAACAAATATTAACCTCAATATAATAAAAAAAAACAAATTTTGACTGCGTAGAAACCTTTACTATACAAACTTTAGGATTGTGAAACACATATGAATTTTAGTAATCATAACGATGATGTTTCTGAACAGTTAAAACATGTCCATATTTCTCTCCATTTATGTTTATATTTTTTTACCCATGTCCAGTAATGTGCTTGATTGCCGGTCTTTTTCAGAGCTTTTCTGTCGTTGAGCATCTGCACAAATAAGATCACTTTCTTCATCACAATGGATTTTTTGTGCTAGAGAACCAATACAATCACAAAAATATTGTGAACAAACTCCACTTTAGCCTTCTTTATTGCACTGCACCAACACACCACGCCATAGAAAGGGACCAATGCAGACCAATGCCGACATTAAATGGAGCAAAGTTATTTCAACAAGAACAGTCAGCCCTCTCCCTTTTTGCAGGGAGCATAAATTACATGTAATCGACAAAGCTAATCCCAACCATATCCATTATCTTTGAAAGCCATCAGTCCCATCCATTGTTCTCTTTGGTAAACACTGATATGAACCTGCAGAAGTGAGAATACTGCACCTGTCTTTGGATGGCATTGTGTGAGCAGTGCAGGTACAGAGGCGCACAGAGCTGAGTGCGCACACATACATGCAGTGAAGGAGGGGGACTGCTCCAGGACACGGGCCAGGCTCTGGTTACACACACTCCTCTCTTTAGTTTGGCACATTTCATCTGAAATCACACAAAGAGCATTTGCCAAAGCCACATAGCTGACAGGTGTTTCAAACACCTGCTGCAGCAATTTCTCCGAGCATTTTACTCAACGTTTTCATTTACAGAAGTTGAGTGAGCAAGATACAAGATATTTTAGTGAAGAACCAAGGGCTTTGTGTAGTAAGACACGTTTATTAAACTTAAATTTAAAAAAATATATCGTAATTAATTCTCTATAAATGATTTATCAAGCACCATGTGCTGACTTTGATTTATAAAAACAAGCTATTATGTTTCTCACGTTGAGATAACTTTGATTAATCAATTGGGTCTCCCTGTATCTGGATTCTGCTGCTGGCTATTGGTCTGTTATTACATTGAAGCAGAGACCCAAGAAACACAATTCAATGAAGATGCAATGACACAATGAAAACACACAGAGGAAACACAATATCTGAAAACAAATAGTGTTTACCATTTTCTTCACAAATATATTCTGGTGCTTTGGTCAAGCATATTTTGGACATGCAGAGCTCCACGGCTGACAAACAGGGACGAGTGAGGGCAGAGATTTGACACAAACTCAGTCCTGTAAAAACAAGTATTTAAAAAAAATGTGTTTTACTTATTTCATAATGATTTAATACTTTGTTGTAAAATGCATGACTTTCTGAATGTTATGAAGATGAGTTTGTTATGAATGAAGCACACTATTGCACAAACATACGCAAATTGTTTCTGATAATGATTTACCAAAACTTTTAACTATGGAGGAAGTAAACATACAAGACCAGTTTGTATTACTTTAAATATGCTTACCAAAGAATAGCACTGCTCCAAGCCATTTTGTTGTCATGTCGGCAGGTGCACGTGTGAAGTGAATGCGGCTCCTCTGTGCAGAGTGTCCGTCTGTCCCTCTCCACATCAGCAGCACAATGCAATAGTGCCTTTAACACATGCGTCACTGCGCCCATCACAGGCAATCACAACAGGACACCCAACCCATGATTGTCATTTATTGTAGCAGCCCCTCTCAAGCGATTCTCACAATACATATAAATAAAACAATGCCAATAATAATTTGCGTGTCAGGAAAAAAAAAACAAATATGACATTACCCTCCTTTTCCCAATATATATGAATTACCCCATACAACCCTAACTTGTCTTGTTTACCACCACAAACAAACATCTCGTTTTTTGTGTTTTTTTAAGATCACAACAAAGTAAGAAACAACTGTGAAGTGAAAGCAATCATATTATTTGGTTTTTGGAGTCCAGAAAATACATTAGGCTGGGGTGTATTGAATACTTGTTGCCAACCCCACATATCCAGCTTTTGAATTTTTTTTGGAATTAACAAACACCAAAAATAAGATCATATTTCATTTTGACAACAACTTTAAAATCCAATCAAATGTTATTCATACAGTGCTTTTCTTATAAGAAATGCAATACAAAGTGCTTTACAGTTTGGTTAAAAACAATCCCACATGCCCATGACCCGACCATCCAACAGACCCCAGACCACAGTTATTATTGAGTACACAATAACACACACACACACACACACACACACACAGCTGAAGAATCGTCATCCAAGAAGCCGTCTGCACCAGGAGCAGAGAGCCGCCTGCAGTTAACATTTACATTAACCACTGAACACTGCTCGTAATGAATTGAATCATCCACTTCAACAGTAACAGAGAATGTATGAGATATTTTTTATGTGATCATATTGAATCAAATGCAAAAATAAAATAAGAAATATACCAAAGAAATGGGTATGTTATAGTCCAACATAAACACTTGATCATTCATCAGACAACTGATTTCTCTCGGAGAAAATTGGCCTCACTAAAACTAAATAATCAGATGCATGATAAACGTGTACGCTCGGCACCCTGTGTTATAATTTGCTATTTGAAGTATTTTGAATATTTTTAAATGTGGTTTATATTAGAGCACAAAAGTACATGGCCACAAGAGGTCAGAAAAGGGCGATGTTTTAATTAAAGATTACTGTAATATCCATAAAGCACCAGTCACACGTCCTGGCTGCATGTTACTATAGTTAAAAACAATACACTTTATCTCTTTTGTTTAAGAAATATTTATTTCACAGAAGCCAAACAAACAAACAAGGGGTCATGAACACAACATTTGAAGGTAAACAGTTATTAAATATGCCAAAATCAACTCCAACACAATATACAAGCCTTTCATTACTTTGGAGGAGGATCTGAGCCCACAACTTATATTCCCCTCAAGAGAAAATGTTACATACAAAACAGTGCAAATACATTGAACAAATAATGGAGGAAAACCTATTGGTTTCAATTCCAACCCTATTATTATAACATAATGTAGGTGATATTCAGTAGTTTTATTCACACAGTATGTAAAGAGGGCCTTGAAGGAGCTGAGCCGGTGGCTGTATATGTTACTGTGAGGTAGACTGATGCCTCTGAGCAGAGGATGGACTGGTGCAAGAAGATGAACCCTTTCATCTACACGGCCTGTGAGGCTGTTTGGACAAATTCACCGAAAACATACAAACACACAGTCAAGGCTCACTATAGTTCACTCTTCATTTCTTTGAAATCCATAAAACCAGCAGCATCTGCTCTCAGTATGGGGTCTTCAGCACATATAACCGCTTTTATAGTGAAACTCCCACGCAGGTTTTCTGTCCTCTTATTAATGTACGTTATTACGCTTCTTCACAGCAATAACCGGAACCTTGTGAAGTCCTTCTATTGAAGTGGTAACAGAAAATTGCCTGTCTTCAACTTTAACTTCCATTTGAATATCCTTCTGTGGTAGAGTATGTGAAGTAGAACCAGAAAAAAAACACAGCAAACAAAGTATTCTATCTGCTGGATGGCAAAAAACAATACAACCAAAAATCACAATGCATTTTTGGATGGACTTGGCTCACAATATTTCAGAATAAATAATGTAAAAAATAAATAAGCTCATTATGACAACAAAATAAATGAATACAATATAAAAGGCCTAGAAGCCCCGACCTCTTTGGAGATGGAGCACTTTGCAGTATTTTCACACTCGTCCTGCCGTCTTTGACTGGGACATTTTCAGACATCCTTTGATAATATTTACTCTATTTACAATGTAAGTACAGTTTTTCATTTGCACTAAATAAAAAGAAGGTCACAGACTGTAATACATTCTTAGGTTAAAACACACAACATCAAGAAACAATATGAATATGAGTGTTGGGGCCAAAGGCTTTTATCAGTGAAGATAAATGAGAGCTCTTATCTTGTTTTCTTTTTTCACCACTGCAAAACAATGACTTTTTTAAGACACACTCATGCGGTGAATTTTTAACATTGTTTTTGGCCACTTTTCAAATACTGCTGTTGATACAACCTTTACATGAACTTACAATTAATTAAATATGCACTGAGCAAAACATAATGTATCAAAATATACAATCAATAAGCAGGCAACACGTTACAAAACAAACACACAGGTGCAATTCAATACATATCTGTGCAAATAACAACATGACAGGCAGTCTCGTGAGGTAAACGATGTTTTTAAATCTTTACATTGTTCGTATAGTACACATGTACACATGCTGTTGTCCCTGTAGTATTATATGTTTGTTTTTTCAACCCGTACTTCAAAAGCATCTGGTCTACACTGACAACAAGCAATCCTATAAGGTATGCTGGGGGTGATGTGGCAGTAAACCTTATTTTCATTCATGAAGACCCAAATCAATAGCTGGGTCGACAGAAGATGCTGCATTAGACTGAAAATCAACAAAGTGATTGGTAGCTCATCATGGGGTCATGGCAAGATGCAATTTTCTGTCTATGCATCACGCACCAATCGCCAAACATTTATCTTATGAAAATTATCAGGTTCAATCAATCAATCAATCAACGTTTATTTGTAGAGCGCCTTTCCTACACAAGGCAAGGCGCCTTTCCTACACAAATAATACTATTTCCTAGAGACGAGTAGAACATCCCAACAGAAAAATGCCTCCTAATTGAACCTTCTTGTTATACAACTAATCCAAAAGCGAAACCTAAATATATATATATCTTACATTTGTAACATATTAGAACATCTCTAGACTATGTGGTCAGAAATGCGTGACACACTGTCCATGTTGTGGACTTGTGTGGACAGGGACTTTCTGCTGTCTGTGCTGGTTCTTGTCCGAATATTCTGTGCCTGAGTTTGGCCTTGTCCACACCAGTGGCAAGTAAAAGCTGCTTTGAACTCTTCACGGAATTTTCCTGCAGGAGCACAAAAAAGGCCAGTTAATTCATTAATCTATAGTAGCTGTGAGACATAAGAAGAGGAATGCGGCTGGACTAAGTCTATTTGCCACGTTGAAAGTCTCAAAAAGATTACTTTGATTGCCTCTACCCGTCTGATGTGGCCTGAAACACAATGGTGGTGTCATAAGCAAAGCAGACCAAAAGGCATTTTAAATTAAAAAATGAGCGAGATACAAAAGCAATTGAGACTGAGCCGGAGTATTGAAAGTGTTTGGGCAGAGGATGCGAAAAGAAAACAAATGCAACTTGTAGCAGTAATTCAGGCACTGAAAAGTTATGTCGTTTTCGTGAGGAAAGTATTTTTGATTGTTTTAACCTGTTATGGGTTCAACCAATCTATAAATGGTACAAAAACAAATATTGATCAGAATGACAAGTTAGCCGACCACCAACAACAGAACAAGCACTCACATTGGGCAACATAGGTGATGTGTCTTGCCAAAGGACACCACAATAGTTTGGCACTTTACAGCTACAAGCGTCCCACTGTGAGCCATGGCTTTTCCAGTGGCCCCATCACAGTAGTAACTAGACCCAGCCTTGCTTAGCTTTTGGTATGTGACAGGATCAGGTGTCACACGTAGGTGGCGCCACAATCAATACAACTCGTGGATGTGAAAACGCCCCAGGTACCGTAGTAGTGTTTAACCAATCTATGTTTGTCATACTATCAACGCTGCAACGTAGTAGTTCTCACCAATGTCTTAGTCAATTCAACACAGACCAATACATTTGTTAATGTATAAATCTTCGGCAGTTAGATTGGTGGTGTTTCCTGCCAATATGTTGATGCACAGATACATTCACCATAAACTATCCATAAACTATGTCAAGATTACTGACATGCTTGACAAAATATTTCACTGTGCTGAATGATTGCAAAGTAGAAACTATTCAGGGCTTACCTGAGCGGATTCTACCAACTCTGTAATTCATTTTCCCCATTTCCAGACCTGCTCCTAGAAGGCAAAATTCTCACTTCTGCATTTATTGGTTGGAATATAATTGAATTTCTTGTCTGTTTGTTTGGTACGCCATTGCTCTTCAAATCAGTGCAAGCGCCAATAGCAAAACATTGAAGCGCTTACTTGTCATTTCGGACCAGGCTCTAATTTCCAATTTGGATGTCAACTTGAAAAGCTTGTTATTTGTACATTTAACTTATTATTTTTACACTAATTAATTACATTTGAATGAGCCGTTTACTTACATTTGGATAAATATCATCAAATAGATTTAGATAATTTTTCCAAAAGCCTCAGGGACTGGCTGAATTATGATTCATCTCTCTGCGTTGAAGTGAGCTTCCTGAAGTGAGCCAACTGAAGTGAGCCAACTGAAGTGAGCCAACTGAAGTGAGCCAACTGAAGTGTGATTACTGAAGTGTGATTACTGAAGTATGATTACTAACATTTTCAAAAAAAAAAAAAAAAAGGAATCTTACCACTGAGGAAATTGTAGATGATGGGATTTGCGGCGCTGTTGGCATAAATGAGCCAGTGAGAGAAGGTGAACCAGGCATACACCGTCTCCCGGTCGTTAGAGTTCTTAAATGTACCAAAAACCCTGTGAACAAACAATAACAAATGGTCTGTTTTTACATTTTTAACTTTGTTTTCTTTAAGAGATGTTAAAGAGATAATTTAAGTGGTTGTTCTTTTGAGTTTTGTCCAAGTTTCTGTTTGTTTTTTGGGAAAGAACAATTCTATTTGAGTGAGTCTTAAAATAGCAGAACCATGTTACTTAATTCCTGTTTTGAAGAATGTGGCAGATGAGTTTCAGCGGTGTAGAAGTCAGACAAATGAGACCTGCATGTCACACTCACATCACTTTAAATACAAAAGTGGCTTAATTGCGAGAAAAAAAACTCTGTCTGTAAGATATCTTTTCAATAAGTAAGTCGTAAGCATATAATATCGTTTTAAGCAGCCTAAGCTCTTTTCAGTTCCTTATTCATGTGCTCCACTCATGGCACATCTGTATAGTGTTATACAACCACAATAACAGAAGAAATTACAGTGGCATTTGTTTTGTTTCAAAGAATTTTAAAATTGCTTTTCAAAGTTACATTTGATCCCTTACAGACATTAATAGGCAACAACAAAAGACTTTTCTGGGTCTGAATCAAAATTAAATCACAGAATACATTTTCTATGAAAGCTGAACTGAACTGAAATGTAAATCAATAATTCAATTCAGTAAATGAGGTATTCAGCATTTAAAAGAAAAGCTTTACGCATGGTCGTGGACATTTGCTCAGTTTTTAACACACAGTGCGGCGCATAATACGATGCATAATCTGATTATTCACATTCTGCAGAAGTCCACTTTGCCTTTTAATTTCCTGTTTAATTTCCATGCATATATATATTCAACCAGGGCCCCTTACCTCTTCATGATGTTGAGCAGGCTGATGGGCAGGTAGCACAGGGCAAACACAAACAGCACCACCATGAGCATGCGGGCGGTCTTGCGCCTGGCGCGCACCTGCTTGATCTCGGCGCACACGGTGCTGCTTCGCACTCGTGCGCTCTCGCCAGATGCTGCGCTCGGAGAAGAGCACTGGAATGTTTTGAACTTCCTGTGCAGCACCGACGTGGTCCCGGGAATCTGCAGAAGAATTATGCAAGCCATAATTATCTAACATGAAAGCGTGTGACCATGAATATTATATTGACGTCTCAAATATTGGACATAATCAAACTGTTGTAGTGAAACTTTTTGAATAAACTTTTGTATAGCTTTAAAAAAAAAAAAAAAAAAAAACACAAACATAATAATAAAATATCAGTATCAGTGGCTTTGAAAACAGGGATGGCCGATTAATGGCTTTTTGACAGCGTGAGAAACTACAACATACATGAACATAAGAAATCCAACTTTAAATAGGTCAAAATCAATAAAAAACTTTTGTACTCCGGACGTTAGTTTGTCTTTCAAAGTCAGACCTGAAACTGTATCTTTTCAATAAAAATGGCTAAACTTTGTGCTCCTCACCTGTTGGCACCAGAGTTTGTGACAGATCTGAATATAAGCCAGCACCATCAGACACAGTGGTGCAAAGTACGTCACAATGAAGAAGCAGGTGTGGTAGACTTTTGGGTAGATATCCGCTACAGACAAAAGAAACTCAATTAATTGATTGATGAGCAATTACTGTGAAAAAGGCAGTTCTAATAGAATTCTGCTTGAATGAATGAGTTAATCTTCGAATATCTTTTCACAGATAAAACCTTCTATAGATAATATAAAATTCCCTACTGCCCTGCCGACGGGAGCTAATATGCCCTCTCATTCAGCTGGCTTTGTTCAACTCTAAACGTAAAAAAGGGATTTGACAAATGGCCTTTGACAGAAAGGTATGCTCACCTCTGTCGTTTAGGTGAAATTAACCCTGATATTCTGCAGAACGCTCTCCCTTTGCTTCTATAGACCTTGACTTCACATGGTCCATAAGGGACATAATGGTCATGTTGGACTATTGTTCTATCCTTTTTAAATGATCTTTCTTGCTCAATCCTTTATGAATGGATCAATCAGAAAGAGCTTATTGGAACTTATTCTTCCAGTAAAAACCATCATTGGTCGGATCTCAAAATGTAGTAACACTGCAAATACAAGAGATAGCAGGGTCTTTTAGTGGGTTAATAAGGGTTTTCCCCATAAATGCAGTATAGTTTGTGACTTGATGATCCGGGATTATTTAACTATTTGATTATTTTGACAATTTTCAATGATTTGTTTATCATTTGTAGATAGAAAAACATGAAATATAAAACAAATACTGTACAAATAACTTTCCTTATTCATCTGAGGTTTCTTGTAAGAATGTTTTAACATCAGTAATAATTCTTGACCACGAAGGCAAATAAAGAAATAGTATATCAATAGTATCCTCAACCATATTGTATCTGCACAGACTGAATTTATGAGTCTGTGCAGATTACTTTAAAAGTCTAATGGATATGGGACATTTAACCTAATACCTGAGATCTTTGGATAACTCGTCCCCATGGCCCAATAACTGTTCCATTTGTTTTCATGTTTGATTTTCTAATGTGTCGTTGGCTACTCAACAATTCTGTGTCTCTTCAAAACAAGCCAGTTAAAAAAAAATAATGCTGCATCATTTTAATAATGTTTTGTCTGATTACGTTTTGATTAGAGATTTCTGTTTGTGAAGCCAGGTTAATATTCAACGTTCACAAGAAGAATTTACATTTGTGGAAAAACTGAAAATGTTTTTGAAGTTGAAATTCTCTTATTTCCTGTTTGAAATTACACAGAAATTCTCGCTAAATAATACCATTGTGCTTAAAACTTTTCGAATTTTCAATTAGTAAATACAACGTAATCACATATTAGTTTTAATATTTTCAGTGATCATTGTAGTCCTACACACAGGGATTACCAGATTTTCATAATATGCAACCAGATAATTCATAAAAGGAAATAATGTCAGAACAAAATAATGGCCTTTTGCAATTTTGATTGTGAAAAATCATGCACTTGTTTTTCGTCTGAACATCACACAAACACAGAGAGCTGCAGTATTATTAAAACTTTTGAAACGATCCTAATATTATGTGTGGACAGAAGTGGCTTGTTACCTCCCCAGTGCTCGTCACACACAGTGAACAGACTGGTCTTGTTGGTGAGCTCGGGCACCAGGCTGCTGCACTCCATCACTATGGCTTGAGGAATCATGATGACGCAGGACACCAGCCAGATCAGCACGATGTTCTTCCGAGCTCTCTGCGCCGTGCTCTTGAACATCAGAGGGTGGCAAATGACGTACCAACGGTCATGGGCGATGCTGCTCAAGGTCAGCACCGACACCGACACCGAAATGGTCTGCAAAGAGGCACGGAGCGGAAACAATGGTGATATGGTGCTAATGATGAGGCTCACTGTCAATTTGATCTTTTGTCTTTTGTTAACATTTCTAACGACAAGACCATTCTCTGCTGTTGAAATAAGTTTTGGGAGTTAGTTTTGTTTAGTGTTTAGTAAAACTGCATGAAGAAATTCTACCATCACCTACTTGTGAAAGCCTGATCCTGTCAGATCTCAGAAGCTAAGCAGGACAGTGCATGGTTAGTACAGTGATGGGAGACCTGCTGTATGGCGGCTGTAAGTTTCCTCACTGTTGTACTGTCTTTGGGCAAGTGAGTTCATGTATACCGAAGCTGTACCAGCTGGACCCTAAGCAGCACCCTCATGCCATCATTACAGGCCGTTTTCTGTGCAGGCTGCTCTTTTTATAGTGTCTCCACAAGTGAGCATTTAGGAAACCCTCAATTTCTTGATTTTTATTTCTAGCTTCTCAAGGGGTACAAAGTGAAATGCCTTCAAAGCAACAATAAAACACAAAAAATGTTTGCATTCCAACTCTTAACAGCTCTTTCTTAGCCAAGTTTGGGCAAAGTGTCACTTGTCAGCGAGTGCATTTCTATTTTATTTTAAATAAGTTCTCTCCAACACTTTAGACAGAGTACTGGCCAGGGCTATGAGCCTGTAGTTGTGTTTAATTTTAATTCTGCCAGCTGTGTATTAATACTTGGAACAATAATCGCAGACATTCATGACTCAGGTGAAAATCCTGGGAAACAAATTGCAAGCAGAGGATACAGATATTATGTCAACAGCACAATATTTACTGCTAACCTCTAACTTCGTCAACAACTCCAGGACCTCTTGTGGAGAAACAATCACCACTTTTCATTATTTTTGTCGATAGACCCAACAAATGCATTACTTTTGACATCATTAAGAAGTGTCACAATAATGTTTCTGCCACCGCTCCAGTAAGTATCTGCTCTGATCCATGAGTGCCCTTCATGTGGTTTGGTAGGGCCGTTTTAGATGCTAATTTCCTTCCAAAAACTGTAGGATTGTCACTCTTGTTGCTTCATAGAGCGTAGTGTATATTTATCATATGATGAGTTATTGGACCATATTTGGGCCGGCTGTCACGTGACAGAACGAAATAAACCCAAAACCAAGAACTGCAAAATTCTAGGATTTAATGAAGTGCAAAACAAACAAAAAATAGAGAAGAAAATCAAGTTACAAAAGAGGGCTCGAGGATAAGAACTAAAACTGAAGTGGGAATGAAAATGACGGAACAAGGAGTGAATGACAGGATTCAAATACACTAAAGACACACAGGGGAGACACATGAGGGTGGAGCAGAGAATCAGGAAACAGGAAGTAACACTGAAGAAGATACAGGGGTTAACATAGCCTGGTCGTACCACACCATAGTACCAACTACATTTCGTACTATGGTCTGGAGGTGCTCCATTGAGCTCCGTTAACAGGTGGGAGAGGTTAACTCCTTTTGCAGATTGAAACGATTGGACTTATGTAATGCGCCGAGTGAGTCGTTTGCATTTAGACTAGCCATCTCTTTTGCCACTAACGAGAGAAGCGCCACAATCTTTTCCAGCAATTACATTTGCTAAACATTCCTCTTGCTCCGGCTTCAATTTCTTGATAGAACCAGACAGGGATACTTTACCATCGCATTCTTTGCCATTGCCAAACTACAACCTGCCTGTTCGGTGCAAACTCTTGACGTCACCCACATCTAACTACAATACCCTCCTCCCGCGCTCGCTGATTGGTTGGATGGAATTCAATTGATGTAATCGTAAACACAGGGACCAGACCAAAGACAGTAAATATTAACGGACGTAGTCACGTAAGTAAGTAAGTAAGTAAGTAAGTAAGCTATACTTATATACCGCCTTTCACAGACCAGAGTCACAAAGCGGTTTACAATTGTTATTTTTGGGCACTTGTCCTCTCACTTCTCACAGAGATGGGAGCGGAGTCGCCAAACAGGAGGCGCATGCCAGACCTATTGTACATATTTTTAGTGGTAGGGGAAACCGGAGTACCCGGAGGAAACCTACGCAGACTTGGGGAGAACATGCAAACTCCACTCAGAAAGGCCCTGGTCCGGCCGGGATTCAAACCCAGGACCTTCTTGCTGAGAGGCGAGAGTGCTATCCACTCAGCCACCGTGAGTCAACGTCTATCTTCACCGTCTATCTTCGCCGTTCAAACCAAAGTACCAAAAATGTTGCTCTCATTGAGCTTTCCAAAATGGCAGCGAGTGGTCCCGCCCAGTCCATTTTCCGAGAAGTGCTTTAAGTAATATAAAAAATAGACCTACATCATCAAACACATCAGCATTCAGATATCCCATAATGAAGATGCTATCAGACGGATATGGGCCTATCTATTGAGGAATTCAAATGAATTCTCAGAGTTTTCAAACTCTTTGTAAATGTTCAGTTAATATTATGCTGAACTGATGGCTGATTGCCCAGACCACTTGCAGACCTGACCACTTCAATCAGCTGATCACATTTTCTGAGCAGCCAACGCTGCCACTGGCTTGGGGCATATGGGTCTTATAGTAAAGGTGTACATAGATTCCCTCAGGCCAAAGTTGTGCATCATGTAGTTCAGCATCACGCAAAATGAGCCAAATCTGTTCCTTGTGGACTGAAGTTTTTCTCAAATCAATCCAGTTTCTTAGACACATACTGTAAGAGCGAAAGGAATCTGTGTCTAGTTCAGGGGAGAATTAGACACAGATTCCTTGTTCTGACTCTCGCCAGACCCTTGTAGTTTGCTGCGCTTCACACAAGGGTCTGGGTCTGCTTCACAGCGTATGAATTTCAGAAGGCGGAGCGTTGTAGAAAAATGATTGGACTAACCACTTGTCTGTTATCTTGAGTGACGCGTTCCTTCAATCACTCACATCGAAGCACACAATTCTGCACACGACTCCTCACTGCGTTGCAGGGTTGCCAAATGCCAGCAAGTATTTCCAGCCCCAAACCCACAAGAATGCCCTCCAAAAAAACACCCAGAATGATTTTTTTGGCTAAAAACATAATGCAATCAACTTCGGCTATCATGATTCTGTTCTTTGTCTTCCTGTCTATTTATCACCTAAAAGTTGCTTGGAAAAAAAGTATACCGGAAATCAACCAACCTGGCAACCCTGCTGCGTAGTGCTGTGACATGAGCACTTAAACCAGTCCTCAAACCTAACTTTACACAAACATTTTTATCTTAAAACACACATGTAACAACATAGAACCATCAAAATCTTGCCTCAAATTGCATTAAAAGTGACATCTGTGTCTTAATTTGTTCGTATTTAAACTTTTTTCCCCCCCATCTACGCATTATTAGAGCGGCAGTACTGTAGCTCACTTGGTAGAGCGTTGGCCTTTGAGCCAGAAGGTCGTGGGTAAAAGCCCCGCTCAAGACTATCACCACCGACTCTCACTGACTACTGTCTGGGAACACCAGCCACAGTGGGGCGCCTGCGGCTGTAAAGTGCCAAACTGCCGTTGTGTCCTTAGGCAAGACACTTCACCCCCATTGCCTAGAATGAGTCTGGTGTGTGTGAGAATGGTTGGTGGTGGTCGGAGGGGCCTATGGCGCATACTAGTTGCCTCGCTTCTGTCAGTGTGCCCCAGGGCAGCTGTGGCTACAGTAGTAGTTTATCACCACCGTGTTTGGTGTGAAAGAATTATGACACATGTGAAGCGTCTCCAAAAAAGCGCTATGTAAAACCGATGCATTATTATTATTATCTTTATGTCCCCCTTCTCGGATTGATTTGGCTGAGAGACGCACGAGAAGGCGGTGCAAACTCGATGGAACACTGGCAATCCTGATTGGCTGATTATTTTTCGATCTCCTGAAGGAGTTTGCAATGCGCTCGATCCCAGACCCTTGTGTTCAGAAAAACGCCTCTGGTGGAGCATGGCGGAACTACAAGGGTCTGGCGAGAGTCAGGCTAGGGAGAACCTACTGGCAAAAACCAGTTTGTTTTTTATCACTGGGATGTTACTCTCGTACTAGGGCCACATATCCTAACTTTCTTTTGGGAAAGGCTGGTGGGACAAGCTTGCAGGGGAGGTTGGTACGCTACACCATCACAGACTGCAGAGGAAATCATCAGTGACCCACTCAGGCTGAGAACCTGGAGGCCCGCCTCTCCTGAGCGAGCGGGTGCTGATTCCTCCTGCATCTCTATTAGCACTGAGGGGGAGTGGGAGTCTGCTGCTCCATGTACCATCATCATTGGCAAGGTTATGCACGCTGGCGCTGTCTTTCCAGGATATTCACCGGGTATCCCACAAGTCTGCATTAAAATGAGTCTGAGCTTCTAATGTATGTATCCACATGCTCAGATCAAACCGTAGATAACTCATTCAAATTGTGGGACACAAATCTTGGAATATTTTCCCCGCACTCATTAAGCAGTTTAGAGCAGTTTTTTTTGTTTTGTTAGAATCCTTCTTTGGTCCTTTGTGTTTAACGTAGCGCATTGAGGTTGGGCACCTTTCTAATAGCTAGCACTTGGAGTATCCATTCAACGGAGCCGCTATCTTGTTTTGCTCGATATAAACCAATTGTCATCATTGTTTGACTATCAGATCATTTTTACCCACAATGAAACAGTCTTAGTTCTTTGATCATGCTGTATGTTGGTGTTTCTATGCCTTCAGGCAGCTGCTGTTGGTGTTTGTTCACCTCCAAGTCATATCGCATTCTCCCAGCATATGTGCCATAATGTCCAGATCAATGTCATTATACATGAAAGGTCATAAAGCTTTGGCCTCATGCTTTTTCTGTGTGCAGCGCACGTGTGAATGTCTAATGACATCACAGTGAAGTGGCGGCAGCAGATGTAGGATAAGATTGAGCCATATTGAAGTGCAGCTGCAAATCATACTCTGTTTCTTGTCTTACATTTCACTCCTCATTTCACATGTAGGAGATAGATACATGTTTGGGAATCCAATCAAAGAACTTAAGAACGAACTATGTCCCCAATTTCCCATCCAAGAAAAAACCCTGGGGCCAGGCAGAATAAAAAACACTCAGACAAGTCTGAGAAAAATCCTGGCAATATTAAGGACACAAAAGTCAGCACACGTGTAACCTTAGTATTTTATAATATATGTAGTTCAGATTTCAGAAATAGAAGGAGTATGAATGAAGGTTGGAGCAGAGGACTTGGCGGTGCTTCACAGCAAGAAGGTTCTGGATTGGATTCAACCTCCAGACCTTTCTTGTGTGAAGGTTGCATGTTCTCCCTGTGTCTTTGTAGGTTTCCTTTGGGTGCTGAGTAAATAATATGCCCAGTAAGTAAAATTCTTCAGCTCTGGTAGTCCTGACCAAGTCAATAAACTACATCTGGAGATGGGTCCCCGGTGTTGTAGATTTTATATACAGCACACGTCTAAACACAATCATGTTTTCATTCATGAGTCAACATTTAACAATTGTCTGAGGTCAATGAGTTTAGAGCAAAACAATGGACAATGGACGGCCTTGGAAGTGTTCTTTTCAGAGAGGGGAGATTCCCTTATTTCACCGGACAGAAGATGAGACTGGACTAGACCAGACCCAGACCAGACTGTCAGTCGGTCTTACCATATACGGACCAAAAGATGACGTCTCCAGATACGCCACGCCCCTTCTGCACATTTTACTTATGTGATTTGTGATGATGTGTTAAGGAGTCGGAGGAGGAAAAGCCATGCAGGGCCAGGAGCTAAAAAAAGTCTTGTATTAGTATTTGATTGTAAAGAGAATAAATACTGTTGATTTGAACTCTTGAATATTCTCAAATTCTCAATCACGTACTTTTTTGACAATACAGGGCGCTGTACAATGGTATTTGCAGGATGGGTCAAATGCAGAGGACAAAGTTCCCTACAGTGATACATAAAGTGCATATTTACATCACTATAGCAACTCGACACATTACAAATCAATGTGTTATAGTTATGTCGTTTAATCTTCTTTTTTTTCTTGTTAATGCAACTCTGTAGCACTGTCCTCAAGACGGTAGACGATAAAGTTTATTCTTTTCTACATATTGTTATGCAGCCCTGCCATACAAGATAAGAGCCATTTAGTGTACACTCTTTCTGGATGATTGGTTGTTGACATCTGCAATACGTCTGGGATACTTGAGTCTTGTTACAGTAGAATGCTCCAAGTGATCTGGCCTAAGGGACCATCCAGTCATTGGCAGTCGATACGTCTATAATGACTACAAGGACAGTCTGTATGCATTTTTAAAACGTCCGTCATAGATGCTTGACCATGTGGAGTTGACATTGTTTTAAAATGTGTTAATTTTACACATTTGGCATAACAAGTGCCACTGGGTCAGCTGTTAGGACCAGTGAGCCATAACAGTACAGTGCATGGGGAGCACCTGTTTTCTGAGGATTGTCTGATATGGAAAACCATTATAATGGTTATTGAAACAGACTAAATCACTGAACTCAATTCTTCCAGGACCTCACATAAAATACAAGCCCGACCCATTGTACCCAGGACAACTAGCTGCTGGTTTCTCTGGACACTTCTTCCAACAGACAACAGTAAACTGATTGGCCTTGTTAACATCAATAGACCATAATAAAGAAAACTACAGCCTATATGGACGTGGATATGTCTTTCATAGAAGTTCTCCCCGGTTTCTTTTTATGGAAGAGGAACCAAAGGAGACTTTCTATTTTTAAGTGAATGTAGTCATTTGTTTGTCTGTTTTTACCAATTACTGTTTTAATTGTGGATTACTGGATTTGTAATTTGCTAATTGCAAATCACCTCTTTTGGGTTAAGGATGACTGCTTGATTGTGGGCTTTACAATAGCACATTCATTTGATTTGAGGTCAGATCACTACAGATAAACAAGGGCTATAAAATGTCCTGTGATAGTTTCTACTGAAATTAATCTTCTACTGTATGTAACCTGGTGTCTTTTGTAACATGGCCACCAGGGGCAATTAAGAGCTAAGTTAAGTAATACAAATTAATGCTCATCAGAGAAAAGATAGGTTACCTATAATAGGCTTTATCATTTTGTTCATTGCAATGATGCATACAGCTCCTTGCTGCATCTGTTTTATTGTTTCTGTTATTGTTTGCGGATAGCAATGCAAAAGCGTTAAATAAACTCCCCCCCAAAAGAAAGTATTTGGATTGGCTGTAGGCTGCTCAATCTCTGCAGGTTTGAAAAAAAGAAAAAAAAAAGTTTTACATTTTAAAAATCTTTTGAACATAGTAGAAATGTGTATACAGTGTACTGTATATGACTGTATCTGTAAGGTTTGTGCTGTGATCTTTAGAGAGTTGTGATTCCGGATGGACTTCCAGTAATGAGCAGTGAGCGTGAGATCAGCTCCACATGTCCAGAAAATTTGTAGAAAATATTAGAAAGAGGGCTAGCATATTTGCATTAGCATGCGTCTGACACAGAGTCCATAAGGACAAAAATGTGGCGCAGTGGGGGCAGCACGGTGGCAGCACGGTGACACAGTTGTTAACGCTCACACTCAGAAAGTCCTAGGTTCGATTCCACCTCCATGCCTTTCTGTGTGAAGTTTACATGTTCCCTTCGTGTCTGTGTAGGTTTCCTCCGGGTGCTCCAGTTTCCACTTCCACGAGAAATATGTACAAAAGGGGCATGCACTTCCTGCAAGGCGACCATCTCTGTGTGAAATGAGAGACAAATTCTCACACTTGTAAAGTGCTTTGTGACTCTGGTGCTACATAAAAAAAGATTCCTTACCTACTCACACTTTCATCGGACTGTTGCTATACAACAGTTTTCTGTCATGTACTGTCCTCTACACACTACAATAGCATCCACGCTTTTGAGCTTGCCTTGATTGCGCAATAAAACAAATTACTTAGTTAAAATGTCTTTTTGTTAACAATGTTATTTACGCATACAACTGACACCACTAATATTTTCACTTTCAAAAGAAACACCTTTGAAAGCGTCCAGAAGTGGAGAGCCTTGTGAGGCGCACAGAGAAGGGACCAAAACACACCAGTTTGAACATCAGCCCAAATAGACAATAACAGTGTTTCTGCATTTGTAATCTTTATAGACATAATCATAATTGTAGTGTGGCTTTACCTGGAGATAAGGCACGATTTTGCAGAGCGTCTTCCCAAAGAACCATGTCTCTGTGATGTCCACCACGAGGCTGGCAGGCAGACAGATGATGGTCACCAAGATATCAGCAAAGGACAGATTCACGATGAAGTAGTTTGTCACCGTGCGCATGTTACGATTCTTCCACACAGCAAAGCACACTGAAAATACAGCACACATGGAGTCAGTAACATCATTACTATAGGGCTGTGTTTTATTCTGTGCAGAGGCTTTTAGAGTGGCATTGAAGGATGGGTCAAAAGCAGAGGACACAATAACATACAGTATGCCTTAAGCTTAACTTACTCTCATTTTGCCCTCATATTTGACAAACATTTAAATCAATAGACACATGTGGGTGGACCTGTATGCCTTTTAAGTAATTAATCATACGCTTTCTATGTCGAAAAACTATATTTTTTAATAGAATTAATAGGAATCTGCAGTGTACCGATACTACTCTGAGAAGGACAATTGCATTAGGCATTTCAGAAAGCCGTATTTTGGCTCTTATTTTTAAATATTCAGTTATAATCCTTGATTACAAAGATAATCATTAGTTGAATACTAATCCATTCAAATATCAAACTGTGATTATTATGTTTCTTTAAATGCATTAGAAATGTCTGTCCCTCAGTTTATGGATTTTAAATTAAGATTCTCATTTGCACATGAACAAAAAGCAGTTGCTTATTCAATCTGCCAGCTTTTACAATTTGCTTTGCATGTTTTCTTGCACAACAAGAGTGCAGTATGTTGCAGTGCAGACGTGTTCAATTGCTTGAATTGCATAATGTGTCATGTTCCTACACTATTACCATGTGAGATGTACTCTGTCGGCACAGGGCTGTGTTTTTCCACCCCAGTCAATCTAGTCCTATATATTTGTTTTCTCTAAAAGCATCTTTATTTATTGACAGCAGAAAATGGCATAGACACGAAATGAATTCAAAGTCGCTGTTGTGATGTTTGATGCAAATAAGCAGCTTTTAGACCATCAATGCAAACTTGATCACATTTTACAATCCTACTTGGTTCAGTTCTTCATGGAAACATCTGTGCCATTTTGTAAACAGCACAATAATCTGCTTAGAGAAGACCGCATTGCATGTTAATCTAATCAACATCTCATGTGGATCGCCACACTGCATTTCCATGTACAGTACTCCAAATAAATTAACTATGACTAGAAGCAAGCATTCTGTAAAAAAAAATATGTTGAAAAAGACAATCAAGCTTCTGAAATAACTTAAAGCGACAAATAGAACTACACTGAAAGAGTTTTTGCTCTTGCCTGCAGCATCTGACATCAAAGAAAGAAAAGGAGAAACTAGGAGAAATCTATGGTGTTAACAGAGCTGTGCCTTTCTACACATCAACAAAAGAAAATAATTGTGCCTACAAACCAGAACATTCAAGCCGATTTAGTAAATGTACAATTTATCTCAAGAAACTAACTGCGGTTACGGCGTAGTGAGTGAAGGCCTGTGTATACTCCGGCGTCACTGTGTGCGTTGGCGTTTGCGCTGGACCTGTGGTTGATTCCGCAGCCACAGTTGTTTGTGTACTTGAGCGTACCTCCCTGCATAGTTTTGAAAAGATTGTTGTATTCCCAACTACACGATGGTGATCTCACAGGAATTGCCAGGGACAGCAAAGAGGTCCCAATATAAAGCCCAGCTGCTACGTTCTCCTCTTCAGAACATACACAATGGCAAGCCGAGCTGTTTAAGCAGATTTTATTAAATCTGCTTCCTAGGCCTAAGTTTACGGACAGTTCTATAGACTCATTGTTTCATAACTAATTTTAACCAATATGCTGCGAATAAAGACCACGTTCTTGTTGGAAACAGATGGTTATTATTAAATTGTATTTGTGCACAAACAAGAAAAACAATTATTGATAAATATCTGAGACCAAACATGAACAAATTCCAAGGTGCAGACTCGATCGGCTCTGTACAAGTGCGAATTTAAACAAAGACACAGGAACAGTGCAAGAGAAATGACAGTATACAGTATATACAGTACATGTTCTTTGCCATATCCAACCAAAACTCGCCATGAGCCCAAACTGCTTTTCCTTCTATAGCAATCTGCTCCAAAGTCCCTTTTCAATATTCTGCCGCAGCCGCTCCATGCTTCAATCCAAAACGTGATCACACACGGGCCAATCATAATGGGCCTTCTCTGCGCTGCCGGTTGCGTAGTTAGAAAAGTAGTGCAAGGGGTCCTGGTGGTCTTGCAGTGAGTCTTGCGTTGGTCCTGTGACATCAAGTGACATCCCGAGGGCCACCGCAAGTGCAGCAACACGCAAGTATACATAGGCCTTAAGAGCACACGGTGCGTGTAAGGTGGGAGGTCCCGGAACGCAGCAGATGATATTATTTGGAAAGTTCTGTCTGCGGTTGCTCAGAAATGCGCTGAGCTAATAAGAAGTTTCTGAACAAAATGGAGCATCATTGGCAATGGCATACTGAAAAGCCCCGGTGATCCAAGATGGCGTCCTATTCAAATGAATGGCTTGTGCTCCGTAGCGCATGGGTCATACAGGAGGACCGAAAGATTAGCGAAACTTGACCATAATTGGGCGCAGGGAGAGTCTGGTCCACCCAGCGCAGTCGATGAGCTCCCATGATATTTGCTCCACATACGCGTGTGTGGCTCTCATGCACGTGCACAGAGCCAATCAGAGATGCTGATCAAAGTGGAGCCAGAGCAGAGTGCTAAGTTTGTTGCAGTAAAGTGTGGATTTAAAGAAAACTGAAGAATTTAAGAAGAAAAAAAGTTCAGGATGACACTAAAATCCACACAAAATCCGACCTTTCTGAAAGCTGTACTGTAGGTTCTCTGTCAGCTGAGGTCGAGCTGTTTTAGTTTATATTGAGTTTATTTTTTTAGTCTGCAGTACCACTGTGCCCATTGGTGGGACAGCTATAAACTAGTATTACCCTATCCAGAAATTATAAATCCATGCATACACACAACAGACATTTAAATCAATCAATCAATCAATCAATCAATCCTTTATTGTCTCACAGATGGAGAAATTCAGTTCGATGAATAAACATAAAGGCCGACAACATATCCGCGCTCCTTATGACAGTTATTCAACAGCAGAGAGCAAAACAAACATATATTCAAATCCAAGTAGTTGTGTAGCAGATTGCAGAGTTGAATGAAGCTTTGTTGTTGACATTTGCACAGATTTTTATGGCTGCACTTCTTCTAGCTAAGGCTGTGTTGTTTTGTTTTCATTCAGCTTGTGATTTTCACTGATAGACAATAATTCATGCATTTAATCATTCAATAATAATTAAAGGACCTTTAGTAAATTTACATTTATTTGTGTTTCGACCAAATCAGATCAAATCAATTATAGGCCATTTTATTACAAGACTATGCCAAAGACGGACTATTCAACCACATGCCTCGTATCTATCCACAAAATCGTCTAAATACTATGCAGGGGCCAATAGTCTAGCTCACACACAGTACTTTCAATAGAAATTATGTGTTTAGATCTCACACATGTGTAGAGGTGCCTGATTCAACTTCAGATGTGCCAGAACATGTTTTGCCGTTTTCCAGCTCAATTAGGTACTGAGAGCACCCAGCGGAATATAACAGCATGAACCATCTATTCAACTTTAACCGCGTTGGGGAAGACAGGAGATATGAGTTCATATCATTCCTATGGATTCTAATGAAGAGAATAGAGACATAGGAGGTGTTGTTATTGGAGTGGAGTTTTTATGGATTTCCTCAGAGAATTCTGGTGTGAATCCCAAATTTCCATATCGCTCCACCTGAGGCATCACTATAGTAACGCACAGATTGAGCACAAGAAAGGTACATTACCTTTACATTTACTTTTGTTGAAGCTAGGACTTACTTTTGTTGAAGCTAGGACTTGTGATTTCATCTTATAGAACCTATTCTATTTTGAATTAATACATGAAAAGGGTACAAGAAAGTCTGACCGTCTGATTGGTGGTGAAGAATAAAAGAGACAGGGTTCAAAATGAATCGAAAGGTACTTGCAAAATGTCAATTTAGTTCATTATTCCAACCGAAAATTGACATTGAATCTATAAATGTTCAACATAAAAATAACCCTTGTGAGCCCTGATATGTTCTAAAGAGCATCATAAAGCTCACTGAAGCGTGTATAAGAAGCAGTGGAGCAGGTTTCTAAAACGTTGAAAAGATTTAAGGTCAGAATGATGTTTTTGGCAGTGAAACCGTTTTAAGAGCAGTATTTTTGTATTCCTTTCTCATTTCTCACGCTAGTGGCATGCCAAGCAAGACACTGAACTCTGCTTTAGTTTGCACAGTCCCAGAGGGATTAATGAATGAATGTTTAGAATGTATTTCTCCATCATAAACATATTGCAATATACGTCATAAATGTTGCTATACATGTAGAAATGTCAGTATAATGTTTTTCATGACTAAAAACAATGATAAGCAACACTCCTAACTGTTCAGGTCAAAATATAATTGGAAATCAAAACACATTTGTATTTTGTATATAATTTTAGCCAGGTCTTTATATCTAGTAAGTATCTAGTAAGTAAGTCATCTTGATTTATATAGCACCTTTCAGCTGCCTCCCCATTCACTGAGCACCAGCCCCTCGCTGATCCTCCTGCAGGAGGTGAGTCCACAGGCTGCTCTGTCACAGCCTTGATCTTTCAATGGGGCTTCAGGCAAAGTGGGGTCAAGTGTCTTGCCCAAGGACACAACAGCAGCAGACATCGGTGGAAGTCGGTGGAGAAGGTCTTAGGTTGGGCTCGAACCCGGGCAAATGCTTTATCAACTGAGCCACTGTCGCCCCATTTTACAGTCACAAAAAGCCCTTTAATAGTCTTGTACCAGTGATTTCCATTGAAAATGTGTTCAATAGGTGGTAGGGGTAAACAGGAGAACACAGAGGAAATCTACGCAGACACAGGGAGAACATACAACCTCCAAACAGGAATGCCCTGTTTAGAGGAGGAATCCAACCCAGGACCTTCTTGATGTAGCCTGGTCTTACCACATCCTCATACAAATGTCATTTCGAGTTTGTATGTAATGCTAGCATTAAGCATTAGCCTAGTTTTAGCTTCCTCCTTTGCCTCTTACGG